TTAGATAAAAAACAGAAGAAAAAAGAATTAAAGAAATGAGTCTCTGTTAATCCTTTATTAAAGTTCTGGAGAGAAGGTCATCGCAAAAGGGAGGACGCTTTTTATATCAAAACATCTGGGAGATTGAATCTGGTAAAGAATAGGTAGTGGCTTGTTTCTATCTTCTGAAACATGGCAATTAGAATTATATGGTCTCAAGTCAATCAATATTTTATCATATTGATTGGCCCGAATTATTAGGTGAAAATTTCTCATTTGCTGATACTTCAGTAACAGATTAAAGAGAGTCATAACAACCAATAATAATATAATCCCCAATATATAATCTGTAACAAGATTATACTGGTAATATGAGAGTACCACTCGAATATTATAATTTAACCATATTGAAGGTCATTCTATACGATCTTTATTGGAGGAAATACGACAGCACATACAATAGAAATCATCGGTAATCCAAATTTATATAAATTATCCAAATTTGGAATTCTGACACATTGAATACAATGGAAGAGCCGATAGAAAATACTATTAGAAATCATTGAAGCAATCTGTCGACGACAACGTACCCTTGAATTCATGTAGAATTCAACAGTCAAGGTAAATTTATGGACTAGCAATTCTAATAACAGTCAGCTTTCAAAAGAGTATAAATAGAACCCATTATTTCATAGTTAAAACTTCAGTCAAATAAAGTAACAAGGACTTATAATCGTACCTATCGTAACATTGTTTTTTTGTATACTTTATATTTTTTTTATCAAATCAGAAGTAATTGATTTGTAACAATGTGAACATATTGCAGTAAGCATGTGTGGACCATGCGTGCATTGTAAGCTGTGATATTATTTATAAGTTGTTTTTATCATTTGTTAATGCAGATGCTGCGTGTAAACCGCGTGTACGTGAGGTGACACAAAATAGCTATTTCGAGTTTCTTCGCTAAAGTAGCTCACAGAATAGTGCTTGTATACACTACGAGATGTTTGTGTATACAACAAGGAGCAGGAAAGAGTTGATTTTTAGCATTGAGTGTAATATGGGCAACGTTTTTAAACATGGGAAAATGAAATGATATTGGGCGCATCTTTTTTATTCTAGTAGTCTAATTCTGTAATATTTACGAATAAATGTATATTAAACGATTCATACTTATTTTGGCAATTCTATCATCACTCTTTTGCGTTTGAACTCGTTTGATTTTAATCTTACGCAGAAATATTAAGGTAAAGTCCAAACGAGTAGCTGAAAGCAAGCTGTAAAACACATATTCTGGTTTACACTTTGCTGTTTGTGATAATTTGTATATATTTCAAGTCGTTAAGTTATATTGACCTTTTGATGTCTATTAAAGTATCATAATCCCAACATCACGATTACGCGCATCCTGGATTTCCCTAAGAAAAATTGCAGTCCCTAAGAGACCCGTCATAAATTAGCTCCGTAAAAATGACTTTAAAAAAAAAACTCTTTCTTGTAACGACTATCTGTAAGTGTGTACATCCTTTTTATGATTTTAATATGTCGTATATCAATTTTTAATTATATTTTTTTTTTATATTGTGTTTACCTTAACTCCTTTTTCAAAAACTAATTCGTATCTTTTCATACATATTAAGGGCGTTCGGTATAGGAAAATTCAATTTAATTGAATTAAAAAAATAAAAAAAAATGGTCCAATGGTATCGATTTGTTATTGAAACCCCACTTGGGGAAATTGATAAAATCAAAATACACCAGGCGCAAACGATTTCGCTCTTTGTTCCTTACATTATTTTTTATAATCTTCAATATGCCTAGAGCTATACTCAAAAAACCAGTTAATATTAAGCCATCCATACCTGTTAAAAGCACGACATCTAATACAGTACAAAAGCAGACCGAAGAGACTAGTGAATCGAAAGCGGGTGGTAATGAGGATACGATATGCGTGGACACACTAGTAGAATTTTTGATGGATAATGGAGCCTCCATGTTGTTTTCCTTCGTTGAATATGATGGAAAAGCGAAATCAAGTTTCAGCGAAATCAGAGACACGGTTGCCAGTGAAGCCAGCCTATATTTTGACTCTAAATGGACAAAGGCTCAAATGATGGAACGTTTGAACAAGCTCATCTACAGTCAATACCCTGATGCTTATGAATTGTTTAGCAAAACTTTAAACCGTGGCACAAAATACGTAGCCAATTCAGCTTTTGACGGTATTATATTATATACATTTGTAAATCATAGTTTGATGTATACTGATAAAAATTTAAGATACTTTGAACAAGATATGTCCCGGATTCTATGATTTAAGATCGGTTATAGGTTCTTGGATAAGAAGAGTTCCACCTCGGGTTGTAATCTCTCCCGCGAAAAAGCCAGAGAAAATAAATTCGGACAATGAAAAACATGACAAAGGAGATGTTGATGTCATTTCTGATAAGGATCCTATTATCAACCATGAACTTTGTTCCACCAATCCCACTTTGTCGTCTTCTTCTCCTTTAAAGGAAAATACAGTGCCCAATAACGTTGAAAAAAGAAAGCGAACGCTGGAGTTCGATGATGATGATGAAATAGATGAAGTCGATCTTAAAGAATTTATCGGTATTCAAAAAGATACAGCATCGAAGAAGTTACGATTGGCGGAGTACACAGCCAGGTATCAAAATGCTCTTAAAAGAATCGAAATTTTAAAATTAAGTAAGGAAGAAGCAGAAACATTGTTAAATAAAATCGATACCGCGTACGGCTTTTCATAAAATAAAACACGGTTCCCATATATAAGATTTTCTTTTCATCAGTTGTCACCAGAAAGAACGCGACATTTGTCGTTAAACTTTAAACAATTTCTTTGATATTTAATTTTTTTTTTAAAACCAAACGGTTTTGTCCTGCACCATTACCATTACTCTCAAGTCTCTCAAAGACAACAGCAACTTGTAATTCCAAAAAAAAAAAAAAAAAAAAATTGACTTTTTCCGTTTTCAAGTATATATAAAAGATGTGTCTTGACCATGTGAATTGATTCTTCTTTAAAATTGTTATCACTTGACTCCTTTAGAAAGTTTAATCGTCTCTCTCCCCTGTAACAAGTTGGAGTTTTGCTATATTGTAGTTCGTACAAATGTTCTTGATTCTTTGTCTTTTTATACTTGAGTCTAGCTTCGACATCAGTAAAAAGTTTGGACTTCAAACACATAGCATCGATATATTTTCTGGTTCGCTATCCCAACTACCTTGTTCCTTTCCTATGGACATAAGTCCGCTTAATGGCTTGGTTTTTCTCTCAGAGATACTTCTAGTCCCTATCCAATTTTTTTTTTATACTTGTCTTTCAATGAATATTTAGGCTTTCTATAAGGTTAAGAAAGAATTATAAAAAGTATGTGTGATCCAGAAGAACGTGTTGTATTTGTAAATAATACCGCTGCACCAATATTTGTGGCATCTTTCCTGCATAAGGTGATCGGATGTTAATTTAGTTATTCAAATTGAATACCTCTAGTTACAAATATTTGTTTTCTGTCCTCACTCTCTATCGCAGTTTGTGTATTATAAACTTATGCGAATTGGAACTTTTGTTTGTGCAAGCCTCAAAGGCCGTGTTTTATACACAGATAATATATCATCTAATGGCAGACTGCTGTAGTCAGGTTTTGGAAAAGTTTAATTAGATATGTAGTTATCAAACAGCCTAATAGAAGAAATTCATTATAACTGGCTACAGTGCATTTGATGGGCAAGTATTTCGTTTTAGCGCTATAATTGGAGAATTTACATTCTGATGGGTGTGAGTTTAATTTTGGTACACCGGTAGATGCGGCAACTCACATCTCCAGAAATTATAAGTTCTCTTTTTTGTTTTTCTTGCTTTTTGGTTGGGAAATGACGTTGAGCGCATATCTTGGACTTTTATCTCTTGGGAGCACCATCCAAACCCGATCCAGCGCCGAAAACCAACATGAAGAAGAGCATGAGTTAAATGCTTTGAGAAGGATGGCACAAAGTATTGCTCGTGCAGAAATCGACACTGTTTCCACTGTGAGTGTTCATAACGCACCGTCAGAACGTAAAAGTATTCGTATATATACATTATTTTCTCTTCGTCTCAACATTTCTAACATGGACTAACAAAAAAAAGTTGTAAAAAGTAGAAGTGAGAGAGAATATATCGGGTGTTATTCTAGCCATCGGCACCATGGTAGCCAATTATTCTTTATGCTTTCCCATTGTAGCAGCTCGACATCGATTACAAGCTTTACCAACTTTACATAGCTACCAACGAGATACACCTATGTATGGAGCATCCACCATCCTTTATGCCTATAGAAACGGTGGCATTCGTCGACTCTATCCGGGATTTGGACTCGGCTTAATAGGTCAGACCTTAAACGCAACCTATGAATCAGGTTTGAATACGGTCATGACGGGTGTGACGGCAGCGGCAAAGAAGAACAGCATGTCCTTATATCGATTAGCCAACGTAGTGTCCATGGGATTAGCACTAGCCATCAACATTCCCTTATACCCACTGTATAGAAATGCTCTTATTCTTCGAGTGCAATCCGACTCAGCACTTACCCAAATCGTGATACGTACACCGCAAGACTTTATACGATTGTACAAGCAAGATTTGAAAGATTTCTGGCCTCCTCATGCAAACAATCGACACATCCTGTCAACTTTTATACCATCCTGTATTTTAAACTTAATCACTGAGAAAGTATTGATATTCATTTATCGATTTATCTTTCAAAAATATTCAAACGATGCCAGTAATGACTCTTCCATCACTTCCTCCTCCAGTAGTAGTAAAAAAAAGAGCAGTTCCACTGTGCTACATACATTCTATCCTGAAATTGCATGCGGTGTTATCAGCAGTATTATTACACGAGCATTGAGTTATCCCGTGGATACCATCATTTTCAAGTTGATGGTTCAAGATAGCGGCGTATTAAAAGTCAATACAACCTACAGTGGATTTATCGACTGTATTCAAAGAACATGGTACGAAGAAGGAGGATGGAAAGCATTTTATCCTGGTTGGGGTATTGGTGTGTTGGAAATAGGTATGGGATATCTTATTTTGGAAGCATCTTGGTTGGCCTACAAGTGTATTCAATGGAAACTAGCAGTACCTGGCTCAAATAACACAAAAATTGTTAAAAAAGCGCGTAAACTACGTGATAGACTAGTGGATTGAAAGTAAAAAAAATAAATGGTTTTAATTTGTTTTTTTATATATATTTATTTAAATCTTTTCGTAATCCATCTTTGTCTCCAACTTCTTTGCATCTTGAACCTTTCTTACGGCCTTCATGAAATCCTCCTGAATACAGTAATCACGCTCTTCTCTAATGGCAAACATACCAGCCTCTGTACACACATTTCTTAAATCTGCACCATTGAAACCATCTGAAAGCTTGACAATAGCTTCATAATCTATATCACCGTGTTTTGTAATATTACCAGCATGAATCTTCATGATTTCCAAACGACCTTGTTCATTGGGTAAAGGAATTTCGATTTTTCTGTCAAGACGACCAGGTCGAAGTAAAGCAGGATCAAGTGTATCAGGTCGATTTGTGGCCATGATTAATTTTGTCTGTCCAAGATAATCAAAACCATCCATTTGATTCAACAATTCCATTAAAGTACGTTGAATTTCACGATCAGCAGAGGTACCTTCAGAGAAACGACGACCACCAATAGCATCAATTTCATCCATAAAGATAATACATGGTTCATGCTCCTTTGCATACCCAAACATCTCTCGAATTAATCTGGCACTCTCACCAATATATTTATCAACAATAGCACTGGAAACAACCTTCAAGAAATTGACTTGGAGAGTACTAGCAACTGCCTTGGCTAATAAGGTTTTACCGGTACCAGGTGGACCATATAATAAAACACCTTTAGGTGGTTTGATACCGACACGCAAAAATAATTCGGGGTTCATCAAAGGTAATTCAATCACTTCTCTTAATTCACGGATCTGTTCAGAGAGACCACCAATACCTGCGAAACTGATATTACCGGGATCTTCCATTGACATGTTGTATACAAGAGGATCAACTTCGCGTGGTAAAATACGCATGATTGTTAAGGTGGTCATATCAAGAGCAACACGAGCACCTTGCTTCAACTTTTCCTTGTCAACTGTATTACGACACCCAACAACATAACGGGGTCCACTGGTGTTCTTCACAATGACTAGTAGCTCTTAATTAGTCACACTGTTTTTTTTTGGCTCTTATAAAGTTCAATCTACTTACAACGCTCATCATCCAATTGCTTCAATACTTCACCAATAACTTGACCAACACTTTGCAATGCTTTAATATCGTCTTCAGATTTATCATATTCTTTATCCAAAGTTCTCAATCCAAGACGCACTATCAAGTTAAAAGCATGAGTTACAACAGCTTAAGAGCACCTTTTTTTTTTTTTTTTTTGCATACTCTCTTTAAGTTTAGCATCTAATTCACGATGTTCTAAAAGTCTTCTTCTGTAGCCGTTCAAGGCTTTAGTTTTGGGATCTTGTTCAGGAGCTGACGAGCTTGAAGACATGATGTATTATAATTCAAGCACAACTGGTACAAAAAAGAAATAAAGATATGAAATCAAAGCGCACTATTTTTTTTTTATTTAAAAATGTAGGACGCGTAGCCAACAACGCAAAAAAAAAGGTCTACGCTACGTCACCCACCTTACTCTGCAAAAGTCCGCCTTCCCTTTCTGAGTTAAAAAGACGCACTCTCTTTTTCAGCTCGCATTGATTTTCTGGCATATCTTTAAAACATCAAAAGGTTTAAAGGGCATGATTTGAACGGTTTTTGATTATTTTAGTGATTAAACTACCTTGTTGTGTAATTAAGAATTGGCTTTAAACAGTAATGCAATGGAATTTTGATTAGAGCACGTCTTTTAGAAAAAGGCTATTGTTTGAAAACAGAAGCTTTTAAGGCAACAGTTGTATTCATTTTCAATATCTGTTGCTATTCAATTGTCTGTAACTAGAATAGGTCTTACTATAACAACTGATTGGTTACTATGCGAATGTCTTGTCGCAATGTGCCAGTGCTCTGTCAAACAACGCAAGGCATGTTATATCATGAGTTACAGTATAGCCTTTAGACATGAGTAAAACAAGTATCGTGTAAAAGTATACGGAGACTGGAGATGATTTACGCCACACATACAGAAAGCAATGATTTTCAGGCACATAATTTCCCACCTACAGCACTAACGGAGGGATGGAGTTTTATGGGGAAAGAAAGACAGAGAAAGAAAGAAAAAAAGCAGGCAGACAAGGGTGTTCCACAAGCCGTCAAGATGTGAAGAAGGAACAATAAAAGAGGGTGGAATTATTGAATTTATTTAAATATCTACTTCAAGTGAGTTCTAATAACGGGATCCTTCTTGTTGTGGACTTGTTCTTGTCCTTCTGGGGAACCAGGAATCTTCTTTTCCAAACCCTTTAAAAAGTAATAAATAGAATGAGTTTCTGCTATATAACCTTTCCCCCTCTCCTTCTCTCTTGTTATCTCTACTGTATCAATTTACCAATTTCTCAAAAACACAGGTATTGAAAGTACGTTCAGGAGTACGACAAGCGTAGAATTCCTGATTGTTCTTTTCCAAACACTGCCAGTGTGCTTCAAATTCCTTTCCACAATTTTCTCTAAGCTTGGTGATCCTATGAATGCGAGTCAATAATGGTGAGAAAAGTGTCTTTATCTATTTAACTTACAAGTTGATGGCACAACGAGTGACCTTTCTGCCTTCGGTAAGACAATGCTTAGGATCATTGTTCTCGCTCTTACAGAGCATGAAATCATCGTTATATTCTTTACAGTATTGTCCAATGAAAAATGAAGCACTCTTTAAAGGTGCTGAAGTGGCACCGATTTCCTCAACATGGGGAACTGAAGCAGGAAGAGGAGTGGGATCAACGAATTTGGTGTGTGTAAAAGTAGCTTCTTGTTGAGCAGACATCTTTTTATAAATTAATATAACAACCTTTTTTTCATTTATAAAAAAAAAAAAGAAAGACACGTTAACAATTACGGATTTTTTTTTTTTTTTTTGACGTGCGTCTGCTTTAATTTACTTTTTTATATTGGTGTTTGTTAAAAGAAAAAAGTCCACACACACAAAAGTTACAACTATGTCTTTATTCCTATCCGGGGTTCTTCTTTTTTTTTTTTGCCTGCCCGCCCAAAACAACACAAAAAATTGAATTGAGTGACGCAACACTTTTTCTCAATTTACTTATATACCCGAATTTCTGAGCGGTTTTTAAAAGTAGAGGACCGCTTTGCTTTTGATTTTTGGACAGAGCGTTTATTATTAACTTTTTTTTTGTTATCTTTGTATAGTAAAATTAGAATTGGAAGGAATGTTTGTAGAATTTATACGAGAGAGAAACCAGTGATTGAAGCCGTTAATTCTTCGAGCTCAGTTTCGGTCAAAGTATATTACTGGCGCTTAAGTTTATGGATGTTGGAAAGCAGAGTGTCAAAATCTATTGAAGAATTGCTTGGAGCGGTGAGAGGAGCTTGTTCAGTTGGAGTAAGAAGAGCTGAGCTATCAGGCGAGCTTTGGGGAATGGTTGAGAAAGTGAGATCGAAAGAAACTATTCAATTTAAGGTTGGTAAAGAAATGAAGCCGTAAAGAATTCAATAGTATTTATCTTTACCTTCAAATACAGACAACCAAGACATATCACACTTCAACAAATACATGTGTTTGCATGGGATATTGTCAAGGCGGAAGTCAGGGCAGCTGCAAGTGATCATTTGTAGATTGTCCACCACAACATCATAACTTACACAAGAAGTTGAGAAAGAAGAAATATCATAACCACTTCTACCAGCAGAATCATTTCTCGCAGTTTCGATGCCATACAGTGTTCGTTACTATATTTCAAGAGTATTTACTTTGGCTTAAGATATCGGGTTCTTTTTTTTTTAATATAGAATATCTCTTAATAAATCCATAAAAATATGACACTTCAAAAATAAAAAAAAACAAGAGGGGAACAGGCTACAGATTTTTGATGGGCAAAGTAACCATGGAGCTTCTAAACCGGTTTTTGAAGCTGATGACTACATTTATTCCCGCGTTAGATCAAACGCCATCTAATTTTTAGGTCTTTTGGATGAGCCTTTGGTCCCCAAATAAACTTAAATGTCCAATAAAAACTTTACATATGCCACTTACTCTCGGTCAACCTCTCACTTAATTTGTAAGAGTTTTCGATTCTCAGACAGCTTCTTTATTTCAAGCCGAAAATCACCCACTTAATCTGTAAGATATTTCGATTTTCAGTCAAAATTCACAGTCTCATGTTTACGTTATCCTACAATTATATGATACCATTAGTAAGAACCTGGAAGCTTAAGACAGAGAGTTTTTTTCTTCTTCTACAAACAAAAACTAAATATAACTTAAAACCTAATACCTGAATTGATCCTGATAGTGATATATTTACAAACACCTCCTTTAGAGCCATGTAAAACATACACATCAAATCAAAATCATAAACCTGGTTCCCACCATCACAAGGTAGAAAAACTATTTATCTCAACTTGTCGTCGAAACCCCTTATTATACAAAATGACGTCTCTAACAACATTTGATTTGATATATTATTATTTTTCACTTATAAAAAAGCCTCTTGAGATTTTTTTTTTCTCTTTCTTTATTTCTTTGTTCACTAAAAGAAAGGGGAAAAGAAGACGGAAGTATTGTAAAAATAAGCAAGTATAAATGATACTTAATCTATTTTATTTAATTTTGTAGACAAAATACGTATCAAAATGTGGTTGTTTACTTTTGAGCTGATCGTGCTGACCTTTGGTTATCTTTTCCTTTTGTACTGCCCAATTTTTTCCTCATGAAAGGTTTTTTTTAATGGAGGCAAAAGGTTTTTACTGATGCCGGGGTTGGTACCAATACAAGATTTATCTATCGGAGGAAGAAGGCAGTCTAGAATTTGGTTTCCGTTACAAACAGTGTCTTACACTGCCACAGGTATGATAATTTTTATATATTTTCTATGCAAAAAGTCAGTCTTACAATTTATTTTATCATTTTAAAGCATTACTTCATGATGTATAGCCTATTGGAGCTGTTCCCCCAGTGTCCAGTGGGTGTTATCTGATTAATTGGTAAGTGATATAACTTTTTTCTCTATCACATCTGTTTATGTTCATACTAACGCGAAATTTGTATTACAGCTAGCTCAAGACGATGCAAATTACAAGGAAACTTAGAAATGTTTCTATAGCCGCGGTTTCAACACTGTTCGGTCTTTTGTATCTCTACCAAGTAAGGTCATTCCGCATGTAAAAGCCAAAGGAAAACTCTGACGTCATTCTTTTTTTATTCGGGTATATAAGGAGATGCTTTTTTCTTTATATTTTTTTTTGGTTGTCCGAAAGAAAGACTGCAGACATCCGTTAGATGCAACTTCGCTACAGCATGTAATCTTAAACTAACAGTGCCTCTATCTTCTTCTAGCTTGGGTTATACATAGTAGCTACTTATTAAACACTTTCAAGTCATTCTATAGTACAGCGGATATTTAATTCCCCTAGCACACTTGCGCGAGTTTCGTACGGCTGGGCCAAGTTTACTGCTTGTCCTGTAACTCTTACTTAAGGTTTTCATCTTTTATTAGGGGGATCTGACATAAAAAGCCATTGAATTATATCAATAGAAGAATATTTATTAAGCCACTTTAATTAAAGCATTCCTTTATATCATGAATAGCTTTGCCATTTAATCACTATCAATTGATTAAAGAATTGTTCCTGAGAAATACTTAAAACAATCAATTCTTCTCAGGACAGAGATACTCTACTATGAAAATGATATTATCTTCATTTGATACAGTGATACGCATCAACTTTAAACAAAGAAATAAAGATAGTCTGTTCCAATATATGCACGATTAGATTCTTTTTGGCTTTTCTCTATCAACAGTGTGACCCGTGTACAAAAGCGGAACCCGTTAAAAAAAAAATCATCGCCGCGTAAAAAAAAAAAAAAAGATATAGGCTTGCTACGCTTTCACGGCCCACCCCACTTTTTTTATTCACACCCTTTTTTTTTTTTCCAACACACTTTCTTTACATAAATGCCACAAGCGGCACGCAGACCCAAAACCAAACCTAAGTTTGACGCTGCCAGCAATTTAAAAATCGACCAATTCTTTAAGCCTTTACCTAAAATGAAGACCTTTATTCAAGAGAATGAAAATAGTCAAGACAGACCTTCATCGTTCGGAAACCCCACAAAAGGAAGAGTAAACGAAAATAACGCTAATATCTTTGACGTGAAGAGAAGTTCAAGCAACTTGATCAGCAGTAGTCAAAACAGTGCAGTTGGTCTCAAAAGGACCTCCAGTAACTTGGTCAGCAGTAGTCAAAATAGCGCCCTTGGCCTCAAAAGAACTTCAAGTAATTTGACCAACTCTAGTCAAAATGGAACGAATCCCTTTGGCATCAAAAGGAATCCAAGCGACCTCATGTTTAGTAGCCAACCTGAACCAGGCAGCTTTAAGAATACCTCCAGTCATCCAATTACGAACATTGATAATTTCTTTGGCAACAAAAGCAAAACAAATAATAACCAACGTCTTAGCAATCCATTTGAAATCAAACGAACTGCGAGCAACTCGACCAATCAAAGTGACACTGATGCAACAAATAATCTGAAGAGAACTTCAAGTAATTCGAGTGGTCAAAAGAAGGCACAAGGTGTCCTTGATACCTTTCTTGAGCGTAAAGAGGAACCTGTTCGCGTCTTTGTGGATGAAAATGAAGGTTGTGAGACACGACCACGATCACTGGATGCTCGTGTTGTTCAAGCAAGAGCATTGCAAAAAAAGAAGATTAAACCTTTAAACACCTATAGTCCAACTACCACTTCTCCCAGTACTATCTTTCGCGATGACTATGAGGATGATGATGATGACGATGATGATGAGGAAAATAATCCCCCGTTGGCCATTTATCGAGATGATTTAAATACACAGTATATCATGAGTTCATCGCTGGTTCGTCCAGATGAATTGGTGGATACTGGTCCACAGAAGAAATTTCAGATTTACGTGGATAAAGACACTCAACAATCAAGTCCACTTCTTTCTTACTCTCCTGACTCGCAAGTTGTTGCTGATGATGACGATGATGGTTTATCTGAAGTATTCGAAAATGAAAAGAAATCAACCCCATCACCATTAATATCACACGAAGTATCTTCTTATCCTTTTAATGATGATGAACTATTATTCTCGGACAATGATGATGAGGATGGCTTTGATCCCGCCGATGAATTTTCTATTGCAGTACAAGATGTCAATGAACCCACTAAACCTGAAAAGAGCTTGTTTGAAGATTAATCCTTCCTCTCTCTCTTCCCCCCTCCAACCTTAACGTCTGCATATATCCCTTATCTTCTTCTTTAGCCGTCCTTTCTTTTATATAAATCATACCCTTTTTTTTTTTTACAGACATTTACGCGACACGTTATTTTTTTTTTCTATAAATAAAATAATTACCGTGCATCATTTTTATCATCATAATATCACTATCGGCACAAACAATAAAATAACGATTTTTGCTGATCACCCGGCTTGTCCTTTTTGTCAAAAATGTCATGTTCGTGTAACACTATTCATTGTGGTTTCTATAGTTACGCTAAATAAAGACACTTAATGGACAATGACAACAATTTTTTTTTTCTCTTTCTTTTTTTTTAGTCAAAAAAGGTTATAAATACGACACTTTTCATTTGAGCTTTCCTATTTCCTTAAGAAATGCAAAGTTTATACAAACTCACAAGAAAACTCGTCAAGAGACAACTATGGTATATCGGGAATGCGGTTCCAGCTACAACACACACTATTTTCAGGACCACGTTGAAAATCATCCAATGGTGGTCTTAAATAAGAAAATAAGAGAGAGTGAGTCTCTATCACTCTTTCCATCTCTTTTCAAAGCCAATATGGGATAAAAAAAAAAGACATGGTGGTCTTAAATCGGAAAAAAAAAGGGAGAACTTGAACAATACTTTACTCGGTCTTACACGAATAGTTCTTTCTTTGTGACAAGAGGAGTTGCTTTAAAACACCCCTTATAATATATACAATGAAATACAATTGTACACATATTAAAACAATAAATTTCTTTTGCTCTAAAAAAAAGTAGTGTATATATATTGTATGTTTGAGCTTTATCGTGGCTTTGCCAAATAAATAGTGATTGCTATGCTTGATAGGCCCTTATTACCCGCTTTGGGGAAGATATTTACAGGTATAATGCTTGTGATGAACTGCAGTTATTAGGTGATTTTACTGTTCGAATAGAATAACCTTTTCTACTGCTCCAATACTTGGCGTTTAATGAACCTTGTAAGCCGTAGTATTATCCAAGAAAGCTTTTAATCCGCTAAAAACAATTGAGCTGAAGGCCGTATCAGAAAGATCTTTTCTAGATTTTTAATATAAGCCAAGGACAATATAAGATGGATTTTCTGATTCATTGTCAAAGATTAAGACTTGCTAATGAACATTTAAACGGGTGCAGCGGGACATATTAATGTAAAGGATAAGAATCCAAGTTGATTTTATTTGGTTGCTTGGAATATATAGCAACTCGGTGTTATTTTTTAAAGGAACTGTAATGGGCTCAATTACAAACATGGTCTGGCAAAGATTTTTAAGCAAAGGAGTATAATCATTTTGATTAGTAAATTTCGTGTGCTTTAATCATCAGAATCACCCTAACTTAAATAAAAGTCATCAATTCATCGGTGTCCCATGTCTCCAGTTGTACAATTGTTTGTATCTTGACTTCTGTTTTGTATTTATAATGATATGTAATGGTTTTTTTCTTGTAACATTGGGTTCATTCCTACTGGCTCTCCGTATGCTTCTTTTCCCTTTCTTTTAGGGCTTCTTGTTGCTCTCATTTTTCCAAGGTTAGCTAAGGAATGGTATTGGTATCTACTCTATCTTATTTTGAGTGCTAAATTTTTTATTTAGTGTGGAGAAGTTGTCTGCGTAGCAATTGCAGCTTGAGATAGGGAGATCTTAGCATCGGCTTCCGATTAATACTGGCAGACAATTATAAACTTTACCATAGAAACAACGTAATAGCTAATAACCACAGTATTTACAAACAATTAAAAAAAGAATATTTACTGTATAGTCAAGTGTCATAATGTAATCTTCTTTGTGACTAATTTAAACAGAATGTGTTTGTGTAAAAGAACGCGAGTATAAGTAGGTTAACCAAAGTCCTTTTGCTTCTTATATTCTTCTTCTTCTTCATAGCCCACCCGTAAAAAATTGGTGATATACCTATAATCTATGTGTAGCTTCTAAGACCGTGGTAGTGTCAGAGATTTTTCTTCATTACTGAGCTGGCAATATTGGAGGGAGTACCATAGGAGTGCTATTTCGTCTGAGAGATAACATTTACCTTAGACAGTGATGGTCGGTGCTTAACTCGATACCAATCCTTGAGCCGTAAAATAAGCTTGAGGACGGTGCTTAAATACCGAGTCAGAAGGGTTAGGTCTGTCTTGACTTATGTGAATAACTTCTTAGAGGAGAATAAAGATCATGTTTATTGATTGATAATTGAAGCTATTTATATGTTTTACAATTGTCAATCCGGAGTAACTACAATTGTATTGGTTCGTAAGGTAGTAAATACGATTGCTGCGGTTGGTTATGTGTATTAAGTTACAATCGCCGATTAGCGGATTGATGACATAATGGACTCACGACAGCCGGCGGTGACGAGAGGTAGATACTGACGTTATCGGCTAGATTTGCTATAGTTTCCGGTGTTAAACGCGATGATGACGGTGATTTCATTTCCAGCAACCAAGAAATGATATCAGATTCAAGGGGTTCTCCCCCTTCTCCCTACATTAAGCATCAGATCATGACGAACATCATCATTCATTTCCATATCATAGCTCTTCTATTCTCGCCAAATAAAGTTCCTCGGATCCTTAATTATACATCTGGTTACTCCTGTCAGATGGGATCTTTAAGCTTCAGGCCAAGGTCATTGTCGACCGCGCGTTATAAAAAACGCTGTATGTATAGATGGCATCATATGAATGAATATGTAGTTGCAAAAAAACCCACAGGGGTGGAGCCAACGACATTGAAATATGCCGACTGTGCATTTTAAAAGAAGAAACGGATGGAACGACAGCAAGCATTGATATTTTTATAGTCAAGCATACATTAATGTGGTTTAAGTTGGAAGGGATTGTATTTTCCAATACCAAATCTCGACGAGTTTTTGTATCATCAATATATTGAACAAGCGTATCCTGTTGGAAATATCTTCAAAGTTTGGGATCAAGAAGAACAACAACAAAAATATTTTAATCATCACAGGGGTTTGTTCGGCTGTTTGGCAATGATAAAGACAGTAGTCGCTTATAGTTTATCAACTTTTTATTGGCTGATGCGGATAAATGCAAATCTAGTAATTTTTAAATATGTAACAACAGTTAATCTGTCTTTTTTTTTTTTTTCATCATGCTTGCAGGAAGAATTGATGAACAGTGTTCCATCCTTGAAGATTGAACACCTAAACAAATATAACGAGTTAAGATTTTCATCTCCTCTAAAGTAATATCTCTTCTGCAGTAAAATCAAGTATTCTCAAGTAAGTTCAGAAGGAAAGCAAGACCCGGGCATCTGGGCTATTTTAAAAGGATACCGAATTAATAGTCTATTCATTAAAGTATTTTGTCGTTGATTTTTATGCTTCTCGGAAAAAAAAAAAAACTCGAGTTGAGTAGTGTCTTATGATCGTTGACCTTTTAAACTTTGATGGACAAATGCGGTTGGCTGGATAGTCAAAATAATTATAACTGTCTTTTATAGAGACATGATTAGTGACTGTCCCAGTGTTACACACGCACACGCAGACGCACATACATCTTTTTTTCCCTTGCATATTCCCTTTTTTACTCTTTTATCTCATTGACAAATTTATTCTCATTGACAACATGGCTCAAACATTAGACGCACTCGTGCAAGAATGGCTTTCTGTAGACCAAGTAAGATAAGCCAGACAACCATATGAACTCTGTCTTTTTAATACTTTCTTTAGAATGAAGAAACTCGTAACGAGATTCTCGAACTTCAAAAGAACAATAACACCGACGAACTTCAAAAACGTCTCTCTACCCGTATTGAATTCGGCACTGCAGGTAAGAGTGAAAAAAAAAAAAACTGATAAAAAATAAATAGTAAAAGGTGATTTAAACAAAGTACTGTTGTAGGTCTTCGTGCTAGAATGGAAGCTGGGTTTGCTAGAATGAATGATTTGACAGTACTTCAAGCCTCTCAAGGTCTCGCTGTGTATATCGAAGAACATGTCCAAGACGCTAAAGAACGAGGTATTGTGATTGGTCATGATCATCGTCATCATTCGCTTGATTTTGCTCGTTTAACTGCTTTTGCCTTTCTTCAACGAGGATTCAAGGTGTGGTATTACAAGGAATTGGTCCATACACCTTTAGTGGTAAAGTTAAAAGGAAAAAAATATACCGGGGTCACCTATATTTTTTTTACTAAATCATTCTATATTTATCAAAAATAGCCTTATACTATCAAGAAATTACACGCAGCAGGTGGTATTATGATTACTGCTTCCCACGTATGTTGCACAAAGCATAATCATTGGTTTATAATTTTGTATCACTCATGTATATTTCTTGTGATAGAATCCCAAGGATGATAACGGATATAAAGTATATTGGGAAAACGCATGTCAAATTATTCCTCCTCATGATGAAGGTATTGCACAAACAATTCTTGAGAACTTACAACCTTGGGGTTGGGATAAAGACTTGGTTTCCACCAGTGATCTTGTCAGTGACCCTACAGACCAAGGTGTGATTGATCAATACTTTGAAGAAGTGAAGGCTTTATGTAAATTCCCTAACGACAATGAGACTACGGGTGTCAAGTTTACTTATACTGCAATGCACGGTGTGGGTACCCCCTTTGCTGTCCGTGCCTTTGATGCATTCCAGTTACCCCCGTTTGTGCAAGTGCAGGAACAAGTGGTGCCAGATCCCGATTTTCCCACCGTCGCTTTTCCTAACCCTGAAGAAGGTAAAGGTGCCTTGAATTTAGCTATCCAGACGGCTGAAAAGGCTGGTGCTAATATTATTTTGGCCAATGATCCTGATGCTGATCGACTTGCCATTGCTGAAAAGCAATCAAAGTACGTGCTGCCTTTTTTCTGTTTATTTTAAATCACTCACCATTTTCTTTATAGTGGCGAATGGATTATCTTTACTGGTAACCAGATCGGATCTATTTTGGGTGCCGCTTCTTTTGAAAAGGCTATTCAAGCTGGCAAAACTCCTGGTAAGAAGGAAAATTATATGTAAAGTAATGTTTAAATGATACTAAAGACGAGGGCTTCATAGATCAGTTAGCCATGGTGGCTAGTACAGTGTCATCCAAGTTTTTGGCTCGTATGGGAGAAGTCGAAGGGTTCAAGTTTGTTGAATCACTTACTGGATTCAAATGGATTGGTAACACTGCCATGGATCTCGAAAAGAGTGGATTAGAAGTGATCTTTTCTTATGAAGAAGCCATTGGTTTTACCATTGGTGATATTGTCAAGGATAAAGATGGTGTCAGTGCATTAGCTTTCTTTGCTGAGTGGGCCACCCAACTTTATAAGCGTGGTATCACTGCCAATGACTATTTAGAAGAATTGTATGCAAAGTATGGTTACTTTGTCTCTGAGAATTCTTATTTCATTTGTCATGACAAGCCCAAGATTCAAAAGATCTTTGAACGTATTCGTTATGATGCGGAAGGAAAATTAGATTATCCCAAGACGATTGGAGGACATGCGGTGACGGGTGTAAGAGATTTAACTGTGGGTTATGATTCTTCCACTGAGGATCATTTACCTACTTTACCTGTATCTGCTTCTTCTGAGATGATCACTTTCCGTTTAGCTAATAACACAGTCTTTACTATCCGTACCAGGTAAATTACAATAGAGCGTATGTATGTGTATATGTGTGTAAGAACTAAACATGTTTATACGTAATAATAGTGGCACTGAACCCAAGATCAAGTACTATTCTGAGTTACGTGGTGAAAGTGAGCAACAAGCTAGAATTGACCTTCATCATGTGGTCGAAGCTATTGCTAATGAATTGATGGAATATGAAAAGAATGGTCTTGAAAAGAAGAAGGAAGAGTAAATACGACTCTTCTTTTTGTGTGGGACAACCCTCCAAAAAAGGCAACTAAATTTTTTTAAATAAAAAAATAAAAACATAATTTTTTTGTTTTCATTCATTGAAACATAAAAAGAATACTCCCGATGACTAGAGGAAAGAGGACGTTGCATGAACCTGAACGTAATGTAAAAAAAAAAAAAAAAAAAAAAAAAAAAAATAGCTGTTCAAAGTCGCCAGTTTTAAAAATAACGCGAATTAAACGTTTTTTCTTGTACAGATCTCGCCAAAAAAAGGATGAAAACCTCAAGTATATTGACACCTTTATTTCTTCGTCTTTGTCCTTAATTGACATCCCCTCCTTTTTTTTATATGTACTTTTGGCAATAGATTCAAAGGCATCCCTAAAAGCAGAGGTAAACACTTTTAACCTTTTTTTTTACCTTTCTATAATACAAAACCGTCTCTCTCTCTTTTTATTAGGAAGAAAAGAAAATTATACGCAGAGCAACCACGCCACCAATAACCGACCCATCGATTGTACCTGATCCCAATGTCAATAAAGTCATTTATGGCTCGTATGAAATGGGTGCCTGGTATCATTCTCCTTATCCTTATGAGTTCGGTTCCTTTATTGAACAATTGTATATTTGCGAGCTCTGCCTAAGGTATATGAATAAGGAATCACAACTCGCTCATCACAAGGTATAAACAAAGAACCACCGACAAACCATGACCCTGACTGTCTTTTCCACCACTAATGATTTTAGACAACATGTAAAGCGAGAAAACCGCCCGGGAAAGTGATTTATGTTAACGGTAAAATCAAGGTGTATGAAATTGACGGGCATGAACACAAAGTAAGTTTCCTATGAGCTGGGAAAAGCACGTGAAGTTGACATATGCTTTTAGATGTACTGTCAAAACTTGTGTTTGATGGCAAAGTTATTTCTGGATAATAAAACGTTATATTACGACACAGATGGATTTAAATTTTATGTGCTGACAGAACAAAATAGTAAATATAAATCGATAGATGAAATGGTGGGTTATTTCTCCAAGGTACAAAGTATAACGGAAGTAGTTATGATTTTTTGGGTAATTAATGCAAATAATATAACAGGAAAAGATTTCGTATGATGGGTATAATTTGGCGTGTATCATGACATTACCATCACATCAACGGAAAGGGTATGGTCGATTACTGATCGAACTAAGTTATGAACTCTCGAAACATCAAGGCAAGATTGGCAGTCCCGAGAAACCTTTATCGCCTCTGGGTAGTCTTGGTTACCAGTCGTACTGGGCATCCACCATCATGACTACCTTACTGCATTTTCGAGGTGAGGTGACAATTAAGGAAATATCAAAGGAAACATGTATCCATGAAGAAGATGTCATTGTGACCTTATCGAGGCTAAACTTGCTTGCTTATCGTCAACGCGTGAATCGACAACAGAATATCTGTATCTCGGATCAAATGTTGCATGATACTTTGATTGAGTTTAATATAAAGTTGGGCCGTAAATTAGATCCTGAAAACATTCGCTGGAAATAGCTCTCTCTTTTCCCCTCCACCCCCAGCTTATTTTTTCTTATAAAATCACCCGTGACCTTTTTTCTTTTTTTCTCTCTCTCCCTTTTTTCTTTCTCTTTATACATACACACAATGTCCAACTCAACTGAAAGAAAACCTGTTAGGTAAACAAGGCAAACTCTATTAAACACGTTTTATTCATTCCCCTTTTTCTGCAGAGTGTGGGTCGATGGATGCTTTGACATGATGCACTATGGTCACGCTAACGCTTTACGACAGGTACTACAAAGCACACACACTATATATAGACACTTTGTACTTATAAAAAGAAACAATAATAAAAGGCTAAAGCCATGGGTGACATTCTTGTTGTTGGTGTGCATTCCGACGCCGAGATTGAAAAGAACAAGGGCCCTACTGTCATGAACGAACAAGAAAGATATGCGGCTGTAGCAGCCTGTAAATGGGTAGACGAAGTAGTCCCTGACGCACCATACAACACCACAGTCGAATGTTTAGAAGAACATAATATTGACTTCTGTGTGCACGGTGATGATATCACCACCATGGCTGACGGTACGGATTGTTATCAAGCAGTGAAAGACGCCGGACTTTACAAGGAGTGTAAACGTACTGTGGGTGTATCCACTACAGAACTCGTGGGTCGTATGCTTCTCATGACGCGTGATCATCATAAACGTACAGCAGCAGCCTCTGCCATCACTTCATTCGATACCAGTGAATTAACTCCTTTCAGCACAGATGGTACTACCAAGGCCACTGTCTCGCATTTCTTGCCTACCTCGAGAAGAATTGTTCAGTTCTCAGAGGGTCGTGAACCTAAACCTTCAGATAAAGTTGTGTATGTGGATGGTACCTTTGATTTGTTTCATGTCGGTCATATCGAGTTTTTGAAACGTGCTAAAGCCTTGGGTGATTTCTTAATTGTCGGTGTACACGATGATCAAACTGTCAATGCCATCAAGGGATCCAACTATCCCTTGATGAATTTGCATGAACGTGCACTCAGTGTCTTGGCCTGCAGAGTAAAATATAGCTTACAATGGCTCCAAATATCTATTGCATAGAACTAATTTATGATTTTTTTTCTAAAACATAGTATGTGGATGAGGTAGTGATTGGTGCTCCTTATAGTGTCACTGAAGAACTCTTGAGTGGAGAATACAAGGTAGCCGTGGTTGCCCATGGTAACAGTCATTTAGAAAAGGATCAGGATGGTAAAGACCCTTATGCTTTGCCCAAGAAATTGGGTATCTATACCGAGATTGATACGCCCAATTCTACCATCACCACAGAAGGTATTATCAATCGTATCATCGAAAACCGTAAAACGTAAGTTTAGCAGAAGCAGAATGTTTGTGTATTATTTTATGGAGGGGCTAACCTAGGTGTTTGTTTGTTTTTTTTTAGATTCGAGGAAAGACAAAAGAGAAAAACTCAAAAAGCTGCTTTAGAACGTCAAAAAGAATTAGAGGAAAAGGCACTTAATTAAAACAATACCAAGTTCTTTTTTTTTTTCAAAGAAAAAATAAAAAACTAGAAAGATATCACTTTTATCAGATTCATCCATGATTTTGAGAAATATGTAGGTCTGTTTTTATTGGGTTTTCTTTTGTAGGTAAGGGTTTATGTGAAGGAGAATGTTCAGTAAATATTTGATGTTCACTGTCAGGATGAGAAATTTATTGTCACTTCGAATATTCCCGTTTCATAAAAAAAAGTGGTTTAGATAGTCTTTTTTAAAGGCGGACGAATACTATAAAATTAGAGGCACATAATTTGTTTGAATGCAAAGTATAAATTATTTGAATAAGGATAGGTTCTACTGTCTGTTTTTAAACCCAAGCCCTAATTTTTCCGGTAATAATGGTGAGACTCCTAGTAGACGTAGATATTGGTATTACTTCCATTTTGTCAAAAGTTCGTTACCCATATGGATATCTAAGGGTATTTACATGATAACCAACTTTTCTCTCAATACTAATTAAATTAGCTTAGTCAAAAGACGTATTGGAATTTCTATGGTCCAAAATGTTTACATATATAGAGTGTATGTACAAAAAACCAATACTTAGATACAAAAGGAAAAGATAACCAAAGGTCAGCACGATCAGCTCAAATATAATCAACCACGTTTTGATACTTGAATAGATCTTTTGTCAACAAACTTAATTAAAATAGATTAAGTATCATTTATACCTATTTATTTTTACGATACTTCCGTCCTCTTTTTTCCTTTCTTTTGGTGAACAAAGGAATAAAGAAAGAAAAAATCTAATTTGATGTGTATGCTTTACACGGCTCTAAAAGAGATGTTTGTGGATATATTACTATTAGGATCAATTTTAGGTTCAAGGCTTTAGGTTTTAGGTTCTATTTAGTTTTTGTTTGTAGAAGAAAAAAACTGTCTGTCTTAAGCTTCCAGGTTCTTGCCAATGGTCTAATATAATTGTAGGATTTAAAGTAAACATGAGACTGTGGATCTGACTGAAAATCAAAATATCTTACAGATTAAGTGGGTGATTTTCGGCTTGAAATAAAGAAGCTGACTGAGAATCGAAAACTTTTACAAACTAAGTGAAAGACTGACTGAGAATAAGTGGCATATGTAAAGTTTTTATTGGATATTTAAGTTTATTTAGGGACCAAAGGCTCATCCAAAAGACCTAAAAATTAGATGGCGTTTGTTCTAACGCGAGAATAAATGTAGTCATTAGCTTTAAAAAGCGGTTCAGAAGCTCCATGGTTGCTTTGCCCATCAAAAATGTGTAGCCTGTTCCCCTCTAGTTTTTTCCCTCTGCTTAAAAATCAAAAGCAAAGCAGCCCACTACTTTCAAAAACCGCTCAAAAATTCGGGTATATAAGTAAATCGTAAGTGCCCAGCCCCGTCATCAATTTAGAATATTAAACATCCGATAAAAAAACGTTCGTTAGTCAGGGAAGGGCTTTCAAAACATAAAAATTTGAAGGATAATAAACAATAGATTTTTTTTTTTTTTTTTTTTTTTGGTTTCTCTTTGGAAAAAACAGTTTCTTACATTTCACCCAAAATAACGAGTCGAGAGAGATGTGGACAAAGGTTCGACATTTAAATCATTCACAGAAGCAACAAATTACTTCGAATTTATTTGTTGCGGTTGCAGTGGGAGCTGTGCTTACGGTGGCAGGTCCCACTTTATTACCCTGTCCAGCCTACGATCAAAACGACCGATCCGCATTCTTGGAAGATGAGCAAAAGAAAGCCAATCCTAACCTTAACAAAAAGGTTGTCATTGTCAAAAGAAGAAAAGATACCACAAACGTCGAAGAAAAATCATAGACAAATCCCCACACACACACACCATAAAAATCACATCTGTAAATAGAAATAATTATTTATTCCTCCCACTCCACGCACCACACTACCTACTCACTCTTTTCACTATGGACACCCCGCTTTTTTCTTTTCTATAAAAATCAAAAAATCAAAACTTAATAAAAATTGCTGCCCTCTCTCACTCCTCCCCCCTCAATCACCTTTTTTTTTCATGAAACTTTTAACATCTCTAATTGCCCTTGTGGGGTTTACCTCTGCGCAATTAATAATTCAAGGTACAGATTCTCTCTCTGAACCTGATTATTGTGACAGTAAGTTGTGAATTAAATCGCATAGCAGCGAGAAAAATTAAAAAAGAGATCGTAGCAACGACCTTATCATGTCATTGGACTGGATCGGTGGATGCATGCTGTTCACCAAAGTACGGCCTCGTCGTACTTGCTCTCCAATGGATGCCTGGCTTTGGTCCTAATGATGAATTTACCATTCACGGTAAGATTATCTACATAACTCTTTGTAGCTATCTAGCTAACGTTTTTATTATTTAAAAAAGGTTTATGGCCTGATACGTGGTAATATAAATATAGGAATGATGTTTAAACCTTTCTAAACTAATCCAACTCAGTTCTGGTCGTATGGCACCTGGTCGTGGCTGTGACAATAGTAGAAACACGAACCAAATTGCATCCATTGTTCGCAACATGAATTCCACCATGTATGGTCGCATGAATACCTTTTGGCCGAGTAATAAGGGCGATAACAATTGGTAAGCTTAGATTCGGGATTCAATTTTCTTTATCTAAAACTTTATGTTCTGCATAATATTAGGTTTTGGTCACATGAATGGACCAAACATGGCACGTGTGTAAGCACACTACGTCCTACTTGCTACGGTCCCACTTATAAGAAATACCAAGACGTCATTGAATATTTTGAGGTATTTTATCTGCTATTCTTTTTTTTTTTTGTCAGCAGTGAAGAATTAATCTTTTTTACATTTATCAGCAAGTGCTTGATCTCCGTGATAGATTTGATCTATTTGGTGCATTAAAGTAAACCAAATAATTAATGTTAGGTCAGCTTTCCCACTTTATTTAACACGCACACCCCTCTTTAGTTTAAATGGTGTATCACCTGGCCGTCACTATAATGTCGAAACAATCCGAGATGCCATCAAGTCCACTTACGGAGCTAATGTCAAACTGGATTGTCACGGAAACCAACTCTCAGAGATATCGCTTAATTTTTACGTGCGTGGTCGAGACAAGTATGAAATCACCAACGTTCAACGTGCCGGTAATTGTCGTGGCGCCGTCTACTATCCTAAAAAATAACATACCCCGTCCCCGTTTATGTATCTGAAACAGCACACTCTGTGAAAATACCAATAACAAGGAAATTAAGGCCGTATGCGGCCTTTCTCTCTTTTAAATAAATATGCACCTATAAAAATGAAGCATTGTTGTGTCACAATGATCATGTAAATTTTTTTATTTTATTTTTTTGACGATAAATAAGGTAGTGTCACGGGCTGCCTGATTCTTTAAAAACACTGTGATTTAGAGAGAAAAAATATGGTACCTTGGCTAATTTTTCTAATTCCCTCATCACATTATCAACATGTAATCCCATTGTTATGTTACCATGTTCACATTGCTTTTCAGTGATCTTGTCATCTCTTTTCCGTGGTCTAACTTTTAAAGATTTTGACAAGCGTAGATATATGATTGTAAAAACTGCAGTGTAACATGTGCATAAAAACTAACCTCTATAATAAAATACTCGATCTCGATTATGGATCATTCTTTTAAGCGCACTTTTGCCTAACATGTTTGTGCGTCATTCTGCCCTTCTATTTACGATTCTCGTATACACAGATAAATGATCAAATCAATGATCCCGCACCTCATTGTATAATCAACAATTCCACTTGTATCAAAACTCATAAGAAATCTTGAAACAAGTTTTAGATCCATGGTACCCGGAAATATATCGTGCTATCATCAAGTCACTGGACGAATTTATCATCATCACAAAGAATATTATAGCCGTGTCGAATCAAACTATGCTCCAACTTCAGCTACGTTGTTTATTCCGTTATCAAACATACACAACCGTCTGATTTCTTTCGTATATCTTGTTGCAAAAATAAAGAACCACTTTCTGCTGACACATCATTTTCAAAAGGACAGTTCTTTAATATATCTTCATTGTACATATAAGCTGTCGATGAGAACCTATGTGCGAACTCAAATTACCCTTATAAATGAGCAGAAAATTAGTAGTATGGCCAGTTCGTTGTCCTAAAGAGAACCCTCGTCGAATTAAACGCGTGAGAAAGAAAAAGAGTAATTCCTTAAAAATTGATAAACCTTATCATATTTAAACCAAAGGAAAGTGGTACAACGTATTACAAATTGAATTGCTCTTGCTATCATATCTCTCTTTCACAAGTTTTTAAAATAAATTCTACACTATCGGGTGAGAATACGCGCAATATTTTTTTAATTGACTTAAAAGAACAACATTTATTAGAACTAAAAATAAGGCCCTTTTAAACATTCACAGTGTTGGGCGCAGCTAATATTTCCTCGCGCTTGTGCCTGAGCCCTATTTTAGGAACATTTGCAGGTCTTCCGAGCCACATTGGAACAAATAAATTTAATTTTGATTACCTTGACCTCCTTTACCTGGATCTCTTCTTTTTCTACAAGTGACGGAAAATATGGAAGGGTACTGTGATTTTTCTCGGTATAAACACTGTATCAGCTTTGGTAAAAATCAAATAACACTCTATATTGAATTGACGTTAACACAAAACAGGATTTGATTGTATACAAACGGTGTCAAAGAGTATTAGCAATGACGACCATAACCGTGATTGGGATTACGAAAAAAAGTAAGCGTACTTCATCACATTAAAAATATATATTTTTTAAAAATCTGAACGTTTTATTTAGAGAATATGTCAAATTTCCTTCAATCGTATATAATACAGTCAGTGAGGTTGTTATAGCTAGAGGAAAATCAGAAGTGGGAGAAGTGCAGCTTAAACATGATGTAGATCTTTGTTGCGTTCTCAATATCTTTATGGAGCTTAACAACGTTTTTTTGAAAGCACCACAAAGGGTTTCTAAATCCGATATGCTTGATAATGTCATAACCTCAGAAGTGGTGAAGTTCTTACAAGATGAAATGAATGAATGGGAAAAAGCCTTAAAATGTTCCAAGTCAGATTTTTGTTATGCATTCACGCTGCCTACAGGGTGGAACTATGAGATTCAAGAAAAATTAATCCGCCCTCTCTTTATTTCCGCTGGCCTTATCAGTAAATACAATCATCCTGATAGGTTGCTTTTTTTTACTCAGCTCGAATCTCTATTTCGATGTATTCAATCAGACGATAGATATTTCTATAAAAATATTGAAGTGGAATATGGTAGACAGTACGCCATGTGCTCACTAAACTTTGCTGAAGGAGAAATATTTGTAAATCTGGATTTGTCTTCAGCTCAGTATCCTTCTTTGACATCAATCGACAGCAAATATGTTCCACAATCATTGAAATCAGCTAGTTTTAAATTTCCTTTTGAATTAAAAGAAAAACAGACAAGGATCAAAGCAATCGTAGAAAAAAAGTGTGACACCCTATCGCTAACAAATGTCCACAAATTGACGGATATATTGACAAATGAAGGTAACACAAAAGGACTTCCACAATGGATGCGGCGAATATATGATCCAGAAGGTAACTTCAAGATCTCTGACGAGGTAACTGAAAAAGCCACACTTTATACAATTTCTTAACAGGGTACTGACGAAACTGACCTTTTAACTACAGGATATATTGAATCTGGCGCCGTTTCAAGAATTTTTAAATTATAGACCATTTAAGCAGCTACAGGATTTGCGGTACAAAAAATACAGTTTAGAGAACGAGGAAATCCGTGCCCTTAAATCAATCACCATTACCGATATTTATGGAGAATTTCTGGAGGAAGAAGCATTCTTTACGGATAAATTGAATGATTTATTTCAGAACACAAACAAGGCAAAATTGACAACATTGATGATTTCATTTACCAAAGACTATACTAAAGCTCACCATGCTTTAGTACTACTGAAGCTTGTTGAAAAATGGCTCAAATCATTTGATAAACAACAAGGCTTTTATAGATTATTGACACGTGTTGTAAAAGGTCCTTACGAAGCTCTCAGTTTTCAATTTGGTAAAGAAGATATAATGTCTGGGACGGATAAACTTATTCAAAAAAAAATCAAGGAATCTAACAAGGGCAGATTGCCAAAGATTATACCATCAAATACAAGAGGTGATCAATTTGAAAAATTTTCGGATCCTATTTGCATCGTAAATATAGGTAAAAAAATCTGTGACGCAAACTCAGTATAGCTGTTATTATCGGCTAAATGTAAATTTTGAAATTTTTTAAACAGACATTCTCCCTACCAAAGTGGAAGCCATCTTGACACATGTGGAAAAAAATGATAGTGATAAAAACCATGTGAAAAATATAGAGTGGTAATTTTGATTGATCGCATGATTATAAAAATCATTGTACGACAAAACTAAAATATGACAATATAGCGATTTACGACCAATCAACAGCTTTATTAAACGACACGAATTATACCAGAGACCAATACTTTATATGGTCAGCAGGTAACAATCAATTAATATAATGTTTTTAGGCTTTAACAGTAATTATGTTTAGAATGATCTTATGTTTAAAATTTTGTTTTGGTGACCATTTAAAAGTGTATCCAAATAGCACCCAATTAGAAAAGAACGGAATTATGAGAGCTCTTATGAAAGCAAGCATACTGAAACGACTCATGAGAACTACTTTTGGCAACCTTATTAGAAGAAATGAAAGTGAAAGTCAGCAGTACAAAATTGAAGGTATAGTTTTCTATTTCTTATGATTACTAAAATTACGCATTATGGATTTTAAGTGATCCTAAGATAGATGATGTGTTTTCGATGGATCATAGACCTTCTGCTGGCAATGAGGAAGATTCCATTGCTATTCATCAACATGTTTATGTCAATTGTTTTTTGATAGCGTATCTTTATAGCTTAAACAAATTTATAGAAGAAAAACTAGACGAGGATTATGGAGATGAATGGAAAAACAAAAATATTGCTTTTACTGTATCCGTCGACAAGTATTTACTGGATAAAGTATTCGGTTCAAAAGAGAGGCTGAATGAATTATTTTATGCAAGTGGGGTACTCCAGAAAGACAACAGACTACGAAAAGCCCAAATATTTTCCTACGGTGAAGAAATCTTACCGGCTATTCAACAACGACTAACAGACTTGGACTTTAAGATGAAATCTTACTTTGTTGTCGCACAGATACACCCAAAACATATTCAACTGACCTTACACCAAGTCGTCAAGCTGTCGTCGTATGAAGAAAATACTGCTACTATTATAATTCAAGATGAGATTGTACAGATCGAGGATGTATACGACTCCCTTTGTAAGAATATTTGGATGAACATGCTATCAAGCATACATGTTAATAGTTGTAGTGTCGAAAGTCAAGCACATTGCTTTGGTTATAAGAATGTTTATCAAAAACTAAAACTGTGTGTAGTTGAAATAGTAAGCGGAATATTATTTATAATTCAATATGCTTCAGCTAACCAAATATTTTTAGATGAATTCTAATATCACAAGTTTGGATATGAAATTTAAAAACAACTTTAATATCGGTAATGATTGTGATTGCAAAACTGTTCTGTTTCTTCGCAACATCATTGAAATAGGTTTGAAGCCAGTATTACAAAACATTGCGACAATAATAGCATCTTCAATGAATAACGCTACATTATTTTCAAACTATGAATTGGATTATCTTTTTGTAATAGGAAACGTATTTGACTTACCATACAAATCAGCAATCTATTATACATACATTAAACTTGTACAGGAAGCCATTAATATCAGTATTGAATCAAAGGAAAAAGATACAAAAGGAATTGTGTTACATGAATCATTTCGCCATTTGTTGGAACAAGTTACTACACACAAAAAACCATACATGTTTGATAGATTTAGCATTGGGACCTTGGGCCAGGTTTTCAGAGAGACCTATGGCATACGGTTTCTTACTTGGAGGATTTCAAGTTATATTCCGTTTTCATGTACAGACTTCAATGAAGATGGTAAAAATACTCTCGTGGAGAATGGAAGTTTCTTAGTGGTTGTTCAGAAAGGACAGCCAGTTCCCATAACAGGGTTGGCTTTAGAATTTGAGCTATACTTTAAAGAACGACTGGATGACAGTTTACGTGCTGGTAACTACTTTGGGTCTAGGTATACAATTGGGATTCATAAATAATGTTTATATATATTTTTTAGAATTGATTAGAATGGACCATTTTGACGACCTTTCAGAGAACAAGTCGATACTTTTGGAAGAAAATACTGAAGGTGTGAAGTGTGAACTAGATGTCGTATACCCACGGGGATCAACTCAACCAGTTATATTGGATTTTAAACATGTCAATTATGACTACACCCTACAATTGTCAGTTAGAGCAAAGGGTGATGATACTTCTAATTCTGCAAAATGGCCCATATTTGTTGAGAATCCATTAACACTCGCATATACTTAAACACCCATATTTTTTCACGTCAAGCCTTTTTGTATTACTCCCATTAATAAACCTAGAAAGAGTATATTCTGGTTCTTTCTTTTGTGAAATTATAAGGGTTTATGAATTAAAGTTTAACTAAGTTACTTACATGAAAGACAATCTTATAATTTTTGTGCTTCAATTTATGAAATTTTATTATAGAAGTAAACTCTGAGTACTTAAAGTGTGATTTTTTTACAGTTATTGTTTACTTCTCACTACATTATATTCAGAATATCTGCATGAAGTGTCAGTTAGTGGAATATTTCTCTCTTCAAATATTAAACTTAGGATAGCCATAGCAAGTGACTACAGTTGTACCATCAGCAGAATATACGTTACTCGTATCTTCGTTCATAGATACTGTTTTATCATCTGATTTGTAGGTTCAGGAACAAAAAGCTCTTGTGAAACAATATTTTTATGGGGAAATTATTTAACACTATTCAAGGGGTTTGCTTTCATTTGATAAGACCAAAGGATAATTTGCTATAAATTGACCAAGAATTCTGCACTGGAGGCAGGTTCTTTTTTCGCAGTAATAATAGGACAGTAAGATTTTCGAGACAACAGTTACATGTAGGTTTGTATTTGGGAAAAACAAGTGCATCTTGGTATTAGCTTTTTCAGTGCTAGATTTAGTTGATATTTAAGGATGCGAATTGTAACCAAAAAGACCTCATTGACGTAAACAACGTTTATACGGTAAATGTCTGAGTATACATGACTCAGGCATACATATACCGAGCATGTGAGCTTTAGAATTTAAATTAAAATTTTAAATATATGGCCCTCACGTATTACCTTGAGCAGGATAATTGACGGTATGATCTATCTTATCAATCAGCTAAAACATGATCCTTTGTTGCAGCTTAACTTTACCTTCAATTTAAACAGGGGCTTGCTGCATTTTCTGTTCATTGTCATCTTTTGCACGAATTCCAAGTTCTTTCATATTACCGCCCAAAAGATTTGGGATTTGAGATAGTCATGAGATTTTTCCCTATTTCTTCTAACCATAATTTAGTACATATGGCCATTAGTATGTCTTTGGTCAAAAAAGGTTATAATACTCGCTACAAAAAATTATTTATTTGTGATGTCTATCGGCTGTTTGAAGAGTTTGTTTGTTTTTTTTTTTTTTTTTTTTTTTTTTTTTTTGCAAAAGGTCATGCTTTTCACACGTCTGTATTTATAGATAAGTTATTGTGGGATCACTATCAATTTTTTGGAGACATATTGGGACGAGGTAATTTTATTTTTACGGTTTCTGCTCTGTTGATACCCTTCTCTTTCTTTTACAACTCGACAAAAAAAAATGGAACAATATTGTGATTTTTCTCGATATAAACATTGTATCAGCTTTGGTATAGGAATCGATTCATTTTACATCAGAATTAATATTTACATAAAATAGGATTTGATTTTATACATTTAGTATCGAATAGTATTTGCAATGATGACCATAACGGCGATTGGGATTACGAAAAAAAGTAAGCGTGACTCATTGAAAATCATAAAACCAAGTTTTTTTTCTAAGGCTTTGAGTTGTACGATATAGACAACATGTGATATTTCCTTCTATAGTTTATGATATTGTCAGTAAATACGTTGTAGCTAGAGGAAAGTTAGAAGTGGAAAAATTGAAGCTTAAAGGAGATGAATTAGGTCTTTGTTACGTTCCCAACATATTTACCGAACTTAACAATATATTTTTGAGAGAATCACAAAGAGAGTTTAAATCGGATGTTCATGGTTTCGTTATAACGCAAGAAGTAATAAAATTTCTACAAGAAGAAATAAACAATTGGGAAAGCTCCTTGAAATGTTCAAAGTCGGACTTTTGCTATGCATTTACGCTACCCACAGAATGGAACTACGAGATTCAAGAAAAATTAATCCGTCCCCTCTTTATTTCCGCTGGTCTCATCAACAAACATGATCATTGCGATATATTGCTTTTTTTTACTCCACTAGAATCAATGTTTCGATATATTCAAACAGAAAACAATTATTTAGCTAGAAAAATGGAGTTGGAACATGGTAGACAGTACGTTATGTGCTCTTTGGATTTTGTTGAAGCCAAAATATACGTAAATCTAGATTTATTTTCAGCCCAATATCCTCCTCTAACGTCACTAGATAGCAAGTATGTTCCACGATCATTAAAGTCAGTTGAGTTTATATTCCCTTTTGAATTAAAAGAAAAACAAACGAGGACCAAAGCGATTGTAGAAAATCTGTGTAACTCTGTATCAATTCAAAATCCTACAAGACTGATTGAATCTCTTACAAATGAAGCCAACCTGGAAGGACTTATACAATGGATACGACAAAAGTTTGACCCCGAAACTAAACTCAAAGTTTCTGATAAGGTATCTCAAAGATACAAGAAGTACATCTGGTTTTATCTTAAAAAATGTTAAATTGGTTTATAGGACATATTAAATTTTGTACCTTTTCAAAAGCTATTTAACTATAGACCGCTCAGATATTTACAATGGAAGTATGAAGAATTGCAGTATCTAGATGTCGAGAAATCTCGTGATCTCAAGTCAATAACTATAACTGATTTCTACGGAAGATTCTTGGAGGAGGAAGCATTTTTCAAGAATAAAATGGATGTATTATTTCAGGATATAAACAAGGAAAAATCCACAACAGTGTTGATCTCATTTGCCAAATATATGTCACATGACCATCATGCGTTGATATTATTGAAGCTTATCGAAAAGTGGTTGACTGCGTATAGTGACCATCAGAAAGTCCGTTATAAACTGATGTCACACAACTTTAAGGATTTCTACAAAAGTTTTTGTTTTAGACTTGATAAAGAGTATGTTAGGTCTGGAACAGATAGACTTATACAGAAAAAGATCAAAGAATCTAACAAGGGAAGATTACCAGCAATTATACCATCCAATACAAGAAGGAAACAGTTTGATAATTCTACAGATTCTATTTGCATTCTAAACATAGGTAGGAGATTCTGTGACAAAAGCAGTATATTATTGCCGGCTAGTTAAATGTAAATTCTGAATTTTTTTAAGCAGACATATTTCCTGCCAAAGTGGAAGCTACATTAAAACATGTGGGAAAAGATGACAGTGCTGTAAATTTTGTAAAAAGCATAAAGTGGTAATGTTGTCTGAAAATTAGACAATAAACAACACTGTATGCCAATACTAACCCTTACATCATGACAATATATAGTGATTTGCAACCAATCAATAGCTTTATCGGACAACATGAATTATACCAGAGGCCGATATTACACATGGTTAGCAAGTAAAAATCATTAAATATAATCTTTTTAGATTGTAATTTTGATTGTACACAGGATAATTCTATGTTTAATGTCTGTTTCTGTAACCGTTTGGAAGGATATCCAAGTCGAAACCAAATGAAAAAGAATGGGATTAAGAAAGCTTTTATGAAAAAAAGCGTACTAAAAAGAATCATGAATATTACTTTTGGCCAAACTATTCGACAAATAAAAACAAGGACCAACAGAAAAAAATTGGAGGTATGGTTTTCTATCTATTTTTTATAAGAATTGAAGATAGGAGTTAAAATAAGCTTAAGTTAGATGATAGGCTTTCGGTTGATAATGTATTTTGTGTTCCGAATGATAATGATTTAATTGCTATTCATCAAAATATTTATGTGGATAGCTACTTAAGAACATATTTTTATAGCTTAAACAAGTTTATAGAACAAACATTAGACGAGGATTATGGAGATGAATGGAAAAACAAAAATATTGCTTTTACTGTATCCGTCGACAAGTATTTACTGGATAAAGTATTCGGTTCAAAAGAGAGGCTGAATGAATTATTATATGCAAGTGGGGTACTTCAGAAAGACAACAGACTACGAAAAGCCCAAATATTTTCCTACGGTGAAGAAATCTTACCTGCTATTCAACAACGACTAACAGACTTGGACTTTAAGATGAAATCTTACTTTGTTGTCGCACATATACATCCAAAACATATTCAACTGACCTTACACCAAGTCGTCAAGCTATCATCATTTGAGAAAATTGCCGCTACAATTATTATTCAGGACAAGATTATACATGTTGAGAACGCGTACGAGTCCCTTTGTAAGAACATGGTATCTAGCATACACTTTAATTACTGTAGTATCCATCAGAATGCTGGAAGTGAAGTACATGAATTTGATTATAGGAATGTTTACCAAAAACTAAAAATGTGTATATCAGAAATCGTAAGTCAAATATTATATATAGTTCAATATACTTCAGCTAACAAATTTCTTGTAGATGAATTCGAATAGCGCAAGATTGGATATGGAATTTAAAAAAGAGTTTGATATTGGTGTTGATTGTGCTTGCAAAACTGTTCTGTTTCTTCGCAACATCATTGAAATAGGTTTAAAGCCAGTATTACAAAACATTGCGACAATAATAGCATCTTCAATGAATAACGCTACATTATTTTCAAACTATGAATTGGATTATCTTTTTGTAATAGGAAATGCATTTGACTTACCATACAGATCGAATATATACGACACATATATCAAACTAGTGCAAGAGTCCATTGAAATTAGTATCGAATCAAAGGAAAAAGATACAAAAGGAATTGTGTTACACGAATCATTTAGACAGTTGTTAGAACAAGATATTGCACGCAACAAGCCATATATGTTTGACAGATTTAGCAATGGGACGTTGGGCCAGGTCTTCAGAGAGACCTATGGAATACGGTTTCTTACTTGGAGGATTTCAAGTTATATTCCGTTTTTATGTACAGACTTTAATGAAGATGGTAGAAATACTCTCGTGGAGAATGGTAGTTTCTTAGTGGTTGTTCAGAAAGGACAGCCAGTTCCCATAACAGGGTTGGCTCTAGAATTTGAGCTATACTTTGAAAAAAGAATTGATGACAGTTTACGTGTTGGTAATCATTTTGTGCCTGAGTATATAATAGTTTGATTTTAATACTTTTAGTATATTATGTTTTCTAGAATTGATTAGAGTGGATTATTTTGAAGAGCTTGTACCAAATCATTGTTTTCTTTTAGATGAAAACACCGAAGGTGCAAAATGTGAACAGGAGGTCATATACCCAAGGGGATCAAGGCAACCAATAATATTAGATTTCAAACATGTCAACTATAATTATACGCTGCAGTTGTCAATTAGAACAAAGGGCGACGACACTTATGATTCTGTGAGGTGGCCTATATTTGTGGAAAATCCGCTAACACTCGCTTATTCTTAAATTCATTAATAATTCATAATAAAGCATACACAGTGTTTTTTTTTAAAAAAAAAAACCAAGCCAAGCTATCCTTAATTTTACGACTACAACCCTTAAAGATATTTCTAAATCTCAAAAAAATGTGATAGTAGTAAAAAGTTAGTTAGTTATAATAAAGTGTAAAACGGACCATTCTCGAAAGTGGCAATATAAAGGCATAACCTTCACTTTATCAGTTCATTCCTTACGACAACACTTTCGTAATAAAAGCAATTTGGAGTGGGACTGTAGGAGAATATTTTAATGTGATCACTAATGTAGGTCATCACGGTATTTATTGATACCTAACAGAAAACTAAAGTGGTGGCTGCCAGACAGATGTGAAAAACTTGCCAAGAAATAAAAATAAATGGGTAATAATAGTTATCATATAATCGCTCGAAATAAAAGTGGGCAGAATGATGCGGAATTAATAAAAATCATAGAGGGTTTATCGGGGCAAGTATTTTGGTTTTGGCATTTTATTGCATCTTCTTGTTCTTTTTTTAATGCCATGTAATTCAATCTAATCAAACTTCTAATGTATTTATTCTATTTAATTCAATATGACCACATATATTATTTATGGTAATATATCTTTTTTTCTTCAGATCGCATCTATGGTTGTTATCGAAAGTGCGTTCTACAGTATCATCATCATCAGAGTTCGCCAGCGAATCTCCACTCATAGAAATCGATTGAATATCTGATTCGTACAGTTCAGGAACAGGAAGGTCTTGCGAAGTAATGTTGTTGGATAGCGATCCAGCACTACCCTTGGTGTTTTTTCTATGATTCCATGAGGCTAAAGGACAATTGGCTTTCAAATGACCGGGACTTCCGCACTGAAAGCAGGCTCTCTTCTTCGCCGATATCATGGGGCATTTTGATTGATTATGCTCTCCATGACAGTATTTACATGTTGGGCTTATATTCAAGTAAGCCAGATGCAGCTTTGTATTTGCTTTCCATGAGGTAATTTGAGGTGCGAGTTGGTGGTACATTGAATCCGATTTGTGCTTCCGGAGTGTAACAAAGCCTTTTCCTGTGAACCAGCCACCATCTGTAACACGATAAATTCCTATTTTTAAAATTTCTCCATACTGCTTAAATATATCGATCATATGGGACTTCAAGAGATCTTCACTTTGCATTGGAATGTTGGAAACTTCAACTTTAATTACTGTTGTATCTTTATCCAATGGACGACTGATTCTAATTGTTTTGTTAAAAATTACAAGTTTCTTCGCCAAAGCCTCGTCTCTTTCTGCAGCAGATCCAAAATTGATTTCTATATGTTTAAGTTCTTTATTTACATTTCTTGCCCGAAGTCCTAGCCCATTTGGAAAATGTTCTCGAAGAATCAGGTTCAAGCTTTTGCTTTTAAATTTCATACCAGTGAATTCAGACAGCGAGATGATTATGGAGTTCTCCTCGATAGCCTCCAAATATAAACTATCACACGAAAGCTCTTCAAGTTGATTGCTGCGTTCATCCTTCTCCAGAGAAAATTGATATTGTTGTAGCAAACCAAATGTCTGGGCGTAAGATTCATTAGTGAAGAGATACTTATTGAAGGGAGACCCCATGGTACGTGAAGCATTTCGGTTGTTTGAGGTATCTTCTGGTATGCACTGCATTGGGGACAAATTAGGCTGTGGAAAAATATTGTGACTATCTGTCCCTAAAATGATTGCTGGGGACGATGGTTGTTGATGAGATGGGTACACAAGAGACATACTTCTGGTAGAAGAGGATTGAAAGTAAGAGGGACTATCTACTGGGCCAACACTAAAGTATGGTGACATACACAATGTACTACGTACAGATGATAGACATGTTCTTTTTCTTGCTCCAGAAAGTCCAAATGGATGGGGGTAGTACTCAGGTGAATTAAAATAATAGCCAAATGAATTGGGGGCACAGTTTGATAAATTAGGATCGTTTGATTGATGTGTTTCATGGTTACTAGAATCTAGATCTTCTACAGCGGGCTTTTGATGGAATGTTCGCTTTGTACCAATGACCAGAGGCAAATTTACAGAGAGCACCCTGTTTCTATTTTGAAGTTCAACCGTGACACGAAGTTTGTAATCTAGCCTCATCACCTTGGCGCTCAGACTGCTTATTGTTGGTGTTAAATTAGATGGTATAGGAAGCGTGATAGGTTGAGTGGAAGCCAAAATTTCGCCCTTCAAAGAGTATTTTTCAACAATTCTATCGTCTAATTGCCAGGTTGTTTCTGGTACACTATTTGAAGCACAAATAATGTTTTAGTGACACCTTCTTTTTTTTTTTTTTTTTTTTTTTTTGCTTTTAATTTTACCGGTCTCTAACGGAGGCAATGCTTTCTTGGCAAATTAGTTCAACTACAACAGATTCGACAGGGACATGTATTTTGGGTTGTTTTAAATTAATTTCAACATCGATTGTTGTTCCAAGAAGCCATCCTTCATGGGGAATACTAGCCGAAAGTACATACGTGTCTTCGTCCTTTTCTTCCTGTGGCCAAGAAATACTCGTTTCCTTTTGTTTCTCTAATCCATTCATATCAATATCCACTTTGGCAACAAGAGGGAGGGCAATACTACTTTTTGCTCTTATAGTTTTCTTGAAAAATCGCGTTGATCCCAAGCGAATTTCAACTGTGTACTTGATTTTACCGCCATCCTTGCCATCGATTAACTAATATACCAATGAATATATGGTTAGAGTGAGTGTGAATATTGTTACTAATATTTTTAAACTAACATCTCTGTAACTGGGGATTCTGACATTATTGGGAACTTCTACACTGTAATCAAATTCAACTGCTCTGTTTATGTAAGGAAGTTTATTGTAATGCTTTATCGGGATTTCTTTTTCGTATGTGAAGATATTTTCAAAGTGGTGGGTGATTTTGTTGCAGTAGGAGCTGGCTCGTCCTTTAAATCTGATAATAAGGAAGGGGTTTTTTAAAACCTTTTTGAGCTGCAAGTTGATAGTGACTTGAATCCTTTCGTCTTCAAAATAAAAAGGTTTGTTATCTTTGAGTTTAATTGAAACAATTGGTTTTTCGCCCATTTTTCATTTAAAAGTTAGAGAAAAGAGAAGAAAAAAACTTTTTTCGAAAAGGTGGTATAAATATCACATCTTGGCGTTTGCCGTTGTGGCACAATGTTACCCAGATTGCCCCAATTATTTTTTCTTTATGATGTTATCACTGTAAACGCCACTTATTTATATTTTGCCACTCTTCTTTTTTTTTTTTTTTGCTACTCACTGTGTTAATGACATCATATCTAAAAAAAATAGAATTTTAGGTTTTAGGTTTTTGTTTGTTTGCTTAATCTATTAACGATAATATGCTACACATTTTATTATAATGCCAATTTTAAGTTGTTGTTGTCATCCCTTAGGCACCAATCAATTGATCAAAAGAAGTCTTAAATTGATCGATGATAAACTTGTAGAACAATACAATCATATTTGTTTTAAGATTTTCGTTACACAGATACGCAGAGATCGAGTCAAAGTCAGACTGATACAAACGCATAATATTATTTATAGAATGTTGTAGTATTTTTATTTTTTAAGTAGCTGTCGTTTTTACTATTTTTTTTTAAAAAAAAATGTCATTACTTATTAGACGGTATATGAGAAAAAACCACCGAAGACATAAATACTTTGTTTCCATACACGGATTATAATTGTTATATGAGCAACGCATTTAGTGTGACTCATATCTGCTTATCACCAAAAAAAAAAAGGAAAAAAAAAACTAAGCTAAAATACATTTATGTGGGCACAACTATTGAACTGTTGCTTTATAATTTTATCATAATCACACCCAGTGGTGTCATCAAAGGTGAACAAAACTTTCCAAAATCTCTCCTTCATGTACCACAAGCAATTTGGTGTTTCGTAGAATCAAGAAAAACTACTTTGTATTTCTACATCCACAAGCATTTTTATAATTGATGGCACACTTGATCAGGTTTTGTTTTAAAATTATGCTTGGGTAGAAACAAACAAACCCGCTCTGAGTCCTCCGAAAGAAAGCATAAAATATTCCGGCCAATTGATTCCATTTTATTACAAAAACTACATCTAAGTAACTTAATATCAAAGTATTCATCCACAAATTACACCCTATTGCGGGATTGTATATGACAATACTCTTTGTACCTTCTAGTTTGTGCTACATGAGTGGTTTAAGCTTGTACCTGTAAAATTGACTATAAGTATTGAAAAATGGGATTGGAATTTGATCGGGTTTGGTTTGATGATTCGGCACTAGGATTATACGGTGCCATATAAACTGTACTGCTGACCATTGATAGATATGTGTTGTTGGACGCATTCCGGGGAGGGAAAAGAGCTGGAAAATTTATAATTGGGTTTGAAGGGTATCCGAACGGATGTGAAGGAACTACGGCTTGAATCGGAGGGTATTGAAATGGGGTTGGGCGATATCTATCTGTAAGATATTCACCTGTACTTTCTTGTTGATTAGTCGTGTTGAGTACTTCTATATGATTACCAAATTGACGAGACTGATTGTCACCAAAATGTACCTCCTGCCTCATAAAGTTGTTTTTGTCGGGTTTTTCTGTACCGATCACAAAAGGCAAATCCACAGAGAGAGCCTTTTGCTTACCTGGAAGCTCAATGGTAACACGAATTTTGTAATCTAATCTCATTACCTTGGCAATAGATTTGCTTATTGTTGGTGTCAAATAAAGTGGGATGGGAATCTCAACGTCTTGATAAAAGGCTTTCATTTGACCGAATATAGACTGCATTACCACATCTTTTTTAGTAGTTTGGATAATCTCATCGTTCAACTGGTAAGTTGTATCAGGTATGCTATTTCAATATTTTAGTGACAAAGAGATATGTCGTTTCCCCCTCTTTTACCTGTCTTTAGCTAAAGCAATAAATTCTTGACAAATGAACTCAACCTTAACAGCTTTAACAGGTTGATAGATTTCAGGCTGCCTGAAGTAGATCTGAACTCCAATTAATGTACCACGTAACCATCCCCCATGAGGAATACAAGCTGTAAGTGTGCAAGTATCTGCTCCTTGTTCCTGTGGCCAGCATCTAGTCGACTCCTTTTGTTCTTCTAGTTTATTCTCGGTAATATCTAATTTAGCAGCAAGAGCAACTGTTATAGTTTGATTTGCAAGTGCAACGTTTTTGAAAATTCCCTCTGATTCTAGATGTACTTCGATTGTATATTCAATTTTCCCACCACAACCACCATTCAACTAAACGAATGAATTCGTAGGCTTCTCTTAAAATTATTTTTTAAACACACTTACGTCTTTGGAATTAGGGATTTTGATATCCGGAGGAATCATTACAGAATGATCAATCTTGTGTGTTGTATTATAAGGATGCTTATTGTAAATCTCAATAGGGATTGGTTGCTCATATTCGAAAATCGTCTCCATGTGTTGCTTGATACTGTTCTTGTAAGAGCTAGCACATCCTTTAAAGCGGATGGTAAGAGAAGGGTTTTTCCATTCCTTGCCAAGACGTAAATGGATCAAAACTGGAATATTTTCATCCTCCTGATAACAGCTTTCGTTTTCCTTAAGTCTGATCGAAATTTGTGGTTTACCCATTTTTTTTTTTTCAACTAAAAAAAAAAAAAAAAAAAAAAAAAAAAAAAAAAGAAGCCAATTTAGACCTTTGTGGTTTTTATAAGAGAACTTTTTACCTTGAAGCCAAGCCGTTGTGGCATCAGTGTAACCACTACAGCTTTAACTGGATTTTTCTAAATAGAAAAATCATTGCGCCACTTGCTAAGTTTTTTTACCATTTCCTTTTTTAATTTTTTTATGTATCTAGTGTTTTTTCATTCTTAATGACACAGGAAACAGAGTTTCTATAATTTGATCTAACGAAAAGCCTCGAGTAAAAACATATGTAAGAAGTACGATGTTTAAACCAACGTCCTACGAATAATGCGTATATCATCCTACCCCATTACATCTAAAAATCAAAAATCAATTTCACACTCAATGCTAGTTTCTATCTTTACTTTACCTCAGCAAGGTAAACTAGAAAACACAACGTTTCATAAGTAACGGTCTAGACAAAATTCTATAAAGTCACTAGAGAAAAGCAAAAAGATTAAAAGAACATCTTGTTCTCTATTTAAAACAATTACATTCAGGGTAATAGTTCGTATATAATGGCAGAATGATCGAAATACCGATTACACAGTTTCTATTGCTACTGCTGAAGGTGTTGATAGTTAATGATTCATCAGTAACTGACAACTCGGACTACAAACAACATTAGAGATATTTATAGAATATCAATCATAAAATGAGTATGTTCTATATATCAATAATTATTTTTATTTATCGTTCTTTGATAATTTGTAAATTGTTAAACGATCTTTGGGAGAGCATTTTGTGTTTTATAGAAGTACTTGTATACTGCTTAATTTTCAGCTAGTACTACCTAAATTTCCATTGAAACTCTCGAAATCGCTCCAAATCTCAAGAGAAAATTAGACATACCATGCTATTTTGAAGAATCGCTATTTTATGATATACAAATTTTAAACAAAAATGGGTCGATAACGATATCACTCGCATTACAATTGTTTATTTATAGGTGGTATTTTATAATATCCCAACCTCAAACTCATAGACTTTGGTATACTTTGCGTTATCTTGTATGGGTGAAAAGACAGTTTCTTCAGAAGATTCAAATACCCGCTGGAGAGTATCAAAATCTGGATGCCGGTTTCTGCATAAAACATTCATATGTGCGTGATGTGCCACTGGTATTAGCAGAATGATATGGTGTCGGGCTGCTTGCAGATGAGGCATTTACAATTGGTGACATGTACGCTGTACTACTGGCAGGTGAAAAGTAAGTGTTTCCTTCTGCTGGTGCCTGAAGATAATCTTCGGGACAGTTATGATAATAGACAGGAGGTTGGGGCATAGTTAAAGTAAAAGGAAGTGCACATTCAGAGCACCGAATTGAGCATGGGGAAGATCTATCTGAATCTGTAGTATATTCACCTGGATCATCTTGATACTCGGTCATGTTTGGAGTAGCCGCACGAGTATGAGGTTTGTTATTAGGCTCTGATGTTAAAGTTGTTGTCGTACCAATAACAAGAGGCAAATCCACACGTAGATTTTTGTTTTTTCCAGGGAGTACAACCGAAACACGAAGTTTGTAATTTAAGTTAACCACCTTGGCAACGGATGTACTTATTGTTGGTATTAGCTCAGGCAAAAGAGAAAAATAAATTTGTTGATTGAAAACTCTCATTCGATTGATTGTTGAGTGCATTTCCACATCTCTTGTATCCTTTGAAATGATTTTCTCGTTCAACTTGTAACTAAGATCTAGTACGCTGTTTTAAAAATAAAATAAAGTTTAGTGGCAAAGTAATATAAGTTATTCTCTCCTCCTACCTGTCTTTTGCTAAAGCGATAGATTCTTGGCTGATTAGTTCAACTGTCACATAGCTTACATGGTTATATGATACGGGTTGTTTAAAATCGATCTGAACTTCAACTGAAGCACCACGTAGCCATCCTTCACGCGGGATATAGGCTGACAGCTGACACATGTCTGCTTCTCGACTCGCAACGGGCCAGTAATCAGTCGATTTCTGTGATTCGATTAGTCTGTTTTTAGATATATCTAATTTTTCAAGAAGCTTGACTATAATTATCTGACGTGCGAGGGGTTTAGTATTTCCAAAAAACCCAATTGATTCCAAGCGAACTTCGATCATATATTCGATTTTACCACCATTGCCACCTTCATGCTAGTTAAAAAGACTTTAAAGGTATTGTTTTCAGGAATTTTTTATATATGCTTACGTCTTTGGAGCTAGGAATTTCTTTACCCTCGTCAACCTTTACAATGTGATCAATCTCGTATGTCATGTTGTACGGTTGCTTATCATAATTTTCGATGGGGATCGATTTTTCATCTTCGAAAATTTTCTCGTTGTGCTGCCTAGTACTATTTTTGTAAGAGCTAGCATATCCTTTAAAGCTGACAAAAAGAGAAGGGTTACTCCATTCCTTTTCAAGGCGCAAACTGATTACAATTGGGATACTTTCATCTTGATAATAAGCTCTATCTTCCTTCAAATCAATCGAGATAAACGGTTTAATACCCATTTTATTAAAAGTTAAAAGTTAAAAAAGAAAATAAAGGAAAAATAAAAGAAAGAAAAAAGAAAAGAAAGATGGTTTATAGCTTTTATGATGTATGATGTTACGCCAAGATAAATTGACATACTTAAAATGTTGGGATATTGTAGCACCAATAAATAACCTGACCTCGGCGTCAAGTATTTTTTAAATCTAAATCCAACCTTCAATCTGTCAACAATTGCACCACTTGTCAGTTTTTTGTCACTAATGCTTTTTAGTAGATCACCGCAAAAGGGTTTATAATAATCCAAACGTAATTCAAATTGTTACCTACACAGTTGTGGTAGATAAAATTAGGCTCGCCTACTGAAAGATTCCGAAATAATAACTTTGCCACATCGTACGTACAAGGTATACTACAGTCGATACTAGATCTCTTTATGGTTGATTCGTGTTTTGGATTCATCAGTCAGCCCACCACTTAATCTCCATATCAAAATATTTCAGCAGCCTCCAACTTTACTTTTAAAGCAAAACAAAAAGATAATGCTCGTTTAAAATGTTTTCCTTTCTTGATTCTCATTTTGTTTCACGTAACACACTGTCCTTTGATGTCCATGTGTCTCGGAAGCCTTTCGGACTCGGCTAGCATGAGTCTTTAATCAGAGTCCTACTCAACTTTCGAGTCATTACCACAATACGGTTAAGTATTATCTAATTCCCGGGTTGAGATTTCATCTGTACTTTATCTAACTCGCTTATTATCTTTCTCCTTGTGAAACGTCAGGACACAGGGCTTTTTTTCTTTTTTGAAAATAAAAATAAAAAGCCAATAGCTATTCAAATGTTTTTAATTAAATTTGCTTTAAAAAAATATCACCAATATTATAGTGTAGGTTCAACTTTCTCTTTGATAATATGCAATTGTTCGGGATATGACTACGGTTTATTTTCTAAATCATTGCTTTTTTAAGTGTGTCAGTGTAGTCTTGTCCTTAAGTGACAAGAGAACCACTTCAAAGTATAAAATAAAAATTTATCCTATAGCAATAATATATGAACTGGTGTTTCTATCAGTCCAGTATTTCCTTTCTCGATAAGGCAGGTGTACACATGAAGCATGTTTATTAATATAATTTTATGCATTTTTGGGCTTCTTTTGCTTCCTCCACTTTTCTACTATGTTTTGCACACGTTTGCTAGAATGTTTATGTGTGTTTGTGGAAGATGCGCTGTGTCCAGATGAGTTGAAGTAGGTGCTAATCACTTGCTGTTCCCCAGAGGCCTATAATAAACAATGTATTCTTATTAAATGATCATATTTGCAAAACAATGAATTTTTTTTGTACCTTTCGGCTATTCATTTCACGTAGTACAGGCAAAAGTACTTCGTCTGCCTTTTCTTCTGACCACCCAAATGCCTCGGTTAAAAAGACACGTAACGAATCAAGCTGAGGCTGACCCCATTCAAACTTCTGGGTAGACTTATCCACTGTTGGATTGTAATATGCGTCTTTTACGCGGGGGTCAGGAAAGTCCCCGGGTATTTCCAAATCACTATGCTGTTTCCTCTTTTTTTTTGTTAAAAAACAAAATAAGTCATCAGTACCGAATAGCATGTCTACTTGAATATTTTAAAACTTACAAACTTTTTTTGGAACGGTGTATCATCTACATTTCCATTATACCAATCTCTAAATTTTTGCAAAGGTGCTTCCAATGGCTCCTCTGGTGTTGTTGAAAATTCAAACAAAATTTCCATGGCTGTGACAGGCCCCACACCAGGGATACCGTCTGTATAATCACTACCTAAAAGGAAGGCTAATTGAATCAACTTTTGTCTATTTAATAGCATTTCTCGGTCGATATCTTTGCTATGATAACATTCTACAAAGCGTTGCTGGTTAAACATATTTTTGTATACACGGCCAGCACCAAACAAAAAGACATCGGAGTCATCTGTAATTGTACCATCCACCAAGGCCAAAGACTCCAACTCAGCACACTGCGCTTCGGCTTCCATAGGAGCGACCATATACGGTATACCAAACAATTTTAAAAGCTCTTGAATCTCTTTAATCATTTGACCGGTAATATCATCCGTGTTTCCCATATTCTTTTTCTGTGCCTGGTTTAATTCTTCTAGATCTTGTTGGAGATTATTTCTGATATCCGCAATATCTTTGGATGCAATATCAGATACAAAGCGAGCAAATTCGTCGTCTTCCTGGTCGATATTCCCCTCTAGTTCGTCTTCTGAATTGTAGCCAATTTGTATTTGCTCATTTTGTATCTCTTCTTTTTTTGGTCAACTTCCGTAACCTCGTCCTCTAACTTTTTTTCAAGATCCGGTTCATCTGAAAGCAATAAGGATTGTTGAATATCAATATGCAGATGTTCTCTAGCTATATTCTCTTTGTCTTGTGGTGATGAATTATAGATCCTTTGTGGTGCTTCGGAAAAGTGGATGTCTATATCATCGTCGTCTTCATCAACAATAACCGCATTATCGTCATCCGGAACTGTTGTAGTCGCGCTATCCGCCTCCTCAATTTCATCAGATACTTTTAAATTTCCATTTAAGGGAACCTGTCCTTTCTTTCCTTCTTCTTGGAGATTCTCTTCGGTTCCTTGTTCTTCCGGGACTAGTGTGTCCTCACTTGACCCAACAGCTTCTTCATCTGACACGACTACCTTATCATCTAGATCCATCGTGTCTTCATCCCCTTTTTTTTCACTGCTTAATAATTCATCATGTTGAATAGGCAAGGTTTCAAACTGGACATATTCTTCATCTGATATATCGTTTATCTGTACCGGTGACTTCATGGATGACTCTTGTTCCTTAAAATCGTCATATTGGATATCAAAATTTCTCTCGTTCCAAGCAATGACACTTTCCAGAAAGGCTTCATGAAATTGAAGCGACTCCAAAGCTAGTTCATCAATTTCATTCGTTTTTCCACGTTGTTTACAAATGGATTTCAATTGACGGCGAAGTGTGTCAACGTCGTCTTCTTCGATAGTCGAGCGTATGATTGATAAATGCTGGTCATTGAGAGAATGAAGGTAAACAAATGCATCTGGCATACGAGAGACCCATAATCTATAGAAATCGTCTATATCCAAAGTCAATGTGATATCCTGCTCCACGGGCACTGGATCTTGAGTAGGGTACATGCGTGATATCACTTGGTTTATTGCATCCTCATCCTCACCATCATCCATGTAAGCACGGATATCGTCCACTAGAGGTTCTACTGGCTCCTCATTTTCCTTATCCATCTCTCTGTCTAGTATTTCCGCTTCTCGTTTTTCGTCCTCTTCATCCAAAAAGTCGCTAAAAAGAGCTGCTAGCTTTGGATTGGCCGCAATAGCAGCCTGCACTTTATCTTCTGGCTCACTTAACCTTTTTTTTAAGTTTTTGAATATGTAAATCATATCGAATGAGATTTTTTTATTATTAATGTTTACCTTTCATCAGGCACTTCCATTTTGGGTTCTGGACGCGTCGGACCATCCAATTCTACAGGTTCTGAGGCAGTCAATCCTGGCAACTTCCAACCAAGACCTTGATCAAGATCTTCATTTTTGTACAAGATATATTCTCTACCGCGTTCACCTGCAATTCTAGACGGCTCGCTGGTAGCATTTCCGCCTGCTACCGTATTCATTTGCATAAGACGTTGTGTCATTGTATTTCGATGCTTTAACGATTTAATTTGATACTTGGAAAAGTCCAATGCAGTGGCCGAGCCCTGCACCATTTTATCCAGTCGAGCCCATGAAGTTTGACGTGACTTAATTTTTAAGTCCTGAATGACTTCGTACTGTATTTCGGGAGGTAAAGACTGAAATGTTTCTGAATTGATATCCATTTCGGAAGGAGTAAATTCATCTACAAAATTTTGTATTTCCTCTCGTGTCGCTAACCGTGGATCTAGTTCATATATTTCTCTCTTTGGTACGTCTGGTAATTCATATTGATCTAATTTTATCGGTTTGCGCAGTGCTTCTGCAGTTTTTTCTAATTCAGCTGCATAAACAAAGTTTTCATCTTGTCCATGTAACCTTACATTTACTATTAAAGGTCTATTTCTTGCATGATTTTTTTTTTTTTTTTTTTTTTTTTTAGTTTACTTTTTTTCTTGTTCTAATAACACTCTAGCTTTCATTCGAGTAGTAAGGATTTTTTTAGCAGTAGCTCTTAAATTCATCTGAATGCCTTCTCTACGTTTTCTCCTCATTATCTAAAAAAGGAATGTCAATTTTTTTTTTTCAAAAAGAAAAAACATGAGTGTATCCATTTACAATAGTGGATCGTTTTAAAACAGGAGCACCGCCATCAAAGACAAAGACGGGCTTAATATCGAAAAATAAGAGTTTGCAAATTCGACGAAAAAAACCCAACAAATGACCATTGCGTAAAGCATTGCCTTCCTTGTCACGCATAGCTCGCATAAATTGGTGAATCCATATGGATGCATCCACTGCAATCCTTTTTTGTCGCAAGGAATCTAATTGTGTGGGTCTTGCTGCAGGATTTAAAAGTGACCAAAGTCCTTGCACTCCCATGTTAATGTAACGTAAAAGAGGAAAAGGAGAAGTATAAAAGAAAGAGAGAGAGAAAAAAACTGGGACTGCCGTAGTAACTTTTGCTCGTCTTGAAAAAAAAAATTACACGAATTGAGCAGATGGAAATCCCTAAAAACCCTCATTTACTACAATATTCTGCTTGAGTTTAACGTAATGTATATATTCTGATCCAAAGAGGTTTCCCATACGACCTGATGGTTTCCTGTACTGGAAGAATGGATAGATATCATGTGAATTATGTTATAAATCAAAAAGCAAAGATTAATCAAGTCATCCTTAGTACATTTTAGACCATACAAAAAAAAAAAAAAAGATGTGCATGGATTGGGGTTTAAATTTATTTCAACCTATTGAATAAATCGAATAACTGCAGATGGAGTGATACTGAAAGCACCATTTAATACTGTAGCAGATCTTGATAAAAGGAACCTGTATAAATCTCTTAAAGAGTCAATATACTACATAAATAAAAGATGTAAGTCAGTATAATGATATCAGGCGTGTAAGATTGATCGTACCTTGCTATCTTTATGACCGTTGATCACAGTGATATCAGCCCATTCGACAAGAATAGCGACTTGTTGTCCTAGCTTGATCAAGACCTTTGGGTCAACAAAGTACTCTGCCAAGAAACGAATCATTTGTTCATGGATTTTACTATCCCAAGCTACGACGTTTAAGAAGAAACCTTCAACGACGATTTGTCTCCATCTTACATCCGCAATGCATTCGTATAAATTACGTTTTGAGACGATGTCGATCATGGTTTTGATAAAACTAAGATATGTTTGTTTATAAATGATTCCGTTATCCTCGAAATCAGGTCCCGGCCATGTATTTAAGATCAGGGGCAAGCATCGACCCAATGTAGCCACATCGCCTTCTTGAGTGCGATCTACAAGGTAATGAACAAAGACTTTACGAGCAATATCACTGCGGCGTAACATGACACTGATCACTTCAACATCGCTCTCTTTCATAGGGTATGATATATCTTTTTCTTCGTCAATCATCACGGAGCAGATAGCATTCCAATATTTCGACTTTAAATCTTTATCGAGTTTTGGGATTTTGGCGTTGTGTGCAATCGCATTGGGAGCATGTTCTGCTAAATTTAAAAGTTTACCATTGTAGTTTGTCAGCTCTTCCAAATTGTCCACCATGTTGTTCTCCACACTACTTCTCAACCATCGAATAATACACGATGCTAAAAAGTTGGAAATCATTGGATCCATCAATACCATCGCAAAATCACTAACAACCCAAAATAATTGTCAGTATCAATCCATATATATATTGTCTCTCTCCCTCTCTCTCCCTCTTGCTGTTAATATATAAATTACCCATAAAGAGGTGTTCCGTTTTTCACGTCGTCAAAGCATTCCTTAATTTTTTCAATAATGGTGTCATCCATATTTTGGTTGCGTACACAAGTATCGAGAGACCAAATGAGTTGATGACATTTGTCCAACTGAAGTATCTGTACAACTAATGTTTAATAAACAAGGGGGATCTAGTATGGTGATATAACTTACAGGTTCACAACCCAAATCATGGAAATTCATCAATACATCTACACGCAAGGAGCACAAACTAGGATGAGGGGTGGATTCGAAAACGATTCTGATCATTTGAGTAAACATCATATAAATTTGAGGATCTTCGCCAATTGTATCCATCACTTTAAGAACAATAGGATGTGTTCGTCTAACTGGATCGTTAATACCGAAAATAGCATAAGCAAATAAAAAATAGGTCTTGTAATGGTTGCTCCTTTACCTCTCTTCAATCATTTCTTGATAGCTCTCGGGTCTTAGATTTAAAGCCAAAGCTTGTAATGATACGTCGTGATGATAATCGTTTAATAATGTGATCATGGTTTGGTGGAAAAATTGTTCATCTTGTTTCCAGACACGTTGCTTAATGTTCATGGGGCAATTGTCGAAAACAGCTCTGTTGGACTTTAACTTTTCAATGATGTTTTCGCCAACAAATCGTTCAAACTTTTTTAATAAAGCCATGGGGATAGGCTGCATTAAGGGAATATGAATGTATGGGAATGTTCTGGCGAATAAATCCTCAAATCTATTACAAGGTGCCGTTAGACTCCCTTTTTTACATGGTTGGAATAACAAATAGTAGCTGACTTACTGTTCCAATTGAAAAGTTCGCTTTTGGATAAGAGATACAGTAGCCTTGTTTAAAGCGTCTAAACAGGCAGTATGGATTTCAAGACGACTATATCCGCAAAGATCAAGTAAAGGATACATGTCGTCAATTCCAGGAAGGTCAAGTCCATAGTCTCGTTGTATGGATCGAATGGCTTCTAAAGGATCGCCTGACTGTGACAAAAGGGTTCTAATTTCCTCGTCTGCGGGCCCAATTAATAACTTTTTGTGTTCTGTCATGTTAAAATAAAAAAGAAAGGGATAATAAATATAAACACGGGCCAGTTTTCGCGTGGACTTTTTTTTTTGAAATGCAAAATGGAAAAAACAAGACTGCTCCGTGACCTTTTTTTTATTTGGAGTGAAATGACAAAGTACCTATCTCTTGGCGCGGGTGAATATAGGTACCGCATTTTTGTACTTTAAGAAATTGTAATACTGACAGGGACGTTACCTTTGTCTCCTGTTATTTCCTTGATTTTAAACTCAAGCACGCTTCGATTTTATGTCATTCTAAACGAGGCTTACAAACTTGTATTAAAGTAATTATTTCCCTGTCAAAATCAGCCATTTGTTCATAATAACTGCCCATAACATATTTATTTAAAAAAGGGAAATGCAACTTAATAATTGAATGATATTGAAATGTACAGCGTGACAAAGGTGGTTAAGCAAATTGTGGCTGTTCCGCATATTAAAAGTAGCAAAAACCCAGGGCCATACTCAATTGAGACGTATTAGTATTTATTTTATCAGCTATAAATTACAATGTGTTTCGTCATATTCTTAGTGGTAAAAAAAGGTCCAAATATCTACTAAAATATGATTTTTATTGTTCATGAATGTTTAATGTTGATTGGAAGACAAAAAGTCTGCTGTTTGGAATTTTTAATACCGCGGATTGACTTTAGAAATCCGCCCGTTGGAGCCGTACGCACTGTATCTAGCAGCCTGATTCATTTGTTGTCTAATTCTAATGGAATGTGCAAGTTTGCAGTACTCTGGAGCCTCTAATAACTCGTCTGATATAGACATAAATATCTAACCCGTTTTTATGTAGGGAGGATTTACTTACTTGATGATATGATTTTGCCAGATACTGAATAAACACGCTCGATATACCAGCGGGTCAGGTTACCAATTAATTCAAAATGCTTTCCCAGAGATAAAGTCGGATTAAGCGATCCATCAGATAGAAAAAGAGATTCATTGTTGAGATCCCCTGGAATTTCCGTCGACTGACCTGGTGAATTTTGTTAGGATGATAATAAAATAGAATAAAACGGAAAAAGCGACATATTTTACCAGATATAAATGCTAACCATGTTGTATACCAGTCTTTTTCGACAAGATGCATTGTTGAGTTTCTAAATTGTATTCTAAAAATACCCGATTCAATCTCTTGTCTACCTTTGGTAATCGATAAAGCTAATTCTTGGCTATCGGTTTCTTGAGTAACCAAGGCTAATTTTTTAGTCAGTTTTTTCATGATGTAACTTTCCGATTTCAAGCCTTGTTTGACATTAGATGCAAAATAGTCGAAGCCAATCTATTTAAACTTCTTTTTTAAGATTGCATTCATTCCGCCCTTTTATATGTTTTTTGACTTACGGTTTTTACACAAGTGTTGCACCATATTTCCAACGTGTGTAACTGTGTTATTTTTATGGAAAGGTTGTGCTTGGTTGCAGCATAATGATCGGTACAGCTTTCAGACTCTCCTGTGCACAAATATACCTCGTTAATGAATTGAAGGTATTAATCCACCAACGCACACACTTACCCAAAAAATCACAAGATGGGTGAAGGCAGAGCTCACGGTCCTTTGCTTCCGTTCGTTGATCAAAAGAGGACCATAACAATTGTTTCTTTTCTCGGATAAAACGGGTATTAAACAGGTTTGTATTCAAATGAGGGCACATGGATGAAACTTGATCGGAACAGAATAAATCTTTCCAGGAAATGTCCGGATGACAGTAACGGATACCATGTAATCTACAGAGATCAAACCAAAAGGAATCATATAGTGACCTATAATAAGAACTAGCATGGCACTGAAGAAACGACAGTATGTCTCTTTTGTTTAAGTTGGAAATTACTTGAGATATAAGTTCTTGTGGGAGATCTTGGAATAGCATTGTAATTTTAGGGAAAAATAAAACATCACAAGAAAAAACAAACGAAAAGTTGGGATAACAGTGTTTATATATGTTTATGATTTGATCTTGATTAGCTTTTATTAAAATAAGGTGATTTCTGTGCGCATAAATATGCAACCTATCATAATTTAAGAGTTTACATTTTAGGTAGGGCGGTGTTTTATGGCAGTTTCAGATTGTACAATGCCATTGGGCATAAAAGCCAAAGGAGTGGAAGGAGCATAATCATCAGATATTAATTGTTTACATGAAAAAAAAGGGTAGACTATTTTTATTTTCTGCTTTACGGTGTTTTAAAAAAAGGGGGCTAGATTTACTCCTTAGTGTCTGCATAACGTAATATGAAAGCAATAGTTTGCTAATCTAATAACTTGCAAGAATCGAGATACGGATTCCAGTCCAAACATGTGAATTTTTATTTGCCCTGAAAGAAAGATTTAGCCAGTAGTTCCTGGTTCACTATTTTATCTTAGCTGTACGTCCAATCACGGCTTCTTAATTCATTTTGCCCCTCTGTCTGCTGCTTCCTACTGGATACTACGACTTTCTTCTTTAGAAGAAGGAGGGTTACCATAAAATATATCCGTAGCGCATTCATATGCATCCACAGTTACCGGAAGTAGGTTTTCCCTTGGCGCCATGGCTACGCACTTATATTTTTTTGACGTGTGACTTTAAAAAAAGTCTTCGTTCCTGATTTTTTATTTTCCCGCCTAAATATATCAATGGGGGGAGGCAAGGGCCTTGGAAAAGAAAATGATTTGAACTCCGTGAATTCATATAAAAAAAAATTTCCCCCTTTTTTATAAAAAATTGTTCTTCTTTCCAGTAAAAATAATAATAACATGCCAGCGACTACTTCATTAATTCAACATAAAAAATCACGCTCAACTAAACCTAAACTATTCCAATGTACTGGGTTTGGTTCATGTCAAATGGTGTTTACTCGTTCAGAACATTTAGCGAGACATACTCGGTATGTAATGGGGATGTGATAAATGAATGATATGGGGTTACTAACAATTATAATAGAAAGCATACGGGAGAAAAGCCTTTTCTTTGTGTAGTACCTGGTTGTACTAGAAGATTTAGCAGGTTTGATAACATGATGCAACACACACAAACACATAAAACTACGCGTAGTAAATCACCTTCATCCATCATTTCATCATCCTCATCCGTTACATCAATATCATCCTCTGCATCAACAATATCATCGAATACATATGAACCTGAAAATACACCTGAATTTATCACCCAACAACAACATAGCCTTCACGCTGACTCTTCCGATGAGGAAGGTCCCATCATTTCTTCACCATCACCAAAGCCTTTATTAAAAGAACTTCACTTGACACAGGATGAATTTGAGGCTCTTCAGGGCTTTGGTAGATTTAAACACACACCCATCTTCATTGACTCCTTCCGAGACTTAGCGTCTGTAGTCTACATCGAGCCTAATCCAGTTCGCTTTGCTACTGATCAATCTTAAAACCCTTTCTCTCTTATCATGATTATACACATAAAAACACTTCTTTTTCATATTCTCTTCTTATTATATAATATTCTTTTTCCCTTCTTGTAACTTATTTCTCCTTTTTATTAAAAAAAAAATTTCCTGTCATTAAAAAAAATTTTCTTGTGAGATCCAGACCCCGAAAGAAGGAGGTGCCTTTTTATTTTTAGTGATGGAACATTTTCTTCAATTTGGCGCAAGATTTTTCTCTTACTCTTTATGGCTCAATTGACTCAATCACAAGCTTATTTTTATATTCGCATTGAAAAAAAAAGAGAATCACCTACTTTTAAATCAAACAACAACAACAAAAAACGGCTAAAATATAACATAACTCCGACTTGTAACTGGTTACCAAAATGGATTGCCATGACATCGTGTTTTACGTACTTTTGACGACAAACTTATTTTTAAAGTTTTGTCAATTGCCATAACAATAACAATCGGAATTCATAATCGTATTTTCTTTTACGCGTGCGTTTTTGTCATTGATACCATCATTGCGTGTTATTTTCCCCTTTGGTAAATCTCTTTTGCTTTCTTTTCAAATATCAAATATGGGCCATGTTGAAAAAAAAAAAAAAAACCTTCTTTATTTTGATTGTCCGAGATCCTCTTCCCCACGTGAACCAATCGTATTCTCAAACTACTGCGTACACAAATGCGATCTGGCGTACCTTTATTTTTTTCCTAATTGACGTGTTCTGATGAATGTATTTATGCATAATATTCAAGTATAATCAAATCCGAATTCTTATTCAAGTTGGCTGTAATTAGAATACGCTGATTTTACCTTGGCGATTACCCTTAAAACTATGATATCGTATTTAAGCGAGATTTTACATCATTTGACAAATATTTAGTCGAGAGAATCGTTACTCTAGTATTCCTCTTGTGGGGGGTGAGTCAGGTGTTAAACAACAAAATAACAAGTTTGATGCAATCTTCATCAACAAATAAAAACGCCTCATCAAGTATAGGTCTGTGCTAATCTATACTGCATTCCCCGCTCACCTTATCCTCCCCCCCTGAATTTTGCAACTCCATAAAAGTGGAAATAAGACCGTGTGACAAACTCAAAAAAATGAAACCTTATTTTTATTTTTTCGCAACAGTAGGCGAAATAATTTTATTGCTTTATATGTTGAATGACTGCGTAAAATCTTGACAGAATGCTTCATCTCCAATATAAACGTACACGTTTTCTGATTTTCTTTAGAATACAGATACAATTATATACATACTAATATATAAAAAATATCAGGGTACTTTATTGTGTGATTTTTACTGATCTAGGAAATATATTTCAGTACTTCTTACAAATCTTTGGGATGTTGATGTCTTTATAGATAATACTTCCAAACAAGTGTTAAATGCCGCATCTTTATACTATATATAACTAAATAAATCAGTTGATGTACAGTGTGCTCATGGAATTAAAAGAACATCTTCAACATGAAAGACCTGAAGAATAGATATTATGCCAGGCGTGGACGTGCATTTTAATATGATTGGCGAAGATTCAAACTTGGAGTAGCACAGATGATTTTGTTTGGCTTTAAACTTTTTGCGTATGCAAACAACAAACTATACCACATGGCTGTAATGATTGGTCAACTCGTTTTATTTCGTATAGAGAGGCATTTCACCATGTTGTATCACTATGGGACATCACAATCATATAAAGTCTTGATTTACGGACGATCTTTTTCTTTTTCTTTTTATTATTATTATTCATCTTCTTTATTAATACTTTCTTTTACCTATCATTAATATAATATTCTAATGTCCTTTAATACGGAACATAAGACTATTCAAATGGAAGAGGCCATGAATCATGACCAAATTGCCTTGGAAGCTCTTGAACGTCGTCGTGTTGCTTTGGAAGAAGTAATATTATTTCAATCCCTTCTTTGTTAATAATTTACTAACTATCTCGATTATCAGATTGACAATGCCGAGTTTGGCTGGTTCCATATCCGTGCCTGTATTGTTTCTGGTATCGGTTTCTTTACAGATGCCTATGATATCTTTGCTATTAACTTGGTTTCTACCATGATTGGTTTCGTTTATTTCCAAGACCATGGAAATAAGACTCCTTACAACGTAGATACTGCCATCAAGGTGTCTTGTTCTGTTGGTACTGTAGTCGGTCAACTTGCCTTTGGTTATCTTGCTGATCGTGTCGGTCGTAAAAGAATGTATGGTGTTGAGTTAATGATTATTATTATCGGTACTGTCGGTCAGGCTCTTTCTGGTAACGGCCCTGCTGCTTCCTTCTGGGGCATTATTACTTTCTGGCGTATCATTGTAGGTATCGGAATTGGTGGTGATTATCCTCTCTCTTCTGTCATTACCTCTGAATTTGCTACTACCAAACGTCGTGGTGCCATGATGGCTGCTGTCTTTGCTATGCAAGGTATTGGTCAACTTGCTGCTGGTATCGTCGGTTTAATTGCTACATCTGCTTTCAAGGGTGCTATTCAAGCCGACCCTACTAAATTAGATTATGTTTGGCGTATTGTCATTGGTATCGGTGCTGTTCCCGGTGTTTGTGCCCTTTACTATCGTTTGACAATACCCGAGACTCCTCGTTTTACTATTGATGTTGAGCAAAAGGTTGAAAAGGGTATTCAAGATGCTAAGGCTTTTCTTGAAAAGGGTGCATCTGCTGGTGACTATACTGATAACATTGCTGTGGCCCGTACCAACAGTTCTCCCAAGGCTTCTTGGGGAGATTTCAAGAGACATTTCGGACAATGGCAAAACGGAAAGATCTTGCTTGGTACAGCCTATTCTTGGTTCGCACTTGACGTTGCATGGTATGGTCTTGGTTTGAATAACTCAATTATCTTGCAAAACATTGGATTCGGTGGTGGAGGAGATGCTTATACTTCCGTTTTCCGTGTCTGTGTTGGTAACATTATTATCAATTTGCTTGGTTCTGTTCCTGGTTATTGGATTTCTGTCTTTACCATTGATAGACTTGGTCGTAAATTCATTCAGATCATGGGTTTTACTATGCTTACCATCATGTTTGTCATTCTCGGTTTCGGTTATCACGCCATTCTTGCTAAATCAAATGTGCTCTTCATTGTTCTTTATACTATCACCCAACTTTTCTTCAACTTTGGCCCCAACACTACTACCTTTATTGTTCCTGGTGAATGTTTCCCTACCCGTTACAGATCAACTGCCCATGGTATCTCCGCCGCTTCTGGTAAAGTTGGTTCTATCATTGCTCAAGTCGGTTTCGGTCTTTTGAAAGACATTGGTGGTTCAAACAATTGGGTAAGTTATATATTATTTTTCTTTACATATATGATTGACTCATTTGCTTTTATTAGATCAACCATTTGCTTCAAATCTTCGCTTTCTTCATGTTGACTGGTATCTTCTCCTCTTTCTTGATCCCTGAAACCAAGGGCAAGAGTCTTGAAGAATTATCAGGTGAACTTCCTCCTAGAGAAGTTGCTGAAACAGAGCAAGTCAAGGGTACTTATTAAAGGTGTTCGACCCTACCTTTTTTTTTTCTTAATTTCTAATAATCAGCTTTTCAATCCACTTTATCTCCACCATATAAATCGTTTTTTTTTTCATAACTTTCATAGTACTTAATAAATAATCATATCTTAGATGTTCTTTTGAGTGGTTTCCTTATTTACACGTCCCCTTTGTTTTTCCACAAATGTATTTCCATAGAATAGGACGGGATCGTACGTTTTCAGTTGGATTATTTACAGTCAGCATCAGGTGCTTTTTTTATGATTATTCATGTGTTATCGTGACTACTGCATACGGATGCAGAGCGTCATTGAGATATTTCATTTCCGTTCTAAAATGAAAATCAACCTGGAACAAAGCTCAGGCTGAGTGTACAAGCCGACTGGCCAATGGCACTCGATACACGTGATTTGATGCGCGAAGCAAAAGAAACAAAAAAAGAAAGCGCGTTTTTACTGGTAGTGAAAACTTTAACAGTTTTTCTTAGTAAATTCAAATGAGTTTCCCCGACCCTACATGGAATAGATACGAGGGCAGCTCAAGACAAGCATCGAGTCGATCTTCCATATATTCTATAAACGGAGAAGATTCGTCTTACAGCAGCAGTAATTTCCTTAACGCTCAAGTGGTGGATCCCCAATTATATAAAACATTGACAAGGTTAATCGATCGTTTTGATATTATACGACCTGACCAAAGCCAACAAGAAATCACTCGACAAAAAGAACGTCTTTTAGAAAGTTACAGTCATACTTTGGTGAGGTAGGCTGCAAAAAATAAATAACAAGCATACTTTCTGCCATAAGTCTGATAACAAAAGTAATATAGTCAAAGAGGACCTACTGTTGTTCAAGATGAGGAAAACATTGCACGTTCAATTCACGAAAAACGCAAGTGTTTAATCTACTTTATATTACTCCCAGCTTATTGAAATGACTTTTATATATAGTGATGCAAGACCCTCAAGGCGGAGACAAAGCATACAAATTTGGTCGTCTTTACACTAAACTTTTGTCCAGCGTAAGTTTTTGTTTTCTGCATAATCATTAATCTTAGTTGTCAACGTGTCTATAGAATAAACTCAAAAACAAAGCATCTATTCTTCATTTACTGTCAAATTTATCTGTAAGTACTTTTTTGTTAATTCTTTTTACCATAAAGTGACTCAAACTTTTAAAAAAGAACTTGGACTTCCAAACGAGAGGTCTACCCAACATCGATCGCGAAACTCAATACTTATTACCACCCGTATCCAGAAACTTTGACACGGCTGTTCAAGATGATAAATCCATGTCGTCGAGAAACACACGACGTAGATTAGAACGAGAGGAAACTCCTCATCATAACGAGATAGATATCGATGATTTACCACCCGCCATTCAGCTAGCCCGAGCAAGGGAAAACGAGCGAGACGAGACCGCACTTATTTACGTCAGCGAATCCGATTTACTACGAGATTTGATCTATATATTTCAAGGAATCGATGGACAATACATCAAATACAATGGAGAGCTCAACGATTATGCATTTATCAGTGACATCTCTGTCTCAAAACCCATGAAAGATATGGTGCTCAAATTAGCTGATTTAGGCTGGCTTTACATTCGAATCCGAAATTTTATCAAACTCAATATCGATAATTCAAGTATTGGCTTGGTAGGGCAATCACTATGTGCCGCTTTACAACAAGAATTGACCGAATATTACAAATTGATCGCTATTTTGGAAGCTCAAATCGAAAAACAAATTGCAAACAAATCGTTACCGAATGATCAAACAAGTTTAACCTTGAAAAGATTGACTGTTTGGACATTGGATTATTATCAAAAGTTGAAATTGATGAGTATTTTAGTTGATGTTTGCCAAGGTAAATCAAATCAACTTTTTGGAATCGTCAAGAAAATTAACCCATATATATATATATGCACACCTACATAGATCAGAAGGGTGGGGCCTTAATGACCACAATACACAACTATACAAAGCACGGGGACCCATTTATTAAAAAATACATCACAGAAATGTTGCAAGTGGTATCCAAGCCATTTTACGAAATGCTGGAAAGATGGGTTTATGAGGGTGAACTAGATGACCCATATGGTGAATTCTTTGTTGCTTGTGATCCCACAGTGTCCGAAGAAGATCTTTGGCAAAGTAAATACAGTATTCGTGAACACATGTTACCCTCATTTCTATCCAAGGAACTCGGTCAACGGATTTTCTCGCTTGGGAAATCATTGAATTTTATCCGTTACAGCTGTCATGATGATAGTCTCGTCGAACAATATTATACCAATACGGATAACAATACAACAGGTATGTAAACGTCTTGCTTAGTATTGTCTTTTTTTATGTATACTAACCAAACTTTTGTAGCAAGACAAACGTTTAAATATGGCGAAATTCATGTTGTGGAAGAGGCCATCGATATAGCCTATTTAAATACAAGCACAGCTTTACTCAATCTGCTAAAAACAAAATATAAATTGATGGATCACCTAAAGGCAATGAAACGCTATCTGCTTTTGGGTCAAGGTGACTTTATCCAGTACTTGATGGATATATTGGGGTTAGTGAAACACTACAATTATAGGTTCCCATATGTTTTACTAACCACGTGCTTTGCTTTTTAAAATTAGCGATAATTTGAGTAAACCTGCCACAACATTGCTGAGATACAACCTTACGGGTATACTGGAAACAGCTGTACGTTCTTCCAATGCTCAGTACGACGATCCCGAAATACTGAACCGATTGGATGTTCGTCTTTTAGAGATTCAGAACGATGATTTAGGGTGGGATGTTTTTACATTGGATTATCACGTGGATGCACCCATCAACACTGTATTTAGTTCCACTGCCATGCATCAATACCTTCAAATATTTAATTTTCTTTGGCGCCTAAAACGTGTGGAATATACATTATCCGCATCGTGGAAAAAGTGGGGGAAAGCAAGTCGAGAATTCGTGGGTGTACCTGATATTCAACAGGATCTACATATTGCTCAATTAACGATCCAGCGTATGGTGCATTTTATCTATCAATTACAACATTATGTTCTTTTTGAGGTAAGTTGGCTCCATCCTATATTCGTATGTGTATTCATTCTGCAAAAAACTCAAAGGTACTGGAATGTTCGTGGGATAAATTAGAAACGTTTATCGGGAAAAAGAGTATCGATCTAGATTCTATTATCGAGGCGCATTTAAAATATTTGACCGAGATTAGTGATAAAGGGTTTTTGAGTGGACCTAAAGAACAAACCTTGTCTGGTCGATTAAACAATATTTTTGATAGCATCCTCAAGTACAAAGTGGTTCTGGATTATCTACATGATTATGCAACATCGGCTTCTGCAAAATCCATGTACGGAAACACAGCAAATACCTCAGACAGAATTGACGCCATCCGACTTCAACACCAAGAACAAGGTGAGGACTTTACATTACAAGTATTGCAATTTTTAGATATCTTGAAGTCATACCATGATGATGACCTTAGATCTTTATCAACACGATTAGACTATAATGGTTATTACTCATATTTCAACTCGGAATCGTAATATTTATAAGATGATAAATCCAATAAATAATATAAAACCTTATGACTATAATTTATTAATACATCTGCTCCTTATACATGTTCTTCTCTTGTTTGATATTGAGGGCTTTTCGTTTTACACACAATTTGCAAGACGGGCATGACAGTGCATCCGTAGGTTATTTATTGGCAAGTTGCGGGGTTTGAATGACTCCCAAAATTACAAAAGAGATTTTATTATCTATCTCAGGAGATATTGTACCCTGGGATCCACGCTACTTTCTGTCTTTGTGAAGTATAACGATTAATACATAGTTAAAAGACCAAAATTATAGAACTATTATACATACACTACTGAACACTGGGAAATTGAACATCAGAATTGTGGTAAAACACATAATATATAACTACGTAAACTACATAAATAATAACGGCTACAGCCAATAATAAATATACACAATTGCATAACAAAGCATACAACCAATAAAATACATAATACCATTTAGATAAGGATATGACAGTAAAATATCCTTATCACCATTCTACCATTAGTCATAGACAGGGACAGAATTTCTATAATAAGGAAATAGAAAAAGAAAACTCTGTGTTACCTCACAGAGTATCTTCAAATCCAAATATACCTGCTGTAATCATAAAAGATAGACAGCCATTTTCTGTGTAACATACACAGAATATAGTTTCTCAAGCATAAGATAGTGATAAGCACAGTAACAGCTTATCACAATTATAAATCATTACCATCTAACAATTCATATAAATAGGACAATTTCTAGATAGATAGTTTTCCTTTAGTTTATTTTTAACCTTTAACCTGGAATAAAACCACACTGGATATTTAACTTATTCCCTGTTTTTATTTTTATTCTTTTTATTTTTCTGTGTAAACCAATCCCGTTTACCACAAGAATGATGCAAGCAATCACTTTCTAAATGAGTATTTTTTAAAGATAGGCAATCAATTTTATAAGATAATGTGGGTTTCCATGGCTTAAAGGTCAATATTGTGTTGTACAACTACTGTATACAAGCAAGATAGTGACAAATTATTTTTGAATGAGGTAGCTACTACATGACTGTTGTTTTGCAATTTGACTCCAAAATAAGAATTAAAATGTCTCGTGCCAAAAAAAAAAACAGTTACAAAATAGGAGATAATGCCAAATGGATAAAGAACAGACCGGGTTTGTAACTGCCCTTTGTCACCAGGCAAGAACCTTTCTTTTACTTATTTGTTATGTAGCACTTAAAGTATGTAAATGAAGTAATTGTTATATAGACGGTATGATTGAAAAGAATTTAAACATCTAAAGAAAAATCGAAAGATAGTCTACAAAGATGACATTATAGTGGGGTACGTTTATTTAAATTATTGCAAGATCATCGGAGACAGATACTGGCTTGGTTATATTTGCTGCGTGCAGACATCGTATTTAAAATTGGCACGGCTAAGTCTTACAAACAATGTATAAGGATTACTCGGAGCATAATTATTGTAACATTTGAGAATCCGAGAACAAACAACACCTAATGGGATTCACTTTATTCACACTTTAAAAATAATGGCGTGTCGGTATGAGAATCAAAATACCTGGAAGAATAATACGTGCCTATTATTCAATGATGTGTATCTGATTCCGTAATACCATATTTATATTTATCTGATATGCTCACAGTACAAAACAACTGAATCTGTTCATATGCTGCAAATAAAGAGTTGAGCTAGGTGTACAATGCTTTTGTCAGTTGACAAAATCAGCTCACAGTACATAATACGAGTTGTACAAGACAGTATCAGTGAACAAAAATTCTGTATTGACACCAACTTCTTATTTATTGAATAGCATATGCTGTTTGTTTACTTCCAGGGTATAATTTGACTAAAAAGGCGATTGCATATTACCCAATAAAATCAGTCGGTACCACCTGAATAATTCTAATTTCTAGAGGCGATCCTGGGATCACCTAATACAAGATGCATTCAACGTAGCTTTTTATTGCTTCAAGCTCCATGTACAACTTATCATTTACGTGATAGTAATCCTGTTATTGGAGACTGTTTATAGGATTGAAAATGGTCATATCAATTTATAAATTTATAAAAATAGCAACAATACATACCATTTTGTAGAAAACCACACGACGATATGAGTGGACGAAAAATAAATTCTTATCTGTAATGAGTAGCACACTCTGTAGTACCTGAACATATGGTGTGTGTTCATTTCCGAATAGTTAAACTTCTCAGCAAATTGAAGGTATTTTGTCTATTTAAAGTAATTACAACTTCATTAGGTAAAAGTTATAAATCATGTTTAAATGTTTCTTATGTCAAATGATTATATGTTGGTATGATAATTAGGGAAACACTTACTGAATTTAAAACTGTCTCAAAGTTTTTATTTGCTTTATTTTCAATGAATACAACCGGTATAATCTGTTAGTTTCGTTTGCTCGTTTGATGAGATTTTTCTCAAGGGTTGTTTCCAAGAAATCCAATTTCAAGGTTCATGTACAATCAATTTATTTTTTATCACTTTTGATAACGAGAAGGTACTTTTGTGTTCAGGATATTTTTTTATCACGTACCAGATTTTTTTTTTTTTTTTGAAAAATAAAATCTAAAGGTTTGATCTTGTGTAAGATGCTTCATGATAGCTGTATATAAGACGCATCTGAACCTTTATCCATAATAAATTCACAAACTTTGTTCGAGACAGCAATTTTACTTTGATTTGGTGCCGTACGACAGTTTTTCTGTAAATGGCTTAGTGCCAAGATTATCAGAAGGACAAAAAAAAAACCATTTTCGTATATGGTATAAGTTGCATTTATGAGCAAAAAACCCGAGAACAAGTCTTGAAATATTTCCTTAAGAAGATTTAATTTTGTGATTTATCTTCTTAAGTTAGTAAAGCTTCTTTTATTGATTGGTCCGTGTTAGCATGTATCACTTACTTTTTAAACTTTCTGGATACACAAACTTATACACCACGCAATGCAGGCTGTAGATTAGAGAATCGTAGCGGAGTGCAACATCGTCAAGGAACCAAATGTACTCAAAACCAAAAAAAAAAAAAAAAAAAAAAAAAAAAAAAAAAAAAAAAAAAAAAAAAAAAAAAAAAATTACATATATAAAAGATACTGAGTTCTCTTTTTTTAGGTGATTTTTTTTTCTTTATCAACCTATTTACTTTAATAACCTCTCCTTTCTTTATACTTTTATTCGAAATTTTTTTTCTGTGAAAAGAAACTAGCTGAATAAAAATGGCAGGAGACGAAGACAATAATAAAGAAGGCTACGTCTACTCTGAAAAGATTCTTAGCACAGAGTCCAATGGCAGCCTCGATGAAAAGTATGACCAAGATAACAGATCACAATTGACAGACTCCAAGGATCGCAAGCTTGATGCTGAGCATCAGATTCATGCATTTGGTGAAGGCGAGGAGGACTTGGACATGGCTATTATCAATGAAATTACTGTAACCGAGGATGATGTTAATATGAGATCTCTTACAGTAAGATCAATGGTGGTCGGTGTTGTAAGTATAATTTCTCATAAAGTAAACGAACGATTGCTAACTTTAAACTTGGTAATATTAGTCCCTTGCTGCTCTCAGTTCTTCAGTTTACCAACTCATGACATTTAAGCCTGTTGGTGTTGGGTTGTCTAGTACATTCATGTTGATTGTTGCTTACGTTTTGTGTAATCTTTGGGCCAAATATCTTCCAAAAGGCGGTTGGTTAAATCCTGGTCCCTTCACTATTAAGGAACACACTTGTATTTATATCGTAGTTGCATCGGCTAATACTTCTGCATATGGTACATACATTCTTTCGGCTCAAGCCCTTTTCTATGACAACTCTCCTTCTATTGCTGGTGGTATCTTTTTGTTGCTTGCCACCCAGCTTGTTGGTTATGGTATTGCCGGTCAGCTCAGACCTTATCTTGTATATCCTGCAAACATTACATGGCCTCTTGCTTTACCCATTGTATCATTAATCAAAACTTTCAATACTGACGCCGCTGAAGCTAAGTGGCGTACAAGATATTTTTTTATTGTATTTGGTGCTATTTTTGTATATGAAATTATTCCGCAATACATCTTCCCCTTGTTGGGCGGTTTCTCTATTATTTGTCTTGCAAAGAACAACAACGTTTGGGTCCAAAACATCTTTGGTGGACTGTCTACTAACGAAGGTCTGGGTCTTTTATCATTGAGTTTTGATTGGACTTCCATTTCTGCCTTGAATCCTCTTATTATCCCTGGATGGGTCCAACTCAACGTAATTGGTGGTTTGGTTTTGTTTTTTATTATTACTCCACTCGCGTATTACTACAATGTTTGGAACGCTCAAAGCTTCCCTTTCCTCGACAATGGTATCTACCAGCTTTTCGAAAACGGCACTGCTATCAGATATCCTCAATCCTCCGTATTAAATCCCGATAACAGTTTAAATCAAACACTCTTTGCCGAAGTTGGAAATCCTAGTTTTGCTATATCAAATGCCTTGTCGTATATATATATTAACCTTGGTGTTACGGCTACTATTACTCACGTTGCACTCTACCACGGTAAAGAAATTTGGGCAACATTCCGTAATCTTCGAAAGAAGGTTTCTGGTAAAGATGAAGCTGAAATGGATATTCACATGAAGTTAATGCAAGCTTATCCCGAGGTAAAATAAGCATGGTATAACTTACCTATTTTTACGAAGATTAACACCATTATTATCTGTTCAAAATAGGTTCCCAGTTGGTGGTATTATTCACTTTTTGTCGTTGGTATTGGACTCAATATTGGTGTTGGGTATGCTAATACTTCTGGACTACCATGGTGGGGTTTTCTTTTGGCCATTCTGCTTTCCTCAGTTCTTTCTCTGCCCTTAAACATGATTCAAGCTATTACTGGTAATAGTTTCGGTTTAAATGTAGTCGCTGAAATGGTTTGCGGTTTTATTTTACCTGGTTACCCTATTGCTAATATCTACTTTAAAACTCTCGGTTTCAACACTATGAGTCAAGCTGGTGCAATGGCTCAAGATATGAAAATCAGTCATTATCTCAAGGTTCCACCCAAGATGACTTTCCTTCATCAAATGATTGGCACTATAGTTGGTTGTATCTTCAATTATATTGTTAATGAGTCTATTGTTAGAAATGAACGCGAAATCCTTCTCGACCCTATCGGTAACCGGTTCTGGAACGGTAATAGTCCCCGAACCATCAATTCTGCTGCTATTACTTGGGGTGCCATTGGTCCTATGGCTATGTTTGGTCCTGGTACTCAATACTATATTTTCCTTTGGGCATTTGTCATTGGATTTTTCCTCCCTGTTCCTTGTTGGTTATTGTATAAGAAATTTCCTAAGGCTGGCTTCCAATATGTCAGTATTCCCGTGGTACTGATTGGTCTTGCAGGTTATTTGCCTGGTGGTAGTAGTTCTTACTTTACTGTATCTATCATTCTTATTTTTGTCTCTCAGTACTATGTGAAGAGACGTTACAGTGAGTGGTATGCTAAGTACAATTACCTATTATCTGCTGCTTTGGACTCCGGAGCGTCATTAATGACATTCTTCGTCGCTATCGTCTTTTACGGTGCTGCCAGTGGTAAAGTCTACAGCTTCCCTGATTGGTGGGGTAATGATAACGAATCTATTTACATGGATCAGTGCTGCAAAAACTGTGATTTGTAAAGACTGATAGTCCGTCTACATAATATCATATTTCTACTCTAATATATAGTAATTAATAATAATCCCTTTTCTATTAAAAGGTTGACTTTTTAACAATAAAGTTAATTTCAAACAAACTTTGTCCCCAAATATTTCATCTAACAGAGGCTAATATTTCTTGTGTATCAAAATTACCTCTGGCCTTCATATATTGTTCTCATCATTTAGTTTGCAGTATCTTCATTTTTTTTAAATAAAGAATATCTCGAGTTGTCAAGTAGAGTTGATGGTCTAGGGTATTGAAGTATCAATACCTTCTCGCTCATGCGGTAGTTGGGCTAATTGGTGATGTTATAATTTGTCGCGCATTTACTATTTGAAGCCAAGACTAATGGGGAATGTCCTGACCAACAAACAATTTTTTCTGCTTCAATTTTTTTTTTATGTGATTCACCTATTTTTAGTGTGGCTGGATTTTGACCGCTACCTACAATTAGTGGAGAATTTCATGTTCGTCTTCCGAATTACTTGGTGATCTAGATGCTTTACTTAGATTATCACGGGTTACAATTTTTAAAAATGAGTCACTATCATTACTTGACAATAATTTGTTCGGCAACTTCAGCAATGTTACTATTGATTTCCATTGTAAATTCAGGCGGATTCTTTTTTCTGTTTGAATTTTCTGGGAAGCATTGTAGTCTTGGTTGTACTTTGTAATATCTCTTGAATGAATGGTGTCATAGTCCCGGAAAGAGATTGATTGGTAAAATGATATTATCGATGCTCAATCCGTTAAACATCACAAAGTCATTTCATTACATATATGCTGTCGTCCTGTGTGCTGACAAATCGCTTTAAGGTTGAATTGGCTGTAAATATACCTTGTTCTAAAGATTAAAAAATGTTATTCATCTAGATCACGTAGTGCAGATTATGTTGTCCAATGGTCTCGTGTGCACATCTGTATCAAACGTTTTATATATTTTTACGCATGAAGCAGCAATCCGAAGGACACCTTCATTTATCTTGTTTTTATTGTGTTTCTTGTCTTCTTTTTCAGTTATAACAACCATCATCAAAGGAAAAAAGAACCGCCATATTGGATATAAGAATTTGTAGCTTTCAGGGTGTAACCACGTTTTGAGTGATGGCGGTAATGTCTTGTAGACAATCTGCAACGTAATGACTTGATTAGATTTCCTTAGCAATAACGTAAACCAGTGATAAGCGTTCTCCTACTACTATAATTTAATGAAACACTCCACATAAAGTTTCATCCATTAATGAGAACTCGAGATTGGTAATATAGATAGGTGCATCTGATGACTAACCTAAAAAAGTTTCTTATGTTAATGTCATAATATATTCAGACACACATTTATATATATTGTCTTTCCTGTTGTCTGTCTTAGTAATGAATTAACTCTTTGAGATATAAGATGCATATGTTTTACCACGCAAGAATCTATGGACCGGTTTATACATAACGTCTTCCTTATGAGCCAGCTCACAATCACATATTCATTGCTTTTGTTTGTAACTATTTCCATTTGATTCGAATTTGGGTGGCATTTCGACAGTTTTTGTACCCTAAAATTTTTTGTTTAAAATCAGGTGGTAACTGATTTATTGTCCTTACTGTAAAAGCTTTATGAACAGTAAGTGTTTTGAATTGTCTTGTAGAAGTTCGTATAATTTCCAAACAGTAATATTTGATTTTGAAACCATCTCTCTTAATTCTGAGTACTTTGTGTTTATAATATTGTTGAATGGTCTGCGAAAGTATAGTACTATTATATTAATTCTCTTTCAAACTCTTCGATGACATTTCACACTTCTTCCAAACAACCGGAACATAGGCTGATGTTTGTTGATGTAGAACATTCTTTTAAGCTTTTCCACACCACTTAAAGAAACAGGGAGTATAAAAGGGAGAATAAAGCATAATTTTAAACGGGATAATTTTAAGGCGACAAGTAATTAATTTGAAAACTATAAAATATAGTTCAAGGATATATTTCGATAAATTTTAGGGGTATTTATATAAAAGCATCTACGACGTGTAACATAACACACTTGCTTTTTATAAAGTATATGTGTAACATAGGACCACCTGCTTAGTTAAAGATGACAATGGTAACCAGGTACCCTTTTGTCTTTTTTCATTTAAAGTTTCAAAACTCTCAGTTTTGTAAAATGTCAATTTTTGAATATTCAAGACAGCCGCAGATTTACTCTTTCCTTTTCTAAACTTACAAGTTATTATGTTTTTATTGTGTCTGCCGTGACTATAAAACCACATACACAATTATCTCTCAACAAGTATCGAAAATTCTAATTTTACATCTCTATTAAAAAAATGTTTCTTCATGTAATTCTCTGTAATTTGTTTGTATTTTCTGGGCAACGTTGATTCCCTTATAACATTGTGTTTCGGCATACGCTTACGTTTCTTAATAGAACGTTATGGTTCACTACCTGATGGTTATAATCATATCGATTAATGTGCCATTATCCGGAAAAAAAAAGATACTATATAATGATAAAACTCATCCCAAAAAAAAAAAATCTTGCAATTTGGTGTAAAAAACTACAACTTACAATATGACTCAGTCACGAAGTAAAATATTTTAGTTTGGATGAGATATCTAATCCTGAATTGTGTACATAAAGCTTCATTATTATATAAAATTTGGATGTTTAGTTATAGCCATAATATATCTAAGAGATATGCCCTATATTTAAATTAACACCATAATATTAAAGACTGACATTTGCATCAGTTATGCTTACTTTGTATACAACATGGATACAACTGGCGAGTCTGTATGCCTTACAAACAATGTGTACGGAGTTCTCGGAGTATATAGCATATCACAATTACGGTAAGTCAAAATGAAATTATACCGTGTACATGTTATACCAAATTTGTGTTATTTAGAATATACATCCATTGGATACATAATCTGGGTATAATTCCACAAATAAGGCAAATATTGGTTATCCGGCAAAAAGCAGTTGGTGCCACCTGAAAGTGATTCAATTTGTAAAAGGGATTTTGGGATCACGAAATGCGACACTCAGGCTCAATGTACATCGTTACATCAAAACATCACATTTGGAACACTTATTTCTATTTACATTATTTTATTGAAGTTATAATATTAAGTGCGTCTTTTCCATTGATATGAATTTTATTTTTTGGTTTTATAGACGGTCCTATTAAGCTATACATCAATAAAAATAGCATTTTTTTTCTTACAGAAAAACACGCGATGGTAAAAGTGGGATAAGAAAAAAATTTCCTTATTTGTTATAAAAGAAACATATTTGTAATGTATTACAATATGGTTCGTGTTCATCTCCGAACATCAAATATTCTCAGCAGATTAAATTATTCTAAATTTGGGGTTATTATAAATTAGGCTTAAAATTTAACTGCAAACAATTATTTTTATGTATCAATTTTTCAAAAAGATAGACATGTAATTAATTTTAAACCGGTTAGCATGCTACTCAAATTGCTATTTTAACTGAAGACACCTATAATATAAGGTATAGCTATTATCTTTGTTCGTTTGATGAAATGTATCTTGTGATTGTACCAAGAACTCTAATCTAAACTTTCTCAACAATGAAAAATTGCTTCTGTATTCAAAACGCTTATTCATCTTGTAATAATTTTATGAAGACTAGACATCTACAGGTTAAACTGTATATAAACAAGTTTATAGTTGGTAAACATTACGTGCATATGATCATTATTGCTGTTATAACACGTTCCCTTTCTTTGATTTAGGCGCGGTAAAACACAATTTCTGTAAGTTGCTAAGCATTAAGATTATCAGAATCACGCACAAAATTGAATTCTGTATTTAGGGTAACTCGTATTTATAAAAAAAATCCAAGAAACTATTTCACAATATTTTCTAAATAAGAGCACATCAATTGATGACCAAGGTCACAGTTTTTGATTGTCTACTTTTTTTTTTACTTAATCCAGTAAGGTCAATTTGATGATTGGACCTTCCTGTTGCCATACACTAATATTTTTTCTTTTTTATTCCCTCGCGACACAAACTAACATGGTATACCAAGCAAGTGGTCGATTAAGATGTATCAGCAGAGATAGTGGTATTACATAGAAACCAAATGTATTCGTAACACTAAACGTTCTTTGATAACGGGTTTTTTAATAACAAGTCAAGTGTCACACGGTGTCATTTGCTTAGTTCTTAATTGTATTAGTTCTTAATTGTAAGAAGCGCTCTGAATGTTTTTTATAGACGAAGAAGTTTTAAAACTTTAATGCCCACTTTTTTTTATATCATAAAAGGCAATGTATGTATACTATGTAAAATATTTCTTTGTTTAATATATATAACATATATTTAGGATTTATGACATCCGTGGAATGATGAATAAATGATTATTTTATTTCATGCGCCACAATATTCCGACCATCGAGCACCGATAAAAGTATTTTTCTGATTTTGCAAGACATCTCAATGATTGCAGCTTCAAGGCTGGGGTAAGGCTTTTTATCTCACTTGACTTACACAGCTGTTAGGTTGATATAGATTACTAGGCTATTGTCTATATGCATAAGTATATACATATAATGAGTACTCAATAAAATTTGAACATATTGTGTTTACATATACTTTTTTTTAAAAAATTCAATATAATTCAGTGTAATTTTCTCTTATTATTTACAGACGTTAAACATCTTAAAAGCACATGAATAGCAATGAAACACCAAGTGCCCTTACAGAAAGTCAACTAATCCAATAAAGGATTGTGATTTTTGTTGTTATTAATCCCCTTATTACGCGACTAATGTATAAACGTTTAAATTGTTTATTGGAGGAAGATAAATTTTTGGACGTGTTGAACACCACATAAATATATCTCGTGTTTGTATAATTACAATAGATTCCCAAAAAATTATATAAGCTTTTTATTACAAAATATTTATATGGATAAGAGAAGTTGATATTATTGCAAAATGTTTAGAGGAACGGAACTGAGAGTAATAGGATACATTATTCATAATAGTTATATACTAAACCCTATTTGTTGTTTATTGCATACTACTCTTTATACTCGGAAAATATAAATAGTATTCGAACAGAAGAGTGCTATCATAATGTATGGATGCATTGTAATATCATAAAATAAAATTGGCTTATTATTTTTTAAATATACCTGTAGTAAATAGGCTGAGAGGGTATAATTTTAGTTTGTACTAAGACAATCCCATATCAAAAAGCTAACACGGGGTGTCAAATCACAACATGTTTCTAAACAAACTTATTGGTTAATCATATCCTTTCTACCACATTTAATCATGACCTTAATTTTGGTGTTTAATGCATTGCTACTTTTTAAGAGGTGGGTCTTGCGTGACATAATTGATTTTGTCTCTTCTAAAAACGGAGTTTATTGTAATAAGGGACACGACGGCGTGATTAACGGGAAGAAATCACTCGTATCTGTTGTTAAAGACATATTTTGTACTACATATAAATAAAGTTTGTGTTCATGTTGTCCATAAAATCTTAATATCTCAGCAAATCAAAATAACTTGGTTGAAAAAATATAAAATCATTTCTGATTCCAAACACCACAATGTTAGTTTATCAAAGAGGTGAACATTCGACTAAATTATAGAGGTTTTGACTCAACTATATAATTTTTGCGGAAGTGAACATACAGGCAATTTTATTTGACGATTATCCTATTTTTATTTGATGTACTATTGTGACCAAGAAATATAACTTAGCGTTTATTGTAAAGTCAATTTTGGTTTATCATTATGGATTACAAGAGTTTACTTCTGTGTTCAAATTATTCATAAATTTTATACGAATTTCATTAAGGGCTAAATATATTTATAGATGTAATTGTATGTAAACAGTTTATAGTGGGTAAATATTAGATAAATTTAATCATTACCTCTGTTGTAACGCGTGTCTATTTTTTGCATAAAGATGCGGTAAAACCAGACGTCTGTAAATGATTGAACATCAAGATTTTCAGAAGCACACACAAAATTAAATTCTGTATTCAGGGCAACTTATATTTGTAAAAAATTCCCGGGAAGAAATTTTATAATGTTTCCTAAAGAAGACCATATCAATTAATGACCATGGTCACAGTTTTGACTTTATGGGTTATTTACTTCATTTAGTAAAATCAACATACTGATTAGAACTTCTTGTTACTAAAAAGTTTTTTCTTCCTCTTCTGGAACACAAACTTACAGAACACGCCATGCTGGTTGCATATTAGTAAATGTTGGTGGCGCTTAACATTATAGAGTAAAGTTGCCAAACGTATCTAAAAAATATTTATATATAAGGGATGCTGAATCTGACTTTTTTCCCTGTATTAACTAACTTTCTTTTATTACACTCTCTTGTTTTTATACTACTAATTTATCGTTTTTTTTATTTTTTTTATAAAAGAAATTATTCGAGTAAAAATGGCAGGAGACGAAGACATTAATAAAGAAGGCTACGTCTACTCTGAAAAGATTTCAAGCAAACATTCTAATGGCAGCATCGATGAAAAGTATGACCATGATAACAGATCACAATTGACAGACTCCAAGGATCGCAAGCTTGATGCTGAGCATCAGATACATGCATTTGGTGAAGGCGAGGAGGACTTGGATATGGCCATTATCAATGAAATTACTGTTACCGAGGATGATGTTAATATGAGATCCCTTACAGTAAGATCAATAGTCGTCGGTGTTGTAAGTAAATTTTCTCAGAAAGTAAATGAACGATTGCTAACTTCAAACTTGGTAATATCAGTGTCTTGCTGCTCTCAGTTCATCCGTTGCCCAACTCATGCAATTCAAGCCTGTTGGAAGTGGATTGTCTGATACATTCATGTTAATTCTTGCTTACGTTTGGTGTAAACTCTGGGAAAAATATCTTCCAAAAGGTGGTTGGTTAAATCCTGGTCCCTTAACTATTAAGGAGCACACTTGTATATTTATTTTAATTTCTTCGGCTAATACTTCTGCATATGGTACATACATTCTTTCTGCTCAAGCCCTTTTCTATGACAACTCTCCTTCTATTGCTGGTGGTATCTTTTTGTTGTTTGCCACCCAACTTGTTGGTTACGGTATTGCTGGTCAGCTCAGACCTTATCTTGTATATCCTGCAAACATTACATGGCCACTTTCTTTACCCACTGTATCACTAATCAAGACTTTCAATACTGACGCCGCTGAAGCTAAGTGGCGTACAAGATATTTTTTTATTGTATTTGGTGCTATTTTTGTTTATGAAATTATTCCGCAATACATCTTCCCCTTGTTGGGCGGTTTCTCTATTATTTGTCTTGCAAAGAACAACAACGTTTGGGTCCAAAATATCTTTGGTGGATTGAATCCTAACGAAGGTCTGGGTCTTTTATCATTAAGTTTTGATTGGACTTCTATTTCTGACTTGAATCCTCTTATTGTCCCTGGATGGGTCCAACTCAACATAATTGGTGGTTACGTTTTATTTTGTATTATTACTCCACTCGCGTATAGTTATAATGTTTGGAACGCTCAAAGCTTCCCTTTCCTCGACAATGGTATTTACCAGCTTTTCGATAACGGCACTGCTGTTATATATCCCCAAGCTTCCGTATTAAATCCTGACAATAGTTTGAATCAAACACTCTTTGCCGAAGTTGGAAATCCTAGTTTTGCTACCTCTAATGCCTTGTCTTATATATATATTAACCTTGGTGTTACGGCTACTATTACTCACGTTGCACTCTACCATGGTAAAGAAATTTGGACGACATTCCGTAATCTTCGAAAGAAGGTTTCTGGTAAAGATGAAGCTGAAATGGACATTCACATGAAGTTAATGCAAGCTTATCCCGAGGTAAAATAAGCATGATATAACTTACTTATTTTTACAAAAATTGACACTATTACTATCTGTTCCAAATAGGTTCCCAGTTGGTGGTACTATTCACTTTTTGTCGTTGGTATTGGACTCAATATTGGTGTTGGGTATGCTAACACTTCTGGACTACCATGGTGGGGTTTTCTCCTAGCTATTCTGCTTTCCACAGTTCTTTCTCTGCCCTTAAACATGATTCTAGCTATTACTGGTAGTAATTTTGGTTTAAATGTAGTTGCCGAAATGATCTGCGGTTTTATTTTACCTGGTTACCCTATTGCTAATATCTATTTCAAAACTCTCGGTTTCAACACTATGAGTCAAGCTGGTTATATGGCACAAGATCTGAAGATCAGTCATTATCTCAAGGTTCCACCCAAGATGACTTTCCTTCATCAGATAATTGGCACTGTAGTTGGTTGTATCTTCAATTATATTGTTAATGAATCTATTGTTAGAAATAAACGTGAAGTTCTTCTTGACCCCATTGGAAACCGTTTCTGGAATGGTAACAAACCCCGTACCATTAACTCTGCTGCGATTACTTGGGGTGCCATTGGTCCTATGGCTATGTTTGGTCCTGGTACTCAATACTATATTTTCCTTTGGGCTTTTATTATTGGATTTTTCCTCCCTGTTCCTTGCTGGCTATTGTATAAGAAATTCCCTAAGGCTGGCTTCCAATATGTCAGTATTCCCATGATACTGATTGGTCTTGCAAGTTTTTTGCCTGGCGGCAGTTCTTCTTTTATAACTGTCGCTGTTATTCTCGTTTTTGTCTCTCAATTCTATGTAAAGAAACGTTATAGTGAATGGTATGCTAAGTACAATTACCTATTATCTGCTGCTTTGGGAGCCGGATCATCTTTAATGGCATTCTTTGTCTCTGTGGTCTTCTATGGTGCTGCCAGTGGTAAAGTCTACAATTTCCCTGATTGGTGGGGTAATGATAACGAATCTATTTACATGGATCAATGCTGCAAAAACTGCGAGTAGTCGAATCCGGGACATGCTATTGTTTTCAGTTTTAATTTCAAAGCATAGCATATGTTATCATACTATCAATTCTATGTTTCTATTATTAAATGTCTGTACCACTTTTCAAATAAAGGAGTTGTGTGTATTTAAACATCAATTACTTTATTTGCCGTGTATTCAAATAAGTGAGACGGGCGTCTATAAAGGTTGGAATTAGTCGTCATAGCACAGTATAAAGAAGGCTTTGAGGGAAAAATGTCAATAGTCATGATAAGGGTGCTGCCCTTTTAAAAATTCCTGTAATTGATTTTCAAAGCATGAGAATTATATTAGCAGCCTTTTTTACGATGAGAAAATGTCAGTGTTGAAAAAGTATAAACAATAACTATTTTACCACCCGTTGTCCTAAAATACTATATTATTGGGACTCTGATGGAAACATTTAAGTCTGCAATGGCTCTTTATCAATCAGATATCCATAGACTCTCACGAAAAAAAAAGTAATGAAAGCCAGACGTGATATGAAACATAAGATGCATTGGCCGGGTCTAAAAATATAGTTTATTTTTGGATAACGGAGAAAATACATAAGACCCAATTGTAAAAATAGATGGGGTGGGGGTTGGTGTTAGTGTCCCTGTTCTAAAAAAGCCTTATTTGTGGGGATTGGTGGCAATTCAATAAATACAACTGTAGCTTTTGACATGCCAGTCTCACCAAGTTACAAAATTATCTATTGACAGATCCCAATTTTTTATAATTAAACTTTTGCTTGGGGTACCTACAGTATAGTGTAAGGAATGATTTTACAAGCTGCCTTTTTCAAGGTTCACGTAGACTTCACATCAATGCATTAATACATATTGAACTCACTTAACACTCAACATCTTGTACAATTTTGAGGTCATGTATGTGTACCAGTATTAGCTTCGTCTTGATACCGTGAAGCTTCCTTGATTGCATAACTAGTCAAGGATATTATTTAAAACGTATCCATTTGTTGGAAAATGGTAACAAAAAAATTAATTGTTCAATGTCAGAAAACCTTTTTAACCACTAGATATTTCAAAAGAATGCCTTCCTATGTAACCGATGCCAACCTTACGAGTTATGAATTAGCGTTTTGTGGAGCCATGGCCGGTGTATTTTCGCGGTATTATTCTAAGAGAGACAGAAAAATACAGTAAAAATATTAATGTACATGCAAAAAAGGGTTGTGATTGCACCATTAGATGTTGTAAAGATTAGAATGCAATTACAAACGCACCGAACGCATTTTGGATTTCGAACAGCCGAAAATTCAGATATTCAATACTCGAACATCCGACAGGCTTTAAAAAGGATAGTGAGAGAAGAAGGGATCAGGGGCTTGTACAAGGGAAATATGCCAGCCGAATATCTTTATTTATCTTACAGTGCAGTTGAGTTCTGGGCGTATAAAGAACTGGAGCAAAAAGTTGAGACAATCGATGTAAATAACAAGGTACCGCATACGGTCAAGACATTTGGTTCTGGCATGATTGCAGGTTGTATAGCAACTGCAGCAACCTATCCGTTTGATTTATTGAGAACAAGATTCGCTGTGAATAAAGGTCCTCAAATGGTTAGTACATATTATTATTTTTAAATTGCAAAGCTAATATTTTATATGTGCGAAAAAAAAGTACAACACAAGTGTTACACAAGCAATGGTGGATATCTACCACAAGGAAGGGCCAAGAGGATTCTATAGAGGCCTATGGCCTGCTATGATTCAAATTATGCCGTATATGGGACTTCTATTTTCCAGTTATGATGTATTTGCCAAGAGTTTCAAAAAGTTAAGAGTAAGAGAATTACAAAAAAGCAGTGTAATGTGGAATTAAGAAAATAATAATAGGATGACAATGTGTTAAGCAAAGGTTATAAGCCAACCCATGACATGCTGAGTGGGGCGATGTCTGGATTTTTCAGTAAAATGGCAGTTTACCCGTTTGATTTAGTTCGAAAACGGTTACAAATGGAAGGGTCTTATCGGGCTGAGTCGAATCAATCTTGGCTAAGTTGTTTAATGAGTATAATGAAGCGAGAAGGTGTTAGGAGTCTGTACAAAGGACTAGCACCTTCTTTACTCAAGGTGGCACCTGCAAATGCAGTCACTTTTATGGTATTTGAAGAGACTAAAGACCTTCTGATATTGTTCAAAGAAGTAAAATAATAATAGGTATCACAAAAAAATTTATTTAATTTTTTTATTTTCATACACGCACGTTTTTATTTTTTTTCACCTTCTTTCTTTTTTCCTTTTTTTTTTTTTTTTTTTTTTTTTATTATTATTATTATTTTCAACTCCATTTTTGTGACAAAAAGTCAATGTAAGTTACCAGATGAGTGTTTGATGGTACAGAAGGACTTAATCTCAATCTAGTTTTTCTCAACATTATCTCTCTCGGGGTGGAAAGAACAAGGTTATTCCCAGGCACACTTTGAAACACACAAATAAAAATAATAAATCCCTAAATACACACAAAAGAAGATGACTGTAAGTGATTATTCAAAAGCAAAATTATCATATTAAACATCCCACCTAGATTTCTGAGTTGGAGGCTAAGATTGAACATAGTCGTACTATGCGAGACAAGTTCATCCAAATGAGACCTTTATTGAAAGATAGAAATGTTATATCCGACTGTGAAACTCAAATAAAAGAATATCAAAAATACATTGATTACTTTACTGAAGAACTACACAGGCTGGAAGCAAAACAACAAGATAATGCTTCTGATTCAGGCTCTGAAAGTAAACAAAGTCCAATCATCCAACATCAACTAAATTCACCATCCGATCATCCACCCAGATCTAGTTCCATGGCGACCACTGCAACCACTTTGGTTCCTTCTCAAATTAAAGATGACAAGAAAAAGTACTCCAACCTGGGTAAGATAACATATGCACACTTTTTTTTTTATGGTTTATGTTTACTCACACTAAATTTAGATCTCTTGATGTCCGAAACTCCTTATAATAAACCCAAGGTTTCGCTTAAACTGCATGAACTTGAATATAAGCTTGACGTCGAAAAAACCGTCTTAAAAGGTATCAGAGGCATGGTCGATGTTTTAGAACGCACTCCTTCTACAGATCGTAAAAGTAGACAAGACGTCCAAGATAAAATGTTAGAGAGTACGGAAAAGCTTGGTTTATTGAATTCTGCACTCAGAAAATACAAAAGTTTATACATTGGCGAAGGTGGTGATGAAGACGACTATGGTAAGTATTTGTATTACCCATATAAAAAAACACGCATCTAATGCACACATCACCAAAGAACTCGAGACACCTCCTTCTGCTCGTTTACCACCTGGGTTCCGTCGACCTGTTACGGGTAAGCTTCAATTGGAGATTTTGGAAGCCATGGAATTAGCACATGCTCCCACACGTATGATTCGTACTCCTGCTACCGTGGTTTTGGTCAAAATCGATAACCAAGTCGTATTCCGCTCCCGACCTGCGCGTAATGATAAATGGAATGAATTATGTGAGACACACGTCAATAAGGCTTCCGAGATTGAAATCAGTGTTTATGATCAATCAACCGAAAAATCTCTGCCCATTGGTTTCTTTTGGTTAAAAATTACGGATATCACCGAGGGTCTTCGTAAGCGTAAGGTCCCTAATTGGATGTTGGCTGAAGAAGCACAAAAACGCCGTCACGATGAGGATGGCAATTCCATCGTCGATAGAGAAGATAGTAGTGCATCTCTTCATCCTATCCCTCCTGTTCAAATCACTCAAACAGAGGGTGGTATTGAGGCCTGGTTCGATGTCGAACCAGTCGGAAAATTGGCCCTCAGATTAAACTTTGTACGTGCCGATGGTAACCGTAGACCCATGGATAAATTAGGTCGTGCTGGTGCTGTCCGTCAACGCCGTGAAGAAGTTGTCGAAGTCAATGGTCATCAGTTCTTGGAAAAGCGATTCTACAATGTCATGAAGTGTGCGCTTTGTCAAGAATTCTTTGTCAACAGTGGTTATCAGTGTGAGGACTGTGAATACACCTGTCACAAGAAATGCTCCAGCAAGGTTGTTACTAAATGTATCGCTAACTCCACAGAGACTGTAAGTATTTATATTTGTGTCTGCACTCAAAAAAAGAGATAAAAAGAAAGAAGCTAACTTTATCTGTTCAGGACTCGGATGAAGATAAACTCAATCACAAGATTCCTCATCGTTTCGAACCCATTACCAATATTGGTGCTAATTGGTGTTGCCATTGTGGTTATATGTTACCTTTGGGATCCCGTGGTTCCAAAAAATGCTCAGGTAAAAAGAAACACATATATCATACTAGTAAATAAGGCCACTCATGTCTTTACGTAGAATGTTCTGTCACTGCTCATACGCGATGTGAGCAATATGTGCCTGATTTCTGTGGTTTGAGTATGGAGATGGCAAATCAGATGCTTGCCGAAATTAAGGCCGCAGCCAAGCGCAAAACTTTGGAGACAAAGACACCTGGCGGTAGTAGTCGTATTTCTAAGCAGGACAAGGTGGAGATGATGGCACAGGATGGACCCCTTCCCGCTATACCTCAACCAGCGGAAGATGAACTCAGTTCCCAACTTTCATCTGTCACCTTGGCTCCCCAAAAGAGTCCTGTTGTTGTGCCTCAAACACCTCCCGCCATGTATAACACTAATCCTATGAATACTCCTACTAATACCAATACCTATTATTCCCCATCTCAAAATCCAATGGCTATGCCTCAGCCTCCCAGAATTTATCCTCAACAACAGCAGCAACAAAGACCCCCTCCTCCTAGTCTACCTACTCACTCTCAACCAAATCCCTATGGATATAATAACGGACCTCCTCCTGCTGTTGACCCTAGATACCAACAACATCAACAACAACAACAGATGTACTATCAACAACAACAACAACAACAACAACAACAACAACAGCAAAGGCCTCCTGTGTCTTATAGCCCTTACCAATCTCAACCTCAACATCCTCAAATGATGGGTAGACCTCAACCTAATCCTAACTATAACCCTGTTTATCAACAACAACAACAAATGGCTCAGGTAAGACAAAAAACACAAACAAATGTAACCCTTTTATTAAAAGAAAAACACTACCGTAATACAGGGATATGGTGGTGCTGGTAATATGACACCTCCTGCACCATTGCAAAAGCAACCAAGTATGATGCAATCCAAGCGTAAGGTTGTGTTGGACAACTTTAGTTTCTTAGCTGTATTGGGTAAAGGTAATTTTGGTAAGGTCATGTTGGCTGAAGAAAAGTTCGACAAGAAACTTTATGCCATCAAGATGTTGAAAAAACGATTCATTATTGATAATGATGAAATCGAAAGGTAAAAATACAGTTAATGTTTTTTTTCTTTTTTTACTTACATGAACGTGATTAGTCTCCGCTCTGAAAAACGTGTGTTCCAAGCAGCGAACCGTGAACGTCACCCTTTCTTGATCAACTTGCATTCCACTTTTCAAACGGAGACACGTGTTTATTTCGTGATGGAATATGTTAATGGTGGAGATTTAATGTGGCATATTCAACGTGGCCAATTCTCTGAAAGAAGAGCAAAGTTCTATGCATGTGAAGTGCTTTTAGCACTCGAATACTTCCATAGCCAAAACATTATTTATCGTGATTTGAAATTAGATAACATCATGTTGAGTTTAGACGGTCATATTAAGATGGCAGATTATGGTTTGTGTAAGGAGAATATGGGTTATGGAAAGACGACTGGCACTTTCTGTGGTACACCTGAATTCATGGCACCCGAGATTTTGCGTGAACAAAACTATGGTCGTGGCGTTGATTGGTGGGCTTATGGTGTTTTGATCTATGAGATGTTGCTTGGTCAATCTCCCTTCCGTGGTGAGGATGAAGATGAAATCTTTGATGCTATTTTAGAAGATGATATTCTTTATCCTATCAACATGTCTAGTGATTCCATCTCCATTTGCCAACAGTTATTACAACGTGAGCCTTCTCAAAGATTGGGTTCTGGTCCTGATGATGCTGTATCTATCAAACGCCATCCCTTCTTCCGTGGTGTGAACTGGGATGACATGTTGGCTAAGCGTGTTCCCCCTCCTTTCTATCCTACCATCAATGGTCGTTTAGATACATCAAACTTTGATGAAGAATTCACCAATGAAACTCCTGCGTTGACCCCTATCGATTCCAACTTGAATCGTGTCGAGCAACAAGAGTTCCAAGCTTTCTCATACGTTGCTGACTGGGTTACTGGTCCTGTCAACTAAAAAAACTGATTTTTTTTAAATCATCCCCCCCCCCTCACCCATATACATACAACATTTTTCTTCAAAATAAAAAAATATTTTTTATAAATTATTTATAGGTTCGGAGTAAGATCGCTTGATCCATTCATTTTCAAATCGAAATATCACCCATGTCCAACGTCGTGCTATTTCGGCCAGATCAACACAAAAGGGGTGTATGTGGTGTAAGTGCGACCCGAATTTTAATAGTCGAATGCTCGCATTAATTCCAACCGCCAAAACATAACTCCATGGCTCTGAAAAATGTAAATCTTTTCTTATACACACACGGTCTGTTCCCACTTGAATTATACCCCAGTCCATCACAATGTCCCATACAAACGCAAAAACGTTGCTAAACATAGCAGAAAAAAGCCTATACAATACAAAATTTAACTTCTTTAAAGTGCGTATACTTTAGTTTGCTTTTACCATAACCGCCAAAGTAGATCTCCATAAGGGTCGGGGTTATGATTGTCTAGTTTTGTGCAATGTGCTAAAAAAATCACTGGAATGGCCGAAATGTACTTGAACGCATTTACTAATTGTCGCTTGTTATTGGACGAAGAGCCATGATAGAGACTTAAACATTGTTTTAGTCGAATCAAGTAAGGCAAGCTAGTTTACTCTTGTCAGTTCAGAAACAAAAAACACAGTGAAAGGAGCTACCTTGTAACCAAGGGTACAAAACACGAATACGATATGGCCATGTTTTCTGTGAGTTTTACGAATATTCCAGTCAAAATACCAGAGAAGCTGATCAAGATATCTGCCACAAGTATATCTGAAAAATGGACTTTTTGCAACTTGAAAATTAATCTATAGATACAACTATTTTTTTTTTTTTTTACTTGTTAGCAATAGCATATTTTCGTGTCAAGTTTAAACAAAGCACTAAACTTTAGTAATTGACTTGGTTCTTTTCTGCACGGACCAAATATGATTAAAACTGCAGCTAGTAGATAGCAACATGCAACAGGGTTAAAATGATGCAACTCGCTGGTTCGTGTATACATGGTATGTTCCAGCATGTAGATGTAAGTAGATGTGAGTAGTGATAAAGATGCTGCTATATATATAAGAGGCTGTATATTACAGTGGGATACGTAGAGCAATGAAAGGACATCAATGTGTTGCCAACGTAAGATCGACAAGACAACAACCCAGCCCCACATGCCAAAACAAACTGAAACTAAGGGCTGATAAGATTCAGGCACCGCCGAACCTTCATTTCCCAAATACATTTATTAAAGCAGAAAAGAGAAAGATAATGAAGTAAGAATGAAAAGTGGGCTATTTAACCGCTCTGTAGAGCATTCTTGGCTTTATTTGTATTTTAATTAAACCTGTTTTTCTAATTCATTTTATCGCCTTTTGTGACCAATTCTTTCTCTAAATTATTAAACTTTTTTTGTCGGCCCGATAATGTCTGACAGCTGTTTAGAAAATCATCACTAAACGATTTTTCAATTTTCTACACGGAAACTGAAAGAACAGCATTTATATAGTAAACACATTTACAGAATGTCAATCTGATAAATACTTATTTGTTTGTCATATTTTACTTTCTTTGCAAGTAGGGACGGCTGACTAACGAAATACATAAAAATACAATCGAGGATGACCACTTCACACATGAAGCTAATGCCCATACCAATTTGAAACTTCACACAAAAATATAAAGCCAAAATAAAAATAACGCCTGCACCTTGGCATGTTAGAACCAGCCAGTATCTCTTGACGAGAACTTGCCATTTTATTTAAACCCTGTGTCATTTAATTTTCTAGCTGATGTTGTCTTTCCTTGCAATGAAAAGCTTTTAATAAGATAACAAGCGTATATTTGAACAAAATTAACTTAAATAGAAAAATTCGGTAGCAAGCTAATTTGTATACATTGATTTAACAAAATCAAACTTTTATTAATACACAATTCAGGTTAGTGAGATTTGAAGCCATTTATTAATAGAGATAGAGAAAGACGATTAAATTATAAAGATATTAAATAAATACGTAAAATTATATAAGTAAGTGTAGTGGGTTTTCATGATTTACAAATCACAGTTTTTGCAGCACTGATCCATGTAGATAGACTCATTGTCATTACCCCACCAGTTGGGGAAATTATAAACTTTACCACTGGCAGCACCATAGAAAACTAAAGAGACAAAGAAGGCCATCAAGGATGTTCCCGAATCCAAAGCAGCAGACATCAAATAATTGTGCTTGGCATACCATTTGCTGTGACGACGCTTCACGTAGTATTGAGAAACGAATATAGTGATGATACTAACAGTAATAAAACTACTACTACCACCAGGCATAAATCCTGCAAGACCAATTAATACCATGGGAGTGTTTACATAGTGGAAACCGGCCTTAGGAAACTTCTTATGCAATAACCAGAAGGGAACGGGCAAGAATAATCCGATAATAAAGGCCCAAAGGAAAATATAGTATTGTGTACCAGGACCAAACATGGCCATAGGACCAATAGCACCCCAAGTAATAGCAGCAGAGTTAATAGAATGAGGCTTGTTTCCATTCCAGAACCGGTTACCAACTGGGCTAAGAAGAATTTCACGTTCGTTTTTAACAACAGATTCATTAACAATATAATTGAAAAGACAGCCAATCACAGTGCCAACTATTTGGTGAAGGAAAGTCATCTTGGGAGGGACCTTGAGGTAATGACTAATCTTCATATCCTGAACCATTAAGCCAGCTTGATTCATGGTATTAAAACCAAGAGTTTTGAAGTACATATTAGCAATAGGGTAACCAGGTAAAATAAAACCGCAGACCATTTCAGCGAATACATTTAAACCGAAACTGTTACCAGTAATAGCCTGAATCATGTTTAAGGGAAGTGAAAGAACAGTAGAGATTACGATGGCCAAGATAAAACCCCACCATGGTAGTTGAGAGCCATTGGCATATCCAATACCAATATTGAGCCCGATACCAACGAAATAGACCAAATAGAACCACCAATTAGGAACCTAGTTAAATAGTTATAAATAATTTGTGATCAGAAGTCAGGCTACAGTTTTAAAATTATTTTATGCTTATTTTACCTCGGGATAGGCTTGCATCAACTTCATGTGAATATCAACTTCACCACCACCAAGAACTTTTTTTCTGAGATTACGAAATATTGTCCAAATATCTTTGCCGTGGTAAAGCGCAACATGTGTTATAGTGGCTGTCACACCAAGATTGATATAAATATACGACAAACCGTTAGAAATACTGAAGCTAGGGTTGCCAACTGCTTCGAAAAGAGTTTGATTTAAACTATTGTCGGGATTTAATACGGCCGTTTGAGGATATATGATAGAAGTACCGTTGTCGAAACGCTGGAAGATACTGTTAGAGAGGAAAGGGAAACTTTGAGCATTCCAGACATTATAATGATACGCAAGTGGTGTTATAATCCAGAATAAAAATAAACCACCAATTACATTCAATTGAACCCAGAAGGGGACGACAAGAGGATTCATTTCAGAGATAAAAGACCAATCAAAACTTAATGATAGAACTCCCATACCTTCGTTAGGAGTCAATCCACCAAAGACGCGTTGAACCCAGACATTGTTATTCTTTGCGAGACAAATAATAGAAATACCACCCAACATAGGGAAGATGTACTGAGGAATTATTTCGTATACAAAGATAGAACCAAATACAATGAAGAAGAATCTTGTGCGCCACTTAGCCTCGTCAGCGTCCGTGTTTAAAGTCTTAATCAATGAAACAGTGGGTAAAGAAAGAGGCCATGTCATGTTTGCTGGATACACAAGATAAGGTCTGAGTTGACCGGCAATACCATAACCAACAATTTGTGTGGCAAGCAACAGAAATATACCACCAGCAACAGAAGGGGAGTTTTCGTAAAAAAGGGCTTGTGCAGAAAGAATGTAGGTACCATAAGCAGAAGTATTAGCCGAAGCGACCAAGATATAGATACAAGTGTGCTCCTTAATAGTGAAAGGACCAGGATTTAACCAGCCACCTTGAGGTAAGTATTTAGCCCAAAGAGTGCACAAGACATAACCAACAATTAACATAAATGTACTGGACAACCCTATACCACCTGGCTTGAAGAACATGAGTTGTTGAACCGAAGCACTAAGAGCAGCAAGACACTAATATTATCAAGTTTAAAGTAAGTCATTTATTTAATTGTAAAAACAGTTTTACTTACACAACCAATAAGCATTGCTCTCAATGTAAGAACTTTCATATTAACATCGTCTTCTGTTAATGCAATTTCATTGATGACAGCCATATCAAAGTCTTCTTGGTCTTCACCAAATGTGTTAAGCTGATGCTCAGGATCAAGTTTGCGATCCTTGGAGTCTGTCAATTGGGATATGGTATCTTGAACATCCTTTTCCTTCAAGCTATCAATAGATCCAGTAGTCAGAATTTTTTCGGAGTAGACATATTCTCCTCCTTCAGTATCTTTGTCTCCTGCCATTTTATTTTTTTAACAAAAAAAAAAACCAATAGACTGGTAGTATAAAAGTATAAGAGTGTAATAAAGGAAACTGAGTTGATGCAGAAAAAAAAAATCAGAGAAAAAGAAGATCCCGTATCCTTTATATACGAAGGATTTTTTTTTTTTTTTTTTTTTTGGTTTTTCAATAGATTTGGTAATTTTACCTCTATAGTGGTATGCGCCACTGATGTTTTCTAATCTACAACTAGCATGGCGTGTTCTGCAACTCTGTGTTCCAAGAGGATTTTAAAAAGGATTAGTTATTGGTAACAAGAAGGTCCAATCAACAAACGGGCTTATTGCCAAATCAAGTAAATAAATCATAAAGTCAAAACTGTGATCATGGTCATCAATAAATGTGCTCTTGTTAAGGAAATATTATAAATTTCTTTTCGGGATTTTTATATCAATATAATCAACCTTGAATACAGAATGAAATCTTGTGTGTGCTTCTGATAATCTTAATAACTAGTGGCCCACGGAAATCTTGTTTTGCTACACCAAATAAAATGAAAAGACGCGCGATGAAACACCAATAGCGATAAATTTTTTTGCTAGAACTCACCAACTAGAAAAACTTTTGGATACAACTAAATAGATGCTGCTATTACTCTTAAAAGAAAGCAATTACAAGATAAATAAGACGAATAAATACTTTGAAAACAGAAGTAATTTTTTATTACTGGGAATGACGATTGTACATAAAATTCGAAATCAAATTTCTTGGACACAGTCATCAAGAGACATCTTGTTGTAAATGGACAATAAGAAATCGGTTTTCGAATTTTTAGCAAGACAAGCTTTATAATTACTCCAAATTTGGGACAATTTTAATCTGCTGGGAAGATTTGATGGTTCGGAAATGAACACAAGCCATATTGTCAGGTATTGCAAAATGTGTCTTTTATGACGAATAAGGATATTTATCTATCTCCCACTTTTTCCATTGTGGGCGTTTTTAACTATGAAAACATTACTGTTTTTATTGATTCATATCTGAATTAATACGATCATCTCCAAACCTACAGATAAATTATAATTCTCCAATAAGGATTCACCCATTATCATAGAATTAATGAGACATTGTAAATAGATATGCTATATTTTACATTCTAACGATCTAAGCTAAGAATAAATGTCGTATTTTGTGATCTCAAAGTGCCTTTTTAAAAAAACTGAAATAAATATTCAGGTGGCACCAAGCTGATTTTTGTCGGATAGCACATATTCGCCTTATTAGTAGAATTATACCTAATTTGTATTTTTACCGCATGTGGCTTTACTGATATCTAAGCACGCCTATTACGATTAATTTTTTATGTCGCAGAGCTCTTATATTGTAATGTGAGTCGTTTTTTTTTTTTCGTCTGATAAAAACATTGTACTGCTGAGCCATTTACTTATCTAAAAATGATTGACTGAGTCAAATATATTCTTTTCTTGAATCTAAATGCAGCATTTTTATGATTTTTATCCGGAGAACGATCTAAGAGCAGTAAAAAAGAGGCCTTCTACGCATTTTTTTTTTTTTTTTTGATTTTCGTGTATTCGGATAGATGATAAAAAGCTTAACTCCGTGAACTCCTTATTGCTGCACCACAGCAACTATGATTGCTCGTAAGACATTTATTGACACCCATATTATACTTGATGTACAGATGAAACATAATCAGGTCAATAAGGGTTATTGACATTCTTTCAGTTTATTTTGATATGCAATTTTAGTTGTTGAAAAGACAGTATAGCATTAAAAGCCCCCCTTCCCCTTCCTATGTTTTAAAATAATGCACGTTTACTCTTTGGGATATGTGTCTACATAATGCATCATACATCAGATGATTATGTATCACTTTTAACAATTAAGTGCATATAAGAAAATAACTGTGTTTTTTTCAAGAGAGCCAGAACGAAGTTTTGAATTCAAAATGCAAATTAATAATGGGGGTCATCACACTATAATTTCATAGTTTTCAATAAAAAATAAAGGCCAAAGTGTGCTTCTCTTTCGAGTTGATTTTTTCAGTTCTACGTATGTTGATGCACCTTTAAGAACCTTAGACTATTTAAAATTTAAGGTTTACCGTTTTTTTTGCCAACAGATACAATGGTACCCGACGGTAAAGTTTTAAGCCTTTCTTTTTGTTTATTCTCAACAGTAGTATGTAGCAGACTCAGTATCAACTGACGACAAAGATTGAAGGTGTTATTTTTATACATGGTATAATTTGAATTAGGGTAAACTTTTTAAAAAAAAATGGGTTACTCCCCTTAAACGGCTGATCCCGCTTTTTTAAGGCAATTCTGACGAGGTATGGTAGTAAATTTTACATTAGACAGTATTTATGTAACCTACGTACGTAAATCTTAGATTGGACCTGGGAACACACATTAAAGACCTCCTTATATAACAAAAATATGTAGTCGTCACATCCTCCATGTATCACAAAAACCAGGATGCAACTATAATTGTGTTAAAATAACGAGCTTATATATACATTCCTCTCCTAGTCGTGTTTAATGTATATTATGTGAAGATATTTGAAATTAGTTATTAAAAGCTAGTTACGCTTGTCTAATAACTACGTGATGCTGTACATGTCACTCAGCTATTTATCTGAGATTACAAGAGTGACAGAGCTACTTCAAATAAACACTCACCAAGCATTATGAAGCTCTAAAGATCACGTAGACGTAAAAATGAACTACTGAATAGAAAGAAAATTCATCACACAGATAGACATAAATTTTGGATATATGGGGATAATTTATTTAACGAAGCTCTACTAAGTAAAAGATAATATACCCCCAAATTCTGACTAGAATTTTAGGCTCTTTAATAACTGATATGTTATAACATTTGTGTGATTGAGGCTATAGACTTAAGACTCTCTAAATCCATTCCTCAATTGGCGGAAGTCCAATTTTGACGGGTTTTAAGATTAAACATCAAAACGAGTTTGTTCCTTTTTAATTTTTATTTTACCACCATGTTGCTAATTTCTAGAAGAGCATTCTCTACATGCAGAACATTACTTCATGAAAACCCCTTGGTAATTTAATACACACACACACACACAAAGAGGAGAGAAGAAAAAAGAACTGTAGAACTCACCCCGCCATTTCATTTTTTTTATTATTATTATATGTTTGACAGGGCTTGCCTCGACATAAAGCAGCACCCACTATGCCACGAGCACAACGTGGATTACCTCAAAAGATGCCTATCAAGGGCGTGAAACAAGTAGTTTGTGTCGCTTCTGGAAAGGGAGGTGTTGGTAAATCCACCACTGCTGGTAAAGTACAAAAAAAGATTATTTGATACCCATGTTTATCTCATTAAAAACGGTCTATTTTTTTATATTGTAGTCAATATTGCATTAGCAGCTGCCGGCATGAAGATGAAGGTGGGTATTTTAGATGCAGACATCTTTGGACCGTCCATCCCCAAATTGATGAATTTAAAAGGCGAACCAGAACTGACCGAGACAGGCGATCGTCTGATCCCTTTAACCAATTACGGTGTCAAATGTATGTCCATGGGCTTTTTAGTGGATAAGGATGCTCCCGTAGTGTGGCGAGGATTGATGGTTATGAAGGCCTTACAACAATTATTACATCAAGTGGATTGGGGACATTTGGATTTATTGGTGATTGATATGCCTCCTGGTACAGGTGATGTTCAATTAACCATCAGTCAACAAGTGGTTGTCGATGGTGCTGTGATTATCTCTACCCCTCAGGATATTGCATTGATTGATGCTGTGAAAGGAACCAACATGTTTAAAAAAGTGAACGTCCCCGTAAGTTTATATATATATATATATATATATCCTTTTTATGAAAAATCATTTCAAAGTGCTGACACATTATAAACAATTAGATTTTGGGTTTGGTGCAAAACATGTCATTGTTTATTTGTCCCAACTGTAACCATGAATCGCATATTTTCGGTCACGACGGTGCGGCTCGTATGGCGACTGATTACAATGTCCCTTTATTGGGTGAAGTCCCTCTCCATGCGGATATCTGTAAATTATCAGATTCTGGTAAACCCATTGTGATTTCGCAACCAGATAGTCCCTTTGCTGCTCATTATCGTTCCATTACTCAGAATATGCTTGCACGATTATCTGCGAAACAAGAATAATTATAATAATAAAGATATAAGATAAAAGGGGGAGAGGGAGTTGTGAACTAATAATTTATTTTCAAGTACGCATAAAATAAACATTGTTCATGTGTGAATGAAAAAAAAAAGGTTGTTGTTTCTCTTCTCTCTCTTTTCTCTCCAATTTTATTTTGTGTTTTTTGTAATTAATATAAAAAAATTGATCTAAATTCCAATTGGGTTGTTGTAATTGTTGTCTGAAAAAATCTTTTTACTCGGAAACATACTTGTGCTCGATATCCTTCCATTGCTTCTACAAGTTTTCGAATAAATAATGTTTCATGTCAGTCATTGCCTTCTCTATTAAAAAACAGGTTTAAAAAAAAAACTTACGCCCTTGTTGAAGCTGTCCCAGAGCTTGTCAGCAGTGGAATCAAAAGCAACTTCAAAGGCAATGGCACCAGTAAAGATGCTGGCAACAAAAACAGAGTTCTTCTTGAAGAAGGTGTTATAAATGGTACGGGTTAAACCAGAAGCAGGAACAGCAGGCATATTTAGAGTGGGGAGATTATGGAAGAATATATAAAATAAAAAAAAAAATCTGAACCTTTTTTTTTTTATTTTATTTCAAGAAACCCTGGCCTTGCCCCTCTCCCCGTGCGGTGCGCGAGGCGAGTGTGACGTAGCCTTTATCGGGGTTTCAAACATATGTGGATCATTTATGGGCCCATTTATGCGCGCAGGCACAAACAAACAGTAATAAGATGTTAAGTTACTATTGGGTTTTTTTTTATTGGTTTTATAAATGAATAAAAAAGTTGTTTATGTGTTTGTGTATGTGATATGGGAACTGTATTAAGGGTATTCAGTATTCCCATAATAGGGTAAAAAAAATATAATAATAAATGCATGTATTCCGAGTCCTTTTCTTTATGCGCAATCGGGTCCATGAGTATGGTCATTGTCGAAGAAGTCATCTCCGAGGAAGTCATTATCATTATCATTACTACCACTACCACAACCACCAGAGCTACCACAACCACTGTTGCCACCGTGATGTCCACCACCGTGATGTCCACCACCGTTACCACCGTTGCCACCATGATGACCACCACCGTTACCACCATGATGACCACCACCGTTGCCACCATGATGTCCACCACCACCGCAACCGGAACCACCACATCCACCATTGTGGCTATCACCACCGGTGAGAACATCAACATCAGCGTTATTCAAGTTATCCGACACGTTCAGATTGTTCAAGATATTACTAGCGGTATTGTCTAATTGAATATTATTACCACTGACATTGGCTAAAGAACCACTACCACCGCCAACACCACCGCCAACACCAGTAACGGCACCTGTAACAGTATCAACAGGAAGACCACCGTTGGTAAGGCCGCCGGTAAGATCGCCTACAGGAAGACCATCTGTAATACCACCTCCACCACCGCCGCCACAAGAACCACAGCCGCGAGCAGCAAGAGCTACCTCTTCAGAGTGTAATGGACGAGCAGAAACGGAGACCAACATGGTGGCAATCAAACCGAGGGAAACAAATTTCAATTGCATTTTATATATATATATCTAAAATATGAGTGTCAATAAAGATGTAATTGATTGAGAATAAGAGTAGTTACCTCTGCTTTATTGGGAGTGATGTTAATTGAGAAAAAAAAAAGAAGATGAGAGAAATTTGGTTGGTTATATAGGTCCATGGACAAAATAAAGGGGTGCTGTATGTGAGTCTCCGTATGGAAGGATTGTCTAGAATGGATAGGGGTTCTATAAACATGGGGTATATATTCTAAACGACAGTATCCATGGGGAGGAGAGTGTGTATTCAAGGGCTAGATGGTAATTATATCGTATTGTTGGGATCTATTATGCACTGTATATGTAGCAAAGAACAGAATCGATAGTAAATCAAAGGCATATGATTACCAATAAAAAAAAAGGCTTTTAGTGAAGCGGGATGGAACTGGATCATGGAAAGCCCCCTCCTTTTGTTTTTTTTTGAGATGAGCATACAACTAGTTTCTATAGAACATGTTGTAAATAAAGAGAGACATTGGCTATATTTAGCTTCATCCGTTGTACATGTTATTTACTCCTTGCCACTTGTATGCAGATCATCTTTTTTTTTTTCGACAAAAGAACACAACATTTTTCTAACCCCCCTTTTTTTGTGTGTGTTTGAGCAAAAAGAGACCTTTGAGACAAATAGACACCCTGCTTTTTTTTCAAACAGAAACATCTCTCGTGAGAGGAAATTCCAATGTGGAACAAATTAGAGGGCAAATAACTAATAACTAATATAAAACAAGTTTTTTTTTTGTGTGCGGCTATTCTTAACCATCGATTACATACATGACTGAGAGACTACATGTAAATGCAAGCATTAATCGAATTTTAATAAATATCTTTTTTTTTTAAGTCTAATGCAATGTATCGTGGGCGTCATTTCAAAAAGATATATTACTTCCCCACATAAAGACACTAAAAGAAAAAGACGCGCCAAATGAGTAATAGTTGATTTTCAGAAAGATTCGATATCTTTCATAAGCCCTGATCTGCCCTAAAAGGATCAAGAAGAGAGCGACAACCCTTTGTATGCACAGATGATCATTTACAACAAGTAAGATCTGCGTTTTGTTATGAAATTCTTTTTTTTTTTTGTAGAGGATAAACACTAGACTCAACAATGGACTTCTGAGTACGACTGTAAAAGAAATGGTAAGGACATCAAGCGTCGTTTAGGAAAAAAAAAGGGGTTTTTTTTTTGCACAAGGGACTTGATTTATGCAAAAGAAGTTGTTTCTGTGACCTTTCTTTCTCCCACACACACACACAAATTTTTCTTACTTTTTTTAATCTCTCTTTTTCTCTCTCGCTTCTAATGTTTCATTACACGAGTAAAAGCAATCCCAAGTTGTCTCAATGGCCTTTACAGCCTGAAAAGAATAATAAACCAAGCACAGAAAGTGATCCCAAGAAAGTTGATGACAAACCCCATGAGCCCAAAGACGATGACTTAATAAAAAAATAATTTCCTTTTCAAAGGTAAATCTCCTTTTTAAGTAAACAAAAAAAAATTATCTCCTCTCCAAAATAATTCGTGTTCTTGCTTTTTTTACTCTTTTTTATTCCCTTGTTTTCCTCTATTTCTTTTTTTTTTACCCACATATAAAAAAAAAAAGATGCTAGCGAAAAGCACGCTTGCTCTTGTTGGAGTTACCTTATTAAATATTTTTGCTATGGCTGAAAATTTCACTCCTTCTGACTTGATTCAATTAGCAAGACCTGGTGTGCCTGTCACCTCACCCAGTGGAGCACTGGCGGTTTATGCACAATCTGCATATAATATCACCGACGCCAAAGTAACCTAAAAACTCTCGTTATCACCTTTATAAAATAAGATTTTAACCTCCCCATGATAGACAGTGCGAAACCTTTACTTGTTAAACATTGAAAAGAACGTAGTAGAAGAACTAACCAAACCTTCCTACGACATCTCGGACAGTGAACCCTTCTTTTTAGACGACCAACACATTGCCTACTTCCATCGCGATGCTCAAAATAAGGCTGACGTTGACCAACTCTACGTATTGAATTTGTCCGATAAAGGCGAAGAGCCTTATCGTTTAACCGATTTCCCCATCTCTTTCAATAGCTTAAAGTATAACTCCAAGCGTAAGTTGTTAGCCTTTTCTGCTTCTGTCTATCCTCAAGAAGGTACTTTGGAAGGTACTCTTCAAAAGGACAAGGAAATTGCATCTACCAAAAAGGACACTGCCATGGCCTTTGATGAACTGATGGTTAGGTAAGTAAATCCATGAATAAAGAGAGAAACGGGAATACTAATTGTATTGGGGGAACAGACACTGGGATACCTATGTGACTGAAAAGAAGAACACCATCTTTGTAGTGGATCTTTCAATCAAGAATAACAAGTATGAGATTGCCACCAAGCCTATTAATCTCTTGAAGAATTCAGGTTTAGAATCGCCTACTTTCCCACAAGGCGATGCTGGAGACTTTGATATCTCTCCCGATGCTTCTCATATCGCCTTTGTTGCCAAGATCAACACCAAGGATAACGCATGGCAAACATCTGCTCATATCTACACTGTCTCTACTACTGGTGATGCTGCACCTGTAGCCATTAACAAGGACATTCCTGCTGCTTCTTCTAACCCTCGTTACACACCTCAAGGTCAACTCGTTTATTTCCAAATGATGAAACCTCAATATGAAGCAGACCGTAATCGTATCATTTTGTACGACCCCGAAACACAGTCTCGCAAGACATTGGCTGACTCATGGGACAGCAGTCCTCATGAGGTAACCTTCTCTGCTGATGGAGAGACCTTGTATGTGACAGCAGAAGAAAAGGGACGAAACAAGATCTTTGCTGTTGATGTCCAAACAGAGGATATCAAGACTTTAACTCACGATAAATATGCTACGGGACTCACTGTACTTCCTAACGGTAACATCTTTTACGGTGTCAGTGCCATGAAGCATCCTGTTGCCCCCCACCTTTTGGATGTAAAGACACAAGAAGTGAAGCCATTGGCAATTGAATTAGAACTCGAAAAGAAGCTCAAGTCAGTTTCGTTCTCGGATGCAGAGGATGTTTGGTTTACAGGTGCATTGGGTGACCAAGTGCATGGTTGGTATTTGAAACCTGCTAATTTTGAAGAAGGTAAGAAATACCCCGTGGCTTTCTTGATTCATGGTGGTCCTCAAGGTGCATGGGATGATAACTGGTCTACACGTTGGAACCCACAAATCTTTGCTGGTGCTGGCTATGGTGTTGTCGCTATTAATTTCCATGGTTCCACGGGTTATGGACAGGCATTCACTGACTCCATCGAAAAGAACTGGGGTTCACACCCTTTCCATGATTTAGAGGCTGGTTTGGATCATGTGTTGGCTACCTATCCTTACTTGGATGCAGAAAGAGTCGCAGGTTTAGGAGGTTCCTATGGTGGTTTCATGGCTAATTGGTTAAACGGTCACAGTAATAAATTTAAGGCTCTTGTCAATCATGATGGTGTCTTTTCTACTACACAGGTTTACTATACAACCGATGAGTTGTACTTTGCTGAGCGTGAGGTAAGGAAATAGAAGAAGTGTAATGCTGCTTTTTTTTTATTAATCATCTCTCTTTTTTAGTTTGGAGGATCTCCTATTCAGCCTGAAAACAGACAAGGCTTTGAAAAGTGGTCTCCTTCTAATTTTGTTCAAAATTGGAAGACACCTACATTGATTATCCATGGTAAAATGATTAAGTATTGATGAATGATGAATAATGAGTGACTAACAAGTAGAGTAGGTGGTAATGATTTCAGATTGACGACATGCGAGTCATTATCTACCTTTACGGCTCTTCAAAGACAAGGTGTTCCCTCCCGCTTTGTTTATTTCCCTGATGAAAATCATTGGGTTTTAAAACCTGCCAATTCATTGAGATGGCACAAAGAAGGTAAGGATATGTACAAAAGGGAATAATAATAAACACAGAATGACTAAAAAAAGAAATGCTTAATTGTTCACCCTAGTTTTACAATGGATCGGACAATACACTACAGAATCTACTGCTATTAGTCAAGATGCTGCTACACCTTCTCTTCGTATCCAAAACTAAGCTTATATTAGAACAATAAATAAAAAAATATATAATAAACCCCATCTGTGTTTCAATCACGAGGTAAAATAGATGCTTACAACCCAAAAAAAAAAAAAAAAAAAAGAGAGAGAAATAAATGTCCTTCCCTTTTAATACATTAACAAATACCCCCTTCGCTTTATATTTACACTCTCTTCCATGGACACAGAAATGAATGCTTCGAAACCGTCGATTTGGTTAGAATTGGCTAATGCGCAAGAAAAGGTACACCATTTACCTCGACAGGACTCTTCGCAGTTAACCACAGCATCGAGTGACACCGATCTCACGCACATTACCACCACCACTTCATCCATCCGAACTGCTCCTCCCTCTAACCCAAGAAAGTCTACATCCTCAAGCTCCATTCAGAAAAGAGAGTCCGATATTCGACTGCAGTACAACCAAAGACCTGAAAAAGTCCCGGATATTGCTGCTGAAATGGAAAAATGGTATGCTACCACAGACAGGTATATAAAAGAAGGCCTCTATTGTGTAGTGAAATCAAAATTTAATAATTCTCTTTGGAGTCTAGATATGGATTCATCAAGTGTGATCAATTGGCATCTAGTACAAAGTAAATATCTTTTAAAAATTTCCCTCCTTATATATCACATAATGAAAAAAAAAAAAAAACTTACATGAAATAGAGCGCAGGAAAAGGAAGTGGAGCGATCAGAGAAATGGGCTGATATGTCAGAGGTGGTGCTTCTGCATAACGATCAGGTGCATAGCTTTCCTTTTTCGCAAAAATTCAAATTAAGAGTCTTCAAAGGTATCCCTTATTGTTGGAAAAGAGACGCTTGGTATTTCCTCATCACCCATTGTTTAAAAGAAGCAAAATCAGACTATAAATTATGCAGTCTCTATCGAGTAAGTTTTACTTTACTTATTCACGCTTGTTTCTCTATTATTTATTCTCATCTTTCTTATTCATGTAGGACTTACTCTCAAAGGAATCTTCTCATGAGCGACAGATTGATCTGGATATACCAAGGACACTAGGCGATCACATCATGTTTAAACAGCGTTACGGAAAAGGGTAATAATAAACAAGAGCCATCTCTTTCGATCTTTTCTCCTTATATATATTAATCAACTCTCCTATTTTCAAGTCAAAGAGCCTTGTTTAATGTACTACGAGCATTTTCGAAATTCGATGAAGAAGTGGGTTACTGTCAAGGCATGACAAACATCGTAGCCACTATCCTGATGTACTGCGAAGAAGAAGTAAATACTTACTTTTTTTTTTAATCTCTAAGACTTTGTTTCTAACCCACTCTTTTTAAATTACTAGAAAGCCTTTGTGGTGCTAGTACACATGTTTGCCCGAGATGAATTACACAACTTGTATATACCTGGATTCCCCAAACTCATGGAAAGCTTTTATATCCAAGAAGCTTTATTAAAGCGATACCTACCGAAATTATACCACCACCTGGTAAATAAGACACACGTTAAGAGGGTTATGTATTACAACTAAACCCTTTTTTTTTTATATATATATTAGACAGATTTGGGTCTTTCCAGTGACATTTATTCCACACGATGGTACATTACTTTATTCACGGGCGGAGTTGTAAGCTATCATACATTAATGCGGATCTGGGACGCCTACTTTCTCTGTGGTTACGATGTCTTCTTTTTCGTGGCCGTGGCCTTATTGAAAACCCATGAGCAGGCCTTGATGGAAGGTGATTTGGATGTGTGTATGCAGACATTAGGTTCCACCATGACTGTGCCCGATGATGACCGCTTTATGAAGAAGGTTCAAAAACTTTGGGAGAAAAGTCAACGCAACCGTACTATCGAAACACTTCGAAAAGAATACAAGACTCAACATGACTAATATTTCTAATCTATCTATTCCTTTCTCTCTCTCTTAATACTCTATTTTTTATAATAACTAATGACCTCTCTCTTTTTTTTTTTTTTTCATATTTAATAAATCATTTTTTGTTATTTTGCGTACGCCTTATAATATATATTTTCTTCCTTTAGAGTCTCGAGATTTGAGGCCAGATCAGACCCTCTTGCGTGCACAAATGTGGCCATCAGTGTTTATGCTGTGTCAAACGTTGCATATTTATCTGTATTTTTTAAAACACAGATTTAAACAAAGTCAACGCACCAAACCTTCCCTCGACATGGTCGTACCCAAGCTTTCCACTATCCTTTCTTGAGAAAAAAAAAATACTTTCAAGATGCAAATCTCGTGGTCCAGGTTTTCAATAACACAAGTATCGGCCTTGTAGGTGTCGGAGCAAATAACAGCCGAGCATCAATTTCATCTTGGGCTTTCGGTCCCTTTAGTGCAAGATCCATTTACGGGTTAGGCCACGTAATTTGAAAGGAGTTTTTATACCCAGAATAAAGAAAAGCATAAAGATCATCCTGTTAAAGCAATTCCACATTATAATAGAACACTTGCTGTCAATTATGTACATATTTCAAAATAAGCCTTTTAACAAGCTACCAATAATCAAACAAATCTCATAGGAATGGTGCTTCTGTTGAGATATTCACCTCGAGATTGCAGAGCTGTCTTTTTGAAGTCTCTGTAGTTTGACTATCTACAAACAATCATGGTAAATACATATATTTAACCCAAATACTATTGATACATACCTCTGCCTTTGATAATCTCACATGCACTGACAGAATTGAATTCAGTGCATGATTTGAAGGACGACTTGAAGGAATAGTTATCTGTTTGTAGATGACTATACAGTGCTTATGTGTCTTTTGTACTACTGTTTATTGAGTATCCACATTCAAAGGGATGGTAGGTTTTAGGACTATTAGTTTTATGTTAGCTTCAATTATCAACAGTACGGCTTGTAATTAAGATGGTTGCTAAAGGTCATGACACCCCCCATGTATTGACGCCAAGTGTCCCACAGGTCCTCCTCATCATCATCGATCTCCCAGGCTTCTGCATTTATTAACAAATGAATTGTTTATTAGGCTCATATTTTTTTTATGAGCAGGAGCTATATTACGCATTTATCTTTTGGTTATATGTCCTCCTTCTTCCTATGTCATCCACGTGTAGATGGTACTGGTGGAGGACATGGTTGTCCAACAAATATGTCCCGGAAACAATCGTGAATTTAGCTATTTTTTGACCCTGATATCTTGAGCAGTAGAAGAGATGATACGCTGAGGACTAAGTGTTGTGAACGAGCATTAGGATTCATTGTCTCCAGGTTGAAGTTGGATGTTGACAGGTGTCTGTTTCAAAGTTAACTTTTTCATTTGATGTTTAAGATAGAAAGAACTAAATATACACTAAGGTTTCTTTTATAGAATACCAACTGTCATGGTGAATACCAAAAAGTATCTTTAAAATGATAGGAGGCCTGCGCTAGTTTGCCATTTTTTTTTAACTAATATCATCGTATGAATCTAAATAACAAGTTAGATCATGTTTAAATCCCCCTCCCATGGTATTTAACCTTGAAGTCAAAATTTGAAAAATAAAAAAATAAAACGGAACTAATCTTTATTTATTTATTAAAAGCTACTGAAACGAATTTATACTTTTAGTTGACAGCGAAGTTTCTCATTTTTTTCCTTCCTACCATTATTTATGCTTCTGTTGTTAACAGCAACAACAACATTTATCTCTGCTGTTGTTGCTGTTACTGCTGCTGTTGTTGCCGCCGCCTCCCGCGACTATTATAAGCGATGAAAGAATGTATGAAGATAAGTATAACAAAATACATGTGGATATAAGTTAAAAAACCACACTAATTTGCGTAGCAAATGTCTTATCTTTCTTTTCTTGTACCTTCGGTACCTATAAGTGACTTCGCCACGGGAGGCGGAGGGGTGTCTTGACATATAACTGTCTTTAAAGACTTGGTATGTATGAATACTATTATCGGACATACTTAAAAGAACGTCTAAATTAGATTTGTGTTAAGGTTTGACATTAGATTATTTTTGTTCCATCTTACCGCCTTGGATTACAGAGCCGTATTTTATTTCAACTACGGCTCCAGTAAAAGAAAGACGACGCGAGAAGGTCGTCCCAAATTTACTACGGGGCCCAGCCAACCCCCCCCCCACCAGGAGAGGGGGGTTGCCCATAATTAGGCAGGCCCCTAAAAAAACCTTGCTCAAGGCCTAATCGAGCACAAGAATCTCAATAGGACCCTACGGCAAAGACAGGAAAAGGTCTATTCCAATGCAAGGACCTTAGTAAGACCCTACAGTAGAGTTTCTGTTTCTGGGGGTATGGGATGCACGACTGAAACCTAAAGGAAGCGACGGAAGTACACTACCAGGAGTTGAGCCTACAGCCTAAATTAAAGTCAGTAGAAGCCTTTGCAGCAGAGAGTACAGAGTTACAAGCAAATCCTATTAAGGTCGAAGAGATTAGGTAAAAGTATTCATTGAAACGTAATATTAAAAAACTTGTACTTACTCTTTCCCCGTTAAGTTTGAATTTTACTTTTTCAAACATTTTGGACGACAAATACGCGACTTTAAAGATAAACTGTTGTAGAAGCTTTCATAGGTATGCTTTTTCATCAAAAAAAAAAAATGACTGGATAAAAGAAAGAGAAAGAAAGTAGTAGGGGGGTGCGTTTTTTATTTTTTTAAAAAAAAAGAACAAGTTTATGTCAGCATGAGGTAATTATTGGTTTCATCCTTCGATTAAATTGTTTGAGCCTTTACTTAAATAAGAAAGGCCTAAAAGTACATCACCTATAGTTGTAGGGTGAATGTGGCGCTGCCACTTTCATTTATTCAACATTATTCGGCAATACTTGGTTTGTAAAACTATTCTCCACGCCAGTAAAAGCTTTTGTTATGGAAATAGCTAGTATCAGATGATAATCTATTTAAACGCATATCTAGTTCATGCATACGAAATGGTTTAAATGGATTTCAATACTACTACTACCACTGCCTTTGTATCATGTGAACTTGTATTTGATCTTCTGAGTGTAAATTAATGTTTGATCGGCCAAAGACTAAACCCCGAACCTACATTATGCCGCTTCTGTCAAATAGGCTTCTCCCATCGATTTTTTCTTTCACTCATGTAAGTTTAGGAATTTGTCGAATTTGATCAAGTAAGTCCTTTTTCATCGTATCTCCTCCACAGCTTCGTTCACTGTTTTGATTTCTCCCCGTTCAAGACAAAAACGAAAAAGTCGGGATGTATTGATACAAGCCTCTTCGCAGCCATCTTGGGCTACACTCTCTTTGTGGGTGGTAAATGTGTATCTAATGTTCTTTTTTTTTTACTAACGATAACTATGGCTTGAAATTACAGTAAGAAACGCGGTTTAATTTTCCTTTTTTCAGTAATTGTTTCCTTACTAGTTGTTTAAAGTTTTATTTCAACTTTTATATACTGTTTTTGCCTATATTGTAGACTGATATATATATACTATGAACATATTATCTTTCTTTTCATTGTGAGGAATAAGGGACTATTGAATCTATGTAATTATTTCACATGTGTCCCTTTTTTAACTGGTAACACTATGTACGTATGAAAAATAAGTAACGTCAATTGAGATAGCGAAATCAAAAAGCGCAAACAGTTTATATTTCAACGCTGAGAAAGTTTATGTAAAATGGAAGTAATAATCAGAAACAGATCGCCTGAAAGTAATGCACAGAAGTAAGGTATGAACTGATCGAGAAGATTGGTGTTTATTTGTTAAGGACAGATCGAGCACGATGAGCAGCACGCATGTACAAATAAGATTGAAGCAGCCAACCAAGAAACAAGACCCAACACATACCGTCCGATGCTTTTAAAATGGAACAAGCGTTGTCCATGCCAGTAACCCAAGGGTATGTGATGGGATCATTGAACTGAATTTTCCATTGCATATAGTTTGTCCAATTGCAGCTCATGGCGGAGCCGTCTGTCATGACATCAGCTCCCGGTACTGCAGGCAGCAATGCGGCAAACCATAAGGCCGCTGTAAAGAAAATAATGGTGCTCCGCAAGGTTTTAGAAGGAGACCAAGCTTTGTAATTTGGGCTGGAATCGAAAGCGAGAATGGCACTATAGATCATACTACAAATCGTAGGTATCAGCATGAAAACATAGGTGGCAGGGTATGCAAATGTTGTAAAGCTTCCTACATAAGACAGTGTCAATAAATCAATAGAAATAGGTGTCTTATTTACTTTCATACCGAAACCTGCTAGCTTTGATCCACTATCGATGAATACTTTGATGTTTTTAGACACTCCGATTAATGTGCCAAAGACCACTACACCGATCATTGTATTCCAAATATGAATCCACTGTATCAGATGAAGTGATTTCATTTTTTTTTGTATATAAGGTTATCTAGAGAAATAAAAAGAGAGAAAAAAGGTCAATTAAACTAAATTGAACTTGTCCTTCTATTGTTGTAATTGTACTACAATAAATTATTTAAATTGGCTCACTATATTACCCATGTTCCTCTTACATCTTTGTCTGGGGACTAGATCTTCTCTCTTTCCTTTTCCTTATGTATTCAAAAATGGTGTCATTTGGCAACAAGTCTCCTTTTTCATCAGTTACTGTTTACACCTGCTGAATTACATGTTACACACACAGTGAATGGCTGACACGGTTGCCATGACATTGATGTATATTGCTACGTTCTAATATGAAAAGAAATAGGCGGCTCTCAATCTGCTTGGTAATGAATTTAAAAGCTTTTTTTGTATGTATCCTTCTTTGTAGCATGATACAAAAGCTTCTATAAAAAGTCAGTCGGTAAGGCATACAAGCAAATCTTTCTGTGCCGTATGTTAAGGAAAAGTGGAATGACTCCTTGAACACTACTGGTACATCATTAGGTGAGTTTTAAAAAAAATAAGCTCGTCGTTTAGTTTATGCGGGCAATAAGTTTCTTTTTAGAACGAGCAATTTACCCCAGTGTCTGGGACAGTGATAACTGAAACAAAAAAAAAATAGGCAAAATAATCGGGCGTTTAAATAAGAGATCACTGTGTATCTGCATATGTGGATAATGTTTTCTTTTTGAAGAACTGTCAAAAATCGAACCAAAAAAAAAAAATCTGGAAAAAAATGTCGTGCTTGTACCTTAATTTTTTTTTCTAGAAAATAAGGCTAAAATACACGGAGAAAATAATAATAAAAAAAAAAATTTCATTGGCCTTGTGTTGAATTCATAAAAGCTAAAAAAAAAAAAAAAGTATTGTATGACAAGGCAGTGGCTTACATTGAAAATAGAAAAGTTCTTTATTGCCTGCTTTTCTTTCCCGCCGTGACTATTTTCTCCTTTTTTTTTTAAGAGAAATTAAGCATATATAAAAAGCTTATTTGAAGGGAAGAAAAGTTTTCCTTTATATTTCCTTTATTAAACTTTTTTTAAATATAAACAAATATGGGTTCTACCAAGGTTGATAAGAAATCTAGCAAGGCTGACAAGAAGTCCAAGAAGGTTGTCGAAAAGGTTGTCGAAAAGGTCGAGTCCGAAAGCTCTTCCTCTTCCAGCAGCAGCAGCAGCTCTGAATCCTCTGATTCCGAGTCCGAAGAAGAAGTTGTTGCCGAGGCCAAGAAGGAAGAAGAAAGCTCTTCCTCCTCTTCCTCCTCTGAATCCGACTCTGATTCTGAATCTGAAGAATCTGCCGTCGCTGAGGAATCTAACGATAAGAAGAGAAAGGCCGAAGACGATGAGGTAGAAGTCCCTGCCAAGATCGCCAAGGTTGAAGAAGAAGCTGCTCCTGCCGCTACTTTCACTGTCTGGTGTGGTGGTATCAGTTGGGATGCCAAGGCCGAAGATGTCAAGGAATACTTTGGTCAATGTGGTGAGATCTCTGATGTCAGAATTAGATTAGATAACGCCACTGGTAAGAACAAGGGTTTCTGTCATATTGACTTCACTACCAAGGCTGCTCATGATGCTGCTCTTGCTTTATCTGGTTCAGACTTCCTCGGTCGTACCATTCGTTGTGACAGTGCCGGTGATGGATCTGTTCGTGTTGCCAGAAAGGATGAAAACTACGGTCCCAAGTCTACCAAGGTTTTTGTTGCTAACTTAAACCGTGACTATGACGAAGAAACTCATCGTGCTGCTCTTACTGAAGCCTTCAGTGCTTTCGGTACCCTCGTTGGTGATATCAGACTCCCTTATAACAGAGAAGAAGGTACTCTTAGAGGTATTGGTTATCTTGAATTCGAGACTGCTGAACAAGCTGAAGCCGCTGTCAAGGGTATGAACGCTGTCGAATTAAACGGTCGTCCTTTGCGTACCGATTTCTCCGGTTCTGACGATGCCAGCCGTGTTGGTGGTGGTCGTGGTGGCCGTGGTGGTCGCGGTGGTTTCGGTGGTGACCGTGGAGGTCGCGGTGGCCGTGGTGGTTTCGGTGGTGGACGTGGCGGTGGACGTGGCGGTTTCGGTGGTGATCGTGGAGGTCGCGGTGGTGGACGCGGTGGCTTCGGCGGTGACCGTGGAGGTCGCGGTGGTGGACGTGGAAGATGGTAGATCGCTCTTGTTTCTTTAATTGTACATTTTTTTTATTTCAAAAACCCCCCAAAGTCATTGAGTCATTACATTTTTTTAATTTCATGAATATAGCATTTAGAAGATAAATAACATTCCAAAAAAATAAAAACATTATTTATTATACGCACATTATCATGGTTTATGTTTATTTCCTTTGCTATTTACCTGTCAAAATTTTGATAGATGATGACTTACCCTTTTTAGCCTAAACATTTCATCCTCTAGCCTATTTTATCTTGAATCATAAAAGTGCCAATGACAGACATTTTCTAACTCTTGCATTACTCATTTTAATAGTCAGGCGTGAAGATGCTTAAAAAGCTTAGGATCTATTGAGACACTCAAAATAAGAAGATGTTACCCGGAGATTATGTGTCAATGCCGTTCCCTAACTCAATTATAGCTGGCCCAAGCAAAGTGAGAGCAGCAAGGAACCCGAATATATATATATGAAAGAAAGGATACGGAGAACCAGTGGGAGGAACCCAATATTGTCAAGAAATGTGATCAGGAGATACCAAAAAAATCTTTGAAATAACAAAAGGCCTGTACTAGTTTACCCTTTTTTTTTTATTTCATATCATCGTAAGAACCTCAATAACAAGTTAAATCATTTCTAAAGCCTCCTCCCATGGTATTTAACCTTGAAGTCTATATTTGAAAAATAGAAAAACAATACGGAATTGATTTTTATTAAAAATAAAAATGAATAATCATTTCAACACTCAAATAAAGTCATAGATATTTTTAATTGACAGCGAAGTTTCTCATTCTTTTTGTTTCTTACCTTTGTTGATGATGTTGCTACTATTACTCCCAACAACTATGTTGTTGTGTATTGTTGGTTCTTTTTTTTGTTTTTTTTTTTCTATTATAAACGATGAAAGAATATATAAAGCTATAAGTAAAACAAAATACATATGAATATAAGTTAAACAATCATACCAGTTTTCTAATGATTTTTTTTTTAAATCCGCCTTTATTTCTTTGGTTTCTTGTCTTCTTCGAAATTCGATCAAGTATTGATAGTATAAATTTGTGGCATGGGATAGGGATTCTTTGCTTATACGCATATTCTGTTTTGCATCTATTCATTGTAATGTAAAATATACGGGCGATCATGTAGTTGTTATACAAACTCAACCTTTGATTATATCTTAAACTATGCGCTTGAATGGGTCAAGATTTATTTTTAATTGTCTATTTCCGGCTGTAGTAATGCCGGGCGAATGAAAAGGGTGCGGTCCAAAACCCTTAAAGGTGACGACTCAATTGGGTCAATAGAAAGAGAGAGAGAGAGGACACAATTCTTTTTTTGGCGTATTAGACGTAGTTTACGTAGTCAAGTAGCCTGAGAACTGGATAAAAATCATCAAAAAGTTACCATATACGGAATAAAAAATCACCATATATGGAACACATATAGAGTAACTGAAAACCCTTCATTTTGACCTCTCTTAAATAAAACAAGTACCAAAATATGCCAAAAGATAAATTGACAAAGAGAGACAAAGGAAAACAGAAAGATCTGCGAAGGATTTCAACTTCTGAAAGAAATGAGAATGACAAACCAGTCAATTGCAAAAAACTTTTCATCAGATTAAGAAGACCAACAGAATCTATTGAAGAAGGTGAATCCTCAAACAACAGAGAAATTCATAACAAAGACAACGATTTTGAGCAATCTAATGAGACTAGCAGCGTTTCAAATAAGCTCATTTTAAGATTGCCCAGACATGTTACGGAAACTAGCAGCATTTCAAATAAGCTCATTATTAGATTGCCCAGACAAGTTAAGGAAACTAGCAGCATTTCAAATAAGCTCATTATTAGATTGCCCAGAGTTCCTTTGAGAGCCGAAGCCGAGATCAATACAAAACTTGGTGAATCTTCAAAGATTAGTGAAGACATTGTGCCTGCGTCTGCTGAACATACAAGTACCTCAAACAATCTTACCATAAGATTACCCAGAGATGTTTTTGAAGTGATTGCCGAGATCAATAGAAAAAGGCCACGTCCTAGAATGAATGATCTCGAATCGTCTGAAGATGAACAACCAACCGAGAATAGTAATGAAGGTATGGGAAGGTTTAGACTGGACACCGAGGAATCTCCGAGAAGACGAGAAAGCCAGCATACAAACAGTGAAACAATTAGACCAGAAAATGATCGTCCCGAAACACGACGTGAGTATCAGCGCAACTATCAACGACAAAGGCGTCAAGCACCTATTGTAAGCAGAAATGAAACACAATCAATACTGGATACTGCATTTAACTCTGAAGCAATTATTTAATAGGTTTCATCATGGGAGGATACTAGACGAAAGTATGAAAAAAGCATAAAGGAGGGACCAACTTTAGTTTGCGTATGTTGCGGAGGATTGTTTTTTCTCAAAAATGTATCCCTGGTTGATAAGGAGACAATGCTATCGAAATGGAAATGCGAAAGTGACGTTGTAGAGGTAGCATTTTGGGCCGTTGATAATCATAAATTCGAGGATTTAAACAACGTTACGATTATGAAAGATGGCAACCCAGAGAAGAATTATTTCTGTTCAACCTGTAAAGCTTCTATCAAAAAAAGCAGAGTACCAACAATCGCTTTAAAAAATGGTTTTCATTTTCCGGATAAAGTAGCATGTATCGATTCGTTAACAAGACTTGAAGAGCGTTTGGTATCCCCTCGACATGTATTTCAGTCAATTTGGTCACATAAAGGGCTTTTGGGACAATACAAAACCAAGGGAGGCATTGTTAACGTTCCTGTTAATGTTGATACCACTGTGAGCTGTTTGCCTCGTAATTACGATTCTACTGGCATAATACATATCAGTTTAGCAAGAAAATTAATATTCACGAAAGATTACATAAAGGGTAATGTCAGTCCTGTCAAAATATGGGATGCTGCCCTATACTTGCAATCCACACCTATATATGTCGAATATGATATTCAAATTGCAAATCAAAATGAATGGAATGAAAACAACATAAATACAAATGTACCTGTTCAGACAAATGAGGACGATGATGACACTGTTGATGAACAAGGGATTGAACTTGAAAGCAATGAAACCAACCCTGCGGAAGATGAACCATTAAATGCAGGTACAACGGAATCGATTCTTACCAGTGATAATGATTTCACAATTCGACTTGCTCCTGGGGAAGGAATGACACCTATATCAGTTTTGACTGACAAAGATAGTGATTTCTTATCTTTCCCAAAGGTTTATTACGGTCATAAGCTGGAAGGGTCAGGGTCAGTTTCTTACGGCAATTTGGCAAAATCCGTTGTACGAAGGTTTGATAGAAGAGCTGCAATGCGTCCTGATCTACTTTTGTATATGGATCGCAAATGCTTGTTAACTAAGATGAGTTCGAATATCAGCACTATTTTAAGAAAAAGAAGCAGCAATGGAGCTGATGGCATTCCTTTTACAGCAAAAGACGTGTCAAATGAAGATTATGTCTCCAATCTTTTAAACAAGGATCAAGCTTTTAAAACATTTTCAGGTATCCGTTCATCATCAGAATATTGGAAGAACCAAAAGAAAAATTCTATGGCCATGATCAGACAATTGGGGGTTCCGACTTTGTTTGTAACTGTTTCTGCTGCTGAGACCAAATGGAACGAACTTTTATGCATATTAAAGAAAGTTATAGATGACGATGTTATGACAGAAGATGAAGCTGAAGAGTTATCATACGATGAAAAAGCCAGATTGTTACAAGCTGATCCCATCACCACAGCCAGATATTTTGATCACAGATTCCGAGAACTGAAAAAGACTTGGCTTGACAAAGAAGGGCCTTTTGCTGGATTTAGCATCAACGAGTACTTCTTCAGAGTTGAATTTCAACACAGAGGTAAATTTGGAATTATAATAGATTTTTTGCTGCGTAATTAAAATGTAATCAAATACAGGATCTCCTCACGTGCATATGCTTATTTGGTTGAAGGATGCACCCAAATTCGAAGATAAACAATGTGCAACTCGAGACGAAGCCGACAGTATGAAGAGCGCAATTTGTGAATTCGTTGACAAAGTAATTACTTGCAGCAAAATTTGGGATGGTACCCCTCATCATGATGTGGAGTCTAAAAGCACAGAAACTACCTGGAATAACCTCATCAAAACCAGACAAACGCATAAACATACCAGTACATGTAGAAGAAAAAGAGGGGGTAACGAAATCAAATGCAGATTTAATATTCCATTTCCTCCAATGGAACAGACCGAAATCATGGAACCATTGAACCCAGAAGAACATTCAGCAGATGAAATTAAGCAATTACGCGGCATAAATGCCCGTATCATGGATTACATCAACAATAATTATAAGACTTTGGCAGAATCTGAGATGTCGTTTGAACAATTTTTGGATGTAGTTGAGATATCATCATATCAAACATATGTTCTTGCGTTACGATCCACCTTGAAACTCAACAAAATTTATATCAAAAGAGCACCCAATGCTATTATGATTAATAACTACAACAGAAAAATTATCAGTCTCTTCAGATCAAACATGGACATACAGTTTATTATCGATCCTTACGCCTGTTGTGCCTATGTTTTAGATTATATAAATAAGACTGACCGTGGATTAAGTAAAACCATGGAAGATATATATGTCAAAGAGAAGGAAAATCCCAATTCAACCTCGTTTAATATGTTAAGGTCTTTGGCATCGACATACTATAATTCCAGTGAGGTGTCCGCTCAAGAAGCTGCATATAATCTTCTGGCCATCAGAATGGTTGAAGCAAGCACAGTAACAGTATTCATTCCTACTTCTAGACCTGAGAAACGGACACATATTTTGAAAGGAAAAGATGAGTTAATCAAGTTACCACCTAATTCAACCGACTGCTTTGTTCCTGGATTGATTGAGCACTATATCAATAGACCAGATACATTGAATTTTCTCAATTTGGCACAATTTTGTGCTTACTTTGAAATCAGTAGGAAAGAACCTGGTAAGAAATCAAGAACTGACGAAATTAACGAAGTTGATGAAACCAATGGCACTGGTGATGAAAATGACGAAAATTTGGGTTTAGAAGAAGAAAACGAATTGTCAGGGTATATCCTGCCTGCTGGTCCCGTTGGTAAAGTTTTCCAATTGAAAAACGACTCTGGGTTTCTTCGTCGTCGTGCAAAATCGAAGGTTATTAGATATTTCAAATTCAATATTGATAATGATCGTTCTGAGTATTTTCGAACTTTGTTAATGCTCTACCGTCCTTGGAAAAATGAAGAAGAGGATTTACTGAACGTTGACTGTGAGGACCTGTTCAATAGTAATATTGAAGAGGTCTTGGAAAATAAACAGGAATTTTGTGCGATTGAAGATTCAACCCTCGACTCTTATATGGATCAACTTCACGAAGAGCATTCAAATGAAAGTGAAGAAAATGAAAATGGTGAAAACGAAAATGACGAGGGTCAGTCTACTGGTGGTTCGACTCAGTACTATGATCAAAAAAATGATTTTGGAAGGTATACAGTTGATATTGATGATTCAAGTGAGGGAGACTACCATCGTAGTAACGACCTCTCGGATGATTTGCGTGAAGGGACAGCTAGAAACAACGATGGTCAAAAGACGTATCTTGAAAAGCTTTCTAGACCTGATAGACTCACCAAGTCCAATTTCTATGAACTAGTATCAAAGTTGAACCAAAAACAACGTGAGTATCTCATGCATTCTGTGAACCACATTAGGTATAATCGTGACAGAACTACTGTGCGCATGTTTAGTAGTAGCAATGAATCCGTTAAAACATTTGCCCCATTTTATCATTTTGTAACTGGCGGTGCAGGTGTCGGCAAAAGTATGTTGATAAAAGCATTGTATGAAGCAATAAGCATTGAATTTGATGATGACCGAGATCTTGAAACCAACACCCCATCAGTGCTACTCACAGCTCCTACCGGAAAAGCTGCTTTTAACATTCGCGGTCAAACCCTCCATGGTGCTTTTCAATTGCCAATAAGCCAGTATGGAAAGGGCGAGGTGAATAGACTATCAGCCGATGTAAGCCATTCTATGTGCATTGCATTGAAGGATTTAAAAGTTCTTATTATCGATGAAATAAGCATGGTTGGAGATGTTATTTTTTCTTGGATCGACAAAAGACTACGAGATATTTTCGATTCTTTGCTGCCTTTTGGAGGTATATCAGTTATAGTCCTTGGTGATTTTTACCAGCTATCCCCAGTAGCTTCATCACCTTTGTACTCTACCAAACCTCCGTCAGACCCTTATCTTGCAACATTTGGTACACGATTGTGGAAGGAGTTTGCAGTTCATAGGCTGGTACAGATCATGAGACAAAGAGATGACTTTCATTTTGCTGTTGCACTCAACAACATGGCTGTTGGAGAAATGACTCAAAATGATGTCGCATTGTTTCAAAGCAGGGTTTTACGGCTCACTGAAGAAGAATTAAATGGATTAAAAAATGATGAGGCCGTGTTTCCTCATTCAGGAAACATTGCTCTCTCTAATTCTGAAGAAAGGCCTATTCGATTATTCCACACCAACAATATGGTTCGTAATATGAATAGCGCTATCCTTGCGAACATGGCAACTGAAGGTGCCGTATCTGTCGGTTTTGACAGGGTTCTCGGAGATTGTACGAATGATACTGCTGTCAAGCACATACTTGCTTCTGTGGCTACTGATTCAGTTCACACTGTCAAAAATCTGGGATTGATGAAGCACCTTAGATTACAAATTGAAGCAAGGTATATGATCACTTCAAACTTGGATACATCGGACGGGCTTGTAAATGGCACCACCGGTTATTTACAGCAGATTGACTATGGCACGCTTAAAGGATCATCTGGTGGCGAAAAGAAGCCATTAAGAATATGGATCAAGTTTGACGATGAGACAAGCGGGGCTATTTTGAGAAAAAAACAAACAGCTTTAAGATCAAGAACTCGTTCGGTCTTGGACAACTGGACTATGATTGAGCCGGTTTCATTGCAAATAACCAGTAACCGCAAAACAAATTTGAGGGTTAACAGAAAACAGTTTCCAATTGTTCCCGCAGAAGCCTTAACAATCCACAAATCTCAAGGCGGTACTTACGAAAATGTTGTTGTGTATGATGTAGGAAAGCATAAAATGCAAAGATCTTTAATTTACGTTGCTTGTTCCAGAGCCACAACTGCTAATGGCTTGACCCTTGTGTGCAAAAACAACACTTTTGTTCCGCCAAAACCCTTATCATCTGAAAAAAGCAGTGATTTATACTTAGAAATGCAACGTCAACCAACAATCATGCTTAACCCCACTTTCTTAAAGTTGACGAAAAAAGAGCACTTTCAAATTATCTCGCACAACGTCCAGAGTCTCCAGGCTCATTTAAATCAAATTACAAATGATCCAGTATATCTTTCATCAGATATCATTCTTCTTAACGAAACTTGGACATTACCGACCGATAACTTCGTCATACCAGGATTTAAGTTGGTGTCGTCCTTAGATTGTACAAGCTCTACACGTAAACCTGTAGGATGTTGCTGTTACGTCTCTGATAATGTAACTTGTGAGAGTATGACTTCTTCCTCCGAAATTTTTCGTAGCAATGTCAACTCGTCGTCGGTAAGCGTGTCCACAGTAACAATTGATTCCACAATATATTGTAGCGTTTATGCTTCACCTAGTCCAACACAAAACACTGATCTTTTGCTCGAAGCTTTGGAATTTATAATTAGACACCCATATATTAACATCGTAATTGCTGGTGACTTCAACATCGACTTCAATCAAGATTCCACAGAAAGAACGGCAATAGTTTCTTTCCTGGGCCAACATGGTATCCAAAGCTCGCTTCCTGATTTCGTAAAATCAACTACAAAGTTAAAAACTTTCATCGACAACATTTTCACTAATCAAGACGTAATTTCTTCTGGACGATACATCTCATTCACAAGTTACCATGAACCTCTGTGGATGTTGACTTAAAAGCAAAAATAAATAAACAAATATGAATATTTCAATAATTATAAAATCAACTTTGGGTTTGCTGATGGGTCCTCCGGGAACCGCGTATTTTTACCGGAGCGAAGCGCAGGTCAAAAAATATGTGGTCGGAGGACTGGCCTAATACGCCTTTTAAAAAATGGGATCAGCGACCCGAAGGGGAGCCCCATTTTTTTTTTTTTTTCTGCTCTTGTTGCTTTCACTTTTCAATGTGGCACCCAAACGAACAGTTACTTCTTCGAGCTGCAGTTCGATTTAAGAAGCACGATGGAACACTATTTGTTACACCTCGACGAGTGGCATGGCAGCAATTAGGATCTTCTCAATTAACACCTTCTATTTACTACAATGATATTCTTGGTAAAGAAAAGAATGCTCAACCTTTGCCCTATTTTTTTTTTTAGTTTAACCAGTTTTAGATTAGCTTTGGCACAAACACCGGATGGATCAGCCAAAGTATTACTAAAGATATCAGCCAAACCACCCATTTCAAAAGACTATACGTTCCAGTTCACGTCTGTGAAAAATGTGCAAGAAAGAGAAGCGATTAAAGCACAAATTGCAGAATTATTAGCTCGTGCTCGTGGACTGAGTTCTGCATCCGCCATCGGAACTCCTGTTCCCATGACCCCATCAGCCATAGCCTCTCCTTCACCTTCTACACCTCAATCCGTCAATAACACGGCCTCACCTATATCCTTACAACAACAAGCTGCCACCAACAGTTCTCAACAAAAAGCGATCGGCTCCCCTTCACCCGGTCCTGGTGGTCCTGGTGCTGGTGGAGCTGGCGGTCCCAAATCGTCTCGACAAGAAGAATTCAACGATCGAAGACAATTACTGACTTCCAGCAGAGAATTACAAACACTGCATAAAGAATTAGTAGTGGTGGGAAGAAGTGTGGATGAAGAGGAGTTTTGGTCAAGTCCGTATGTTAAGCGTATTCGACAAAAACTTAAAAAGGATGCTGTATCAAGAGAAGGCAAACAAAAAGGTAAATCGTCTCGTATGGTCGAATTAAAGCCTGGACAACAAGAAGGATCAGATATCAAGTATACGTTGACCAGTCAAATCATTCATAATATCTTTACCGAGTTCCCATCAGGTTTGGTTATTCTATATAAAAATGACAAAATGATTACGGGGACTGATAGATATTTTGATAGTGAAAAGGGCCTATGATACAAATGTTCCTGATAGAGTAAAGCAATAGTAGACATAAGAAGAGGAAAATGGATATATTAAAATGATTATTTTATTAGATGACAGAACAAGCATTCTGGAAGCGATTCTTGGCCTCTGAATTCTTTCATCGATCACGTACTGGCGGAAGATCTCAACTCACACCTTACGATGATATTTTTGATCGATGTTTACAAGAGGAAGACGATGGTATAACATGAGAGGGGGATAAAATTTGCTTTTAGCTAACACGACTTGCAGAAAATTCAAAACCTCCACCCATGTCTCGTATGGATAAGATGCGATTTGATATTGATTTATCCACTACTGCTGAAGATCATTTGGAGAGTGGCAACGCACCGGATTTTACTATGCGACCGGGTAGAGAAGTCTTGTCCTTACCGCTAATTCGTAGATTCAACAAACATTCTTCTCGTGTACTCGAGACTCCCCCATCGTAAGTTTTTATGTATGTGACAATGTCAGTTTTTTTTTAAAAAAACAATGCTCCATGTAGAAGAAAAAAACGGGATGTGACCACCTTTGAACAGGACGTGGAAAAAGATATCATTATTAGAGAGTTATTAGACGAAGCACCTTCTGAAAAAATTATTTTGGATATTCAAGATACCAGACGTTATTTCGAGAGTCAAACAGGAGGACAGGACGAAGTGAAGATTAGTGAACAAGTAATGAATTCAAAGGGGGGGGGGTTGCCTAGAGAGAGAGAGAGAGAGAGAAAAGTACTAACACTCTTTTGTGCTAAAACAAAAGGATACCGTGAATTTATTATCTGGATATAAAAGGAAATTTGAGGGATGGCAGCCTGAAATGGCTAAACAAGTGATGGAAGCTAGATTAGCAGATAAAGTTTGTTTAGAATTAACAGCGACAATTAAACGAAAAATTAGACACGATGATAAATCAATTAGTGGTATTTTGGCTTATACAAGTTGATTATTTTTTTAATATCCAGCTATACTGACACCTTTTTCTTTTCTTTCTGTATGGATACAGAGGTGAGATTACCGCCCCAGGTTCAACAAAAGATTCAAGGCTATCATTCTGCCACGAATGAGATCCTCCGTCATTTCTGGTCCTCTTTTGAACCTTATAAACCCGAAAAGAATATCCGCATGATTGAAGCATTAAAGAAACAACAAGAGAAATTAAAGGATATTTTAGGCGCTGTGGCAGGCTCTGATGGCGATGCTGAGAGATGTAAACAGGTAAAAAAATCACAGTTATGTGGAGAATATCGATTAGCAAATTAACCTCTTTTTTTAGACCTTGATGCCTGTATTACAAGCGGTGGATAGAGCTTTAGAAGCATCAAAGAAGCGTGGAAAAAAGAAGCGTGTATGATAAGCAAAAATCAAAATAAATGTAAATATAACATCACTTATAAAAAGACCCTTATTATTCTTTACGTGAAAAAACATTAAAAGGCATGTGCATAAATCATTGAGGAGGTTTATTGTCGACAGTCAATGTTTCACAAACTTGTTTTGAGAGGCTCGAAATGATAATTAGACAATTGTACACTTATAAAAAAATGCTTGTATCTCATGGGTGAAATAGAGAAACATTACCAGTATGTTTCTAAAATAAACATATGAAACCGCAAAAAAAAAAAAAAAAAAAAAAAAAAAAAATGGCAAAAAAAACCTCCAGTTTGTTTATTTATTAATTGTTTATTCTCTTTTTCCTTATTCAAATAAAACATGTCTGGCATTGATTCATTACATATTACCAGTCCAGACTTAGATAACAATGCCCCTTATACTTCATATGGACATAAGCGGAACAGTATATCATCAGGCGGATCAACACTATCACCGCTTGAAACACCCATTGATTTTCTATCGCCCAATGAAGACCAAGTGGAACGTAAAACACCCAAGAAGGGAGTCAGCTCTTTTATCAGTAAACTTCACACGTAGCTTTCTTACTAATACAAAAAGAGTACAACCGATAAACTAATTAAAGAAATGTGTGTATCGAATTAGGATGGTAGAAGATGGACGTCATCAAAACTTAATCTCTTGGAATCCAACTGGTACATCATTTTTCGTATATAACGCACCACAATTTGCACAAGAAGTTTTACCCGAGTATTTCAAGCATAGTAACTTTTCTAGCTTTGTTCGTCTATTAAACATGTAAGCAGAAAACAAATCAAATGTCAAACAGGTTGAACTAACAAGTAAACAAGGTATGGATTTCACAAGATTAATAAATCTCCTCGAGGACAAAGAGGCCATAACGAGAATGAAATATGGGAGTTCTCTCACCCAAAATTTCAACACGGTCGAGCTGACCTTTTAAAAAGTATCAAGCGAAAAGCCATGGATTCCGAACTGCTGAGACGAGAAACAGGAGATATACAAGCTTCATTTGCATCACTTCAAATGTCACAGGCAGACTTGTTGCGGCAGTTCAATACACTGCAGGAAAGTTTCACCAATATTCTGCAAAGTTTTGAAGAAACCAAAAAAGTTCAGCAGCAGCAAGATATAATGATACGCCAACTTGCAGAAAGACAAGGTTTATCCCCTGATGAATTGATCAAAGGTAATTATATACTCTTGTCGAATGATATACATACTAAAAGATGAATAATAAAAAGAAGCCGCGTCGGCAGAGTTACAGTCAAATGCTACGCCCAAGGACCCTATAGCGGTGGTGGTGACACCAGACCAAGAGACGTATAATCCAATGCAGTTCTTGAATGACCCATCTGCTTGGGACGGACATACTGCACCTGATTTAAGTATGCCGATATATGATTCAGGGCCTTCGCCATTATCCCCCTTGTTATTTGATACAGCAGTGAACACACCTTTACCTCCTAGTCCAAACCCTCTGAAGGGATCACCTATGCTTGGATCACCTATGCTTGGATCACCTATGCCGCCAAATCAAGATGCACCGCTTCAATTCGATGATGCAAATACCCTCGGCTTGGGATTCAGTTAGTTAATTACATAGAAGAAAAAAAAAAAAAGTCCACGATTAAGGTTTTATTAATTGACATATTTTTCATTGTCACACACAAAAAAAGTTTATTTTTTTTTAATGCAAAAGAAGCATAATCGATTGTTGCTAATTAATAATAAATACTGCCTTCGATTTTTAAATGGTCATCATTTTCGCCTTCTTCTTCACGGATATAAGCAAATATTCTGTCGCACATGTCGAAATATTTGAATTGAGATTTTAATTGCTGATCTAAACAAATAAAAGTGAGTATTTTAGGAAAAGAAGGAGAAAAAGGGAGTGAGATTTTCCGTAGAATAAAATAATTGGATAAACATGTACCTTTATTGTCAGCCATCAACGAAAGAAGTTGTTTTTCCTGTTCTGTTGTGTTCCACCAAGACTTACCTGTAGCTCGACTGATGGCTTCCCATGTAGACCACAGCCAAAGTATCTTGTCATAAATCTGTTCAGGGGACTTTGTGTGCTCAAATGGAATAGCCTGTGATAAAAATAGACAATACACGTCGTTCATCTTCATATAAAAATCGGTTGGTGCCTTCACCTACTTCAATTTCTAATTCTTGTAGCAATAACTCAATATCCTCGTCACTCCATTGTCCTTGACCGTCTAATGCTAATTTAGTGGCCAATGCCCGCCTTTTCTTGTCATCGAGCTTGATTACAAATGTGTCGAAATCGTCATCCGAACTATTCTCACATTCTTCTGAAGAATTTTTAGTTGACATTTTTAGTAAGGAAAAAGATGTGTAAAAGAAGAAAAAAGAAGAACCGTTTGAGGGTTTAGGACCGCACTGTTTTTTTATAATTTAACCTTTTTATTTTTTTTCCCCCTAAAACCAAAACAGGAGTGCCTTAAGGGGGCGGGGTTAAGTGCATAGAAAACCTTGTTAGTATTCAAAACATCATTTTTAATCATTCGTCTTTTATAGAACAAACAGTGCGGCTGGCGTATTTTTCTTTTAATGACGCTAATCGGAATACAATTTGTCGGTTTTATTTGAAAAATGTCACACATGAATCATTCGTCGTGCATAATCTGATAAATGCTCTCAGAGATAGACGCTTCATTTTCCCTTTTTTAATTATTATAATACGCAATTCTCTCTTTTCTTCCCTACACCATTACTAGTGTTGCGCATCGGCGAATATACCACATCTACTGATCGATGAACATCCATTTAGCATTTTGCCCGTCGTGAACATCATCCGAGAGTCCTATTAGAGAGAGATATAACGGACCGATATCCCCAGAGAAAAACTAAACCCGTATCAACTCATCAATACCCTTTTGTAAGATTACAAAAGCAGCAAGAATACATGAAAATTTACGAATAATTACAATAGTGCAATGACAGCAATGATCCCACATTGAAAACCAACACTCACAAGGTCATTTATGATTTAATACTTTTCAACAGGGCAAAGGATTAAAAACAAAAAAGTTGGCTAGGTGGCACTCAAGGCCCTTAGATTTACCCGCTAGCATTAAACAACTGGAGTCAGCAAAGGCGAATGAAGGAAGAGCATCTCTAATTAGTCAAGAAGGTTCCTAAACAGTTAATCAAGGACATCATTTAACAAGGAATATCAAGAAAATATCTGTAAAACTTGGAGTATTCTATGGGAACCAGCGACCATACGAGTCACCCCCCCCCCTTCTCCTCAAACAGCATAATCCCTCATCTATCATTTAGAATTTTAACAACTCAACTCAACAGTTACACCACATTGATTTTTCAACAGCAACGCCAACAACAAACAAATCAGCAACAGCCGATTCAGCAACAAACCATCAACAATCAACAACATTCCCGTGGTATGGTATCCTGCCTGGTGACACACTTAGATACAATTATTTTTAAAAAAAGAAACCAGGTACCCATGGTTACTGTCAATAGTGAGAGACAATTACACAGTTCCGTTGGTAATAAACCAACAAAGAGTAAAGGGTATTAACGTTCAACAAAGCAAAACTGACTAGTCATGAAGACGCAAATGTTAAAAGCAGGAAACAGTTAAAATGCAGTCCTATTTACATTCACATTGAGGTTCAAGCTACATAATGCTTGATTTAATTGTATAAACTGGTCCTTTCATAATTATTATACTATGCTAACTTACATAATAAACAGTTGAAAAGTGTAGCCTCACACACAGGTACATATTCCAAGAGAAAAAAAAATATCATATCGATCAATATATTTGTAAAAGATGTATGTATTATTTTTATAATTAATAAAGTACGTATCCCGATGTAATACTCGAGCCCTTGTTTATCATCATTCTTACAAATAAAACACTCTCTCTCTCTTTCTCTCTCTCTTTGACTCTCCTTTTTATCTAAACAATTTATCTCGTCATAAAAAGCATTAATTGTTGGTGTCTTTAGCTCAAATGGGTTCATGGCAAATATGATTTTTATTTATAGATAACCCAAGCGTAGAGAAATGAAGAAAGTAAAATAACGCCGAAAGCAATTACACAATTAGATGGAATTAGATCTATAAAAGGCATTGGCATTTTTCCATGCATCTCACTCTTAAATAGAATAATAGTTTAGTGGTATATGTGGGAAAACCAAAAGTGGGTTTTAAGAAAAAAAGTCCAAATAATCCTTATTTCGAATACTCTTAAATCGAGAAACTGTGATGCTCTATTATATTTGATAAACTTGCGCAACAATTAAAAATTCAAGTTCAATTAATTACTCATCTACCATTGCCTATAATCTTTGTCCAAATTTCACTCTTCTTGTTCGATTAGGACAACAGAAATGACAGACCTGCAAAAAAAGAATGTTTGAGGAACAAATGACAAAAAAAAAAAAAAAAAAAACTCTGCTTTAGTGAGCTTCCGTCCCTCTGTATAGTGCCGATATACAGGAATGTAATCATCATCAAACAGAAGGGGATTAGCGCCACACTTTAACCATAATTGCCTCATATTAAACGTATACCCACTCCCCTTAAAATTTAAATCTGGATTACGCCCAAAGTTTTATTAATTTTTTTTTTTATTACGCATTATTTATATTATTTTGTTATGATGTCTATAATTTGCTATCACCACTAGTTGAAGACTTGTTAAGCATAAAGTTCCAGAAGGCACCACATACACTTCCCACGGTAGAGATCTTGGCTCCCACACCAGTAGGTAAACCATACACCAAGACACCGAGAATTTTTCCTTTGTCTTCATTGTAAGGAGGATATCTGCAAGAAGCAACAGGCTCTGACATTAAATCCTTCACCATGGTCGATCTTAAATGGGTGAAAGTCTCGAATGATTTCTCTCCGTGATAAGCTCCCATACCGGAAGGTCCGACACCGCCAAAGGGCAAAGAGAGTTCTTGAAGATGCATCAAGATGTCATTCACAAGCACGCCACCCGATGACGTATTGTCCAGAATCTTGTTGTAGTTATATTTGGCACTGGCAAAGATATAGAGCGCTAAAGGTTGATCTCTGCCATTCACAAAGGCAATGGCTTCGTCCATGTCTTCTACAGGAATCACAGGAAGAATGGGGCCAAAGATTTCTTGTTGCATCAAAGCGTTATCAGGAGTCACGGGGCTAACAATAGTAGGGGCAATGTAGAGATCTTCACGATCTGTCTCTCCGCCAATCACAATGGTAGAGGGATCACAACTGTCGAGCAACCCCTTTAATCGGTCAAATTGACGCGTACTAACAATACGACCGTAAGACCCGGATTTTTGGGCATCTTGACCGTAGTATTCTACAATGGTTTTACGGAAGGCTTCTAATAAGGGCTCGAGCTTGCTTTTAGCAACCAAGACATAATCTGGTGCAACACAAGTCTATCAAAAAAAAAAGGGATGATTAGTAATTGTTCTCTGACTGTGATTTTTATAAATCGCCAACACTTTACTTGTCCGTTATTGAAGAACTTGCCCCATAAGAGTCTATGCGCCGTGATATTTACATCTGCATCTTCAGTGACAATGGCAGGTCTAGAAGTAGATAAATAAATAAAAGATAAGGGTCGTACATCATTAGTCACATCATATGCAAATCGAAATTAAAAATTCGACTTACGATTTACCACCCAATTCAAGTGTGACAGGAGTTAAGTGTTTGGCGGCTGCCGTCATAACAATCTTACCCACAAGACCATTACCGGTATAGAAAATGTGATCGAATCGGTTTTCTATAAGCTGGGTTAGTGATCTAACGACAAAAAAAAAAAAAAAAAAAAAAAAAAAAAAATGAGACTAACCTAAAACAGCTGTGGTTTCTGGAATCGCACCCGTAATCACAGTGTAGGCACGAGGATCAAGATACTTTGGTAAGATAGTTGCCATCAATTCAGCAGTATGTTGAGAAACTTCGGAAGGCTATATTTACGGAGAATGAACCATGTTAATACAAAAAAAGAAAAAGAAAAAAGAACGTGAATTTCATTTTAGAAAGACTGTATTACCTTAATAGCAATGCAATTACCAGCTGCAATGGCACCGACAACAGGCATCAAGAGCAAATTAACCTACATATAAATAGAAATTCTATGTATTGAGTTGCATGTTCACTTTTCTAAAAAAGAAAAAAAAGGGAGTTCTAAGAACGGCTTCAACTTACGGGATAGTTCCAAGCACCCATGACAAGGACAACACCTTTAGCCTCCTTTCGAATAAAGGTCTTATCGGTAGCATTCATAATGAATCGCTTGGTGGTATAAGTAGGCTTGGTGAATTTATCCAAGTTCTTGATCATAAATTCACATTCATCCACAATGGGAGAGATCTCGCCCACATCGCACTCCATAGGATGCTTACGTAAATCTTTCCAAAGTGCATCACATAAGAGTTCATTGTTTTCGTTACAGAAACGAATCATATTCGCCAACTGTTGCTTACGGAATGCAACATCCTTTGTCAGGCCTACACACATAAAATTTAAGTTACTATTTGATCTGTCACTGCTAAATTCTTCTAATTTTTTTTTTTTTTTTTTTTTTTTTTTTACCAGTGTTAAATTGGGTGCGAAGGGATTGAATAATAGAAGGAACGGCTTCAATCGAGGTATAATTAGTACCAGTCATTATTTATTATATTATTAAAAAAGAAAGTAAAAAGAAAGTATGTGTATAAAGTAGAACAATTAAAAAAAAAACAGATTTTTAATTTTATTTTATTTTTTCGATTATTTCAGGCGGAGCATTATCAAATCACAGAAATATTAGGTATGACATGTTGTAACCAGGTATAGGCTTTAGCATATGAACTTGTGTTTCTGGCTATATCGAGATGCAAATACTGTCATTGCAATACAAGACAGAATGTAGCCACTAAACTTGAAAAATGCAGAGCGAGAGAACTGTCTTTCTTCTTCGGGTGTACGGAATGAAGAGTAGATCTTCCACAGATTAGGAAGTGCCATGGGGTAGAAATACTCAAAAAATAATTATTTTAGGGTAGAAAAGAAATAAAATAACGGCAACACCAGTTTATAGTGTAAAAAGTCACGCCTTCTCTTTTTTTTTTGGGCCGCTTAAATTATACAGCCGCTTTAAAAAAACTCTAAATCTTTATCACAACAAAATCCGCTTGTGATAAAACGACGGAACGGTATCCAACACGAGATTATATCGAGTAAGAAAATTAAATCGAGAAACATCTGTTTAATTAAAGCCATGGCGTTGTTAAAAAAAAATTAAATTAAAATGATGTGCACGCACACGCCTCTTTAAAAAAAAATTGGGTTAAAAAATCTGGCCGTTGTACAATGGTGGTTTCCCAGGAAACCATAACTGTTTATGTGTATACTGGTTTTCGAAACATGGGCGCTTTTTTTTTTTCTCGTAAACATTAAAAGTCGAATCAGGTTGCTCCAATCTCTGGTTTCCCCGGGTTTTGTACAAGTTGTGTGATGTTTCCTGTTTGCGATAGCTCACAAAAAAAAACAAATAGCGGTGACTGACTTTTGGACGGAAACCCAAATATATAATTGTTATTCCACAAGAAAGAAAGAAAAAAAAAACTCTTTCGACATCTTGACTAAAAACCAAAAAAAAAAAAAAGCAAGATGTCTGTCTCATTAAGTCTTGTATTCAACTCTATTGGACTTGCTTCCAATACATATGCTCTGCGTTTAATTAATTCCCCAGAATTTGCCAACCCGCAATTTCTTGGTTTTGGTGGACAATATCAGGTACGACAATCAAGAGTGAAAATAAAAAAAAAAAAACGTGTTTCTCACACTTATCTAGTATTTGACTATCCTTGGTTTGGTTACTGCTACAATTGCCTTTTCATTGAAAACGATTCGCCACTTTATTCCCAACTTTTCTCCAGGTAATAGAGAGCATATGTTACAAGACGAGTATTTTCTTTTTTTTTGACATGTTTCTAAATATAGCACTGTATGAGGTTGTCACGAATATTGCCACACCCGTAAGTAGTTAGTTGGATAAACAGACATGATCCATGTTCTCATTATACAAAAATTGTTAGTTGGAAGGCCTTATTAGTGTCTTATACTGGACAATGATGCTGCTGGATCCTCATTTGTTAATCCCCAAAGATTATCCCGGAATTCCTATTATGATGGATTTAACACTCCACTTATTCCCTGCTGTTTTTTTGTGGATTGATTTCTTAGCGTTTGATACGCAATTCAAGCGATCCGACAGACATGTTAAGGTAATTGGTGCCTTTGCTGTCTTTTACTTTATTTGGTCGTGGTACTGTCAATCGGTTAATGGGTTCTGGGCCTATCCTTTCTTGGCTGATTTCAATCTGCTTATGCGTACTGCCTTCTTTGCAGGCTCAGGGCTTTTGTGTTGGGGAATGTATGAAGTAGGAGCCAAAATCCATCTTAAAATCCATGGCAGACGTCTCCCCATTCTTCAAGCCAAAGAGACCTATCTCATGCAATAAAATATGACAAAAAAAAAATTGTGTTGTTGATTGACGTCACGAAAAAAAAAATTCAAAAAAGCTGTGTGTGTGTGTGGCGGTGTTTAGAGTCGGTGGGGGGTGGTTGGTGGGGAGGGGTAAACTAGGGCTTTATTGTTTATTCCCTCTCTAAATTTTTTTTTTTTTTTTTTTTGGCCTTTCCTTGTTATACATTAATAAATCAACCCCCTTCTCTATAATTATATAAAAAAAAAAAATGAATTCCATGCGTACCCTCATTCGTCAGGCTGCTAAGCCCATGGCCACCAATGCCTTTGCTAAGCGTTCCATTTCTTCTTCTCCTGCTTGTCTTTCTGATGCCCTCAGTGTGGTAAGCCTTTCAAAGTGCTAATTGATTCATGCTATTTTTTTTTATTAATCATTTCTTTAATTTAATCACCTCATTACCTCATCACCTCACCACCTCACTTTACACACTTTTATCTTCTTACAAATAACCAGCATCGTGACACAGCTGAGAACAATGCCAGCATTCCCTTTGAATTCGACGGTGAAAACAAACAACGTGTTGTAGAGATTTTAAAGAAATATCCTGTTCAATACAAGAAGGGTGCCATCATGCCTCTTTTAGATTTAGGTCAAAGACAAGTTGGCTTCACCTCCATTTCCGTCATGAATGAGGTTGCCCGTTTATTGGAAGTTCCTCCTATGCGTGTGTATGAGGTTGCCACTTTCTACACCATGTATAACCGTACACCTGTTGGCAAATACTTTTTGCAAGTCTGTACCACAACTCCTTGTCAATTGGGTGGATGTGGTTCTACAAAGATCTTGAACGCCGTCAAGGAAAACCTTGGTATCAAGGTGGGTGAGACTACCAAGGATGGTAAGTTTACTTTAGTCGAGGTCGAGTGTGCTGGTGCCTGTGTTAACGCCCCCGTCATGGCCATCAATGACGACTACTATGTAAGTTGTGTTTGATCAGTTTTTTTGTTTGTACACAAAATTTAAACAACATATAAAAATTATAGGAGGATTTGACACCAGAGACTACCGAAAAGCTTTTGGAAAACTTGAAGGCTGATAAGCCAATCACACCCGGTCCTCAATCTGGACGTCATACTTGTGAGTATGCTCCTGGTGTCTACACCACCTTGAACGAAGAACCTTATGGTCCTGGTTTCGCTGTCCGTGCTGATTTGTAAAGATTAAAAAAAAATATAATATAAAATCATGGTGTGTGTGGGAAGAGGGATAAACATTTACATATATAGAAAAATAAAAAAATTCGCAAAAAACACATTTTTTTTTTTTATTAATGATGGTAAATGGTATAACTGGGGATGCCATAGACAGAAAAACCCATGGATTTTACAATTTTGGCAAACCCTTCAGTGTCTAGTTCGTGCTGATAAACAAATGGTGGGAACACAGCACCCTCTCTGTGTACAGTGGCTTTAACCATAGTAAAGGTAGTACCAACACCGTCTAAAGGCACTTTATAGTCTTTACCGGTATTTGTAGGCATATCCACCAGCTAATAACCAAAAAAGAAAGGCAGGTGTTAGTCAAAGAAAAAAGAGATGGCAGAGTGAGTCAATAAAACTTACTAAATTACGTCCGACTGAATACTCATTGTAATCTGAAAATAAAAATAACCCAAATTATTGCTTAATAAAACTAACAAAAATTGATCGTGACACACAAAGATTTACTACCTTCCATCAAGACTTGATTCAAGGGTAATTCTTGTTGGTATTTCAAGGATGCATCGGATTCTTGCCAGTTATTTCGGTCGAAACCCCAGAACTCGTCATCATCTCTCTTGAGTAAACAATTGGGCACAACGACATCAGCATCCGCCATCATTAAGTCTTCAAATATAGTCTGAGGATAAGAGTATAATCCAATGTCAACCCAGACAACCCAGCTATGATATTCCTTTAAAGAGATCGACAACAAGAAATTCCTTGCTCTCGCTAATGTAGCTCTCTTTGAATCTAACGAAGTATCATCGGTTTTGGAAGGCACTTTGAAATCCTTTTGGTAGACGTCAATCGTATCAAACGTGTTTCTCCATCGGGTCTGTAATCGGTTCACATGCTGGTAGATCTTTTCAAGGCTGTCGTCTGTGGAGTCTGATACCAGTAAACCAATGGAAATCAGCGAGTTTGGGTAACTGGATTTATCCAGCAAGTCGAAATAGTTATCCAGATAGGCTTCATCATTGCCTACCGTGGTTAAAACTAGCACATGTTCCTGTGATTGTTTGCCTGCCCTGGTGGAATTTAAATCATTCAGGTTCAAATAAGTGTGTTGTCGAATAGGTGCTGTCTCGTTATCTGTTGGTGATCCGATCAAGGACCGTGTGATATGGCAACTGTATTGATACACCGGTTCTGTCTCTCCAACCTGATATTGCGGTAATTGATCAAATCGACCAAAGTAAAATATGCCCGCCATCAATAAAAGTCCAACCACAATAATACGCTGTTTTCCTCTAAATGTAGATAATGATGACACCATACTCTATATATGTGTGTATTTAAATAAGGGAGAGAAAGAGAAAGAGGGAAAAAAAAGATAAATAAAAAAATTTCCCTTTCTTGTTTAAAATAACCCACTTTGTACTGAGATCTAATAAAACTTGGGATTTTTTCTTGTGTATCTGGGCTTATTCTTGCTATTTTAAAAAAAAAATTAAAGGTTCTGTTTCCCTGGTTACCCTTTACTTTTGGGTAGATAACCGTAGCTTTAAATTTGTATCCATGACAACCTTTTCTTTTCTTTAAAAAAAAAAAGCTTAAAAATCATTTGGATCGCCAGTACAAAATAAAAACAACAAAAACAAAAAAATAAAACACAAGATGGAGGAGCTAAAACGATTGGAAGATGGAAAACTCGCAAAAAGAAAACAAAAATAGATTTTCCAAAAAAGTAACAAAATAAAAACGAAAAAAAGTTCCAGGCCTAAAACACACAAAAATGATCGACCAATTGGATGCACAAATTAATGTATTTGGGAGGTATCACGAAGCTTTCTTTTTTTTTATTAAGTCAGTTTTGCTGCTGTTGTGGTTGACACGATATACATGGGTGGTTGTACAGTCATGGGACAATCTTTATGAACCATCAGTAACCTTCGAAGACTCAACACTTCATCTCTCATCACATTGGCTTGCATCTGTAATTGCTCATTATCATTGGTCAAATACTCGACTCGTTCTTGAAGATTTGTCAACCATTGCTTTTTTCTCTGTCTACATTTCAGGGCAGCTATTTCATTTGGTAATAAAAGTGTCACGAAATAAAAAAATATATTGCAATTTAACTTTTTTATTTTTATTTTACCTTGGCGGTTTCTTTCCAGAAAATTTCTGCGTTTTTCGTCGTTATGATCTTGATCGCCCGAATAGGAGGCTTTTCGCTTTGTGCCTTGATGGATGACATCTTCATCGTCCTCTGTGCTACTACTCATTGAGCCTGTTCGCACGCTGTTATTGTAATGCGGGAGATTCATGTAGGTTTGTTTAAATAGACCTTGTTGCTGTTGCTGTTGTTGTTGCTGTTGTTGCGGATAGTTGCTGTCCGTATGATTAAACATGGCATTGTTTGCATACATGCTTTGCTGTTGAAGATCTGGCCAAAGCATTTAAAAAAAGAAGAGAGAGAGAAAAAAAAATAAAGAATTAAAAAAAAAAAAGTGTGCCTCACTCCAAGTATAGGTTATAATTATGTTTGACCACTTTGTGATCGGAATACGGAATCATGGACGGATATGCGATCGGTGCAAATAAAATAACAAAGAGAGCCTTCTGTATAAATCAGAAAACATAGGAGAGAGAGAGAAAAAGGGATCAATATTTCAACATCATGCCACATCCACTGCCGTCTACAAGCTATTTCTTATGATTGAAAACAATTTTTTAAAAAAATAAATTAGCGCACAGACAAAGTTACAATATTTCATTGCTAAATTGTTGGAGTTCAATGGCAGAATATTCATAAAATAAAAAAAACCTCCCAGGGCAAAACCACAAAAAAAAAAAAAAAAAAAAAAAAATGAGTCTAAATAATTGTGTTCATCATGAGAATAAGGGGGGGGGGGTGAGACTAATGCAGATGAAAGAAGAAAATCAAATATTTTTGAGTCTAAGTGTAGACTGGGTATCGGGTTTGATGAAACCCATACCCCTCGCTTTGTATTTGAAATGCAAGCTATAAATACATACAGTGCACTTGCATTACATTTCGGTAAATCGCATAATCTTGATTATTCCCAAAACCTATAAAATATTTCATTGTCCGGGAGCGGGGAGAAGAAGGAGCTCACTCCTTAAACTGGAATAAAAAGTATAAAATTAGGGTGGAATGTTGGGTATTCGGTGACACTGTTGTAATTTCCCTGGGTTAGTTTCTATTCCTGGAAAAAAATTTCTTTGTTTGCCCCCTCTCCCCTCCATAATGGCACACAAAAAAGAAACGAGGGAGCATTGGCTATTAATTAACATGGTTGATTGAAATTGTGTATTTTCATATTATCAATCGTGTTTGTCTTGGCTTCTTCTTTTTAGAGTGACACCACGGATCGGCAGAAGAAGATTTTGAATTTATTGCACGTTTAATTTTCGTGTTACTCTTTAAATCTCACTCCATTATAACCTCTTGGCAAAAAAAAAAAAAAAAAAAAAAAAAATCCCATTTTATGCCATTCCCATATTGGAACAAGACTTAAACGTACTTGACTTTTTTTTTTTTCAATTGTTGCTGTCACTATAATTAGGATATCTATCCATTCAGTAATCGTAATGCTATTAATACTATATTGATTGACGCATTGCCAATTATTGTATGTAGTATTTAGCAAATCAAATCAATGTTACCATGGTTCATACTCGTTGCTGTATGTTGTTTGACCCACGGGAACAATGTGAAATCTGACATTGAATTGTGTTGGTTGTAGTAAACAACTTTAGGGGGGAGCGGGGAGGCCAAAACTCAAGAAGTTGAAGGCATATGCTATTTTTGTATTTAATCAAATAAAACAGAATGATATATGTATCAATTGATACATTAACAATTCAGTTGACTCTGAATTATTAATTACAGTAAGAAAACCGTAATTCCTATATGTCACTCGATTTTTTTTTTTTTTTTTTTTTTTTTTTTGTGTATAAAAAAAAATAGAAAAAAAGGTTACCATACCATCTTTCTTTTCTATCTATCTATTTTTTTTTTTATATATATATATATCTTGGGAAAAAAAAGTATGCCGTTTTCTAAAGTTCATGAAGTCAGTAATAGAATGCAATTCTTATCCCCACCCGTTACTCCAAAGCAGATATTTGAGACTTCATTTCATACAACAGGCAGACAAATTGAAGAGGAGTATTGGGATTCTACATCGACCGAAGCTTCCTCTTCACCTTCTTCCTCCTCTTACTATTTACCTACATTAACTGACCCCAAGGCAAGAACCAAGAACACAGTGATGTTTACATCCATTGTTCTATCTTCCAAAAGAAAGCAGACACCAGTGCGCTCATTGCCTGCCTCGACGGAGGGAACTTTTTTTATGCCTACCTTTATAACCTCGCCTGCGAAAAAGAAGACAAAGAAGCATGTGAACATCAACACGAGTCAACAAAAACCTCCAACACCACCTCTACCATCAAAGGATGGACCGAGCCCGTTACCCACCATCATCAAGTCGGTTGCACCAAATCAGAAAGTGGAGGATAGCGTAATTCTCGCACCAGAAGTATTGAACGACCAACAGAAAGATGAAATATGTATCAATAAAAAGGCCAAAACAAGCGAGGCATACATCTACGATACCTTGAGCGCGGACTGGGATCAAGCAGCCGTATTCCTAAATAATGAGCATTGGATACCTAATGTCGATGTCTTCAATAGAAGGCCAATGGTCCGAATTTCCTGGAAAGGTATGTCCAATGAATATTCTCTATTCTTATCATCACGATTGCAAGAAAACTAAACTCATTTTACCCTAACAAAAAAAGGATCTCCACTTAAAATCCGTAATATGCCTTATTTTGAAAAATTGCACGCTGGTGAAGTCACCATTGCCGCTACACTTCGATTAACACCTGAACAGTATCTCAAATGTAAATGGGCTCTTATCCTCGCAGCAAAAGATGCTTCTGAAAACAACACCTTGTTTCGTAAATCGGAGGCGCAAAAAGTTTGCTGTATTGATGTGAACAAAACAAGCGTTCTGTGGAATGCATTTGGCAAACTGGGTTGGCTGGGGTCCAAGTGGCCTCAATAAAGAAAGCTTAATATTCTTGCTCAGCTACAAAATCACAATTGTCTTTCTTATTGTATTTCTATATCCCCCCACTCGCTCCATCCCCCCAACCCTTCACTCAATTTCTGTAAATAACATGCCCCATTCACCTATTTATCTATTTATGCCCTGCTATGTTTATTCATATAAGCCCTCCAAATTAATAAAAAACAATTGTAAATCGAAATTGTATACATGTCCTGCTTTTGTAACACTAAACAAAAGCGCAGTATGGGCTGAAGCTTCTTTTCTACTAAACAAACGTGCAATGGCAGTTATTTTTGGTTTTTATTTCAGTTTATTGTTAGTTTAAACTGTAGATAGACATAAATTATCACTTTCACAAAAAAAAAAAAAAAAATCAAATGGAGGGGGGGGGAGGGGAGCGCTCTTTCGGAGGAAAACTGGATCACGATTTCTTAAAATAGCGAGTATAGTAACCAGTCACTTTATAAGATGTAAGCGTATGTTTTTTGTGTAGGTTTCATAGCAGGATCAGAAACTAGTAGTATACTACAATGGCTCACATAGGATCTGGACTTATTATAAGTTCTACTCTGCTTTCTTGGGTAATTCAATCGCCAAGTATGGCGGATGGCACTAGCACAATTAAAAGGTTGGGTGTAAATGTAAATTGTTATTATTATTCGCGATGAGGTCATATCATTTCATCTTATCTGATTGATTGAAAAAAAAAGGCATGTGGCACAACCCAGCTATATTTTATATAAACTCACATGTTGAGTCGCTTTTTCATCATGTTGCCTCTAGTAAAAAATGACTGTCCTCTTCATGAAAAATACGGGTTTTTTTTTTAAAAATACATAACTAGGGATAGTATCGATCTCCACTTTAAGCGGTTTTTTTTTTGTTTTTCAGATTTAAAATTAAGTTATTAAAAATCTAGATTAATTGAAAACTTATTAGAAAGGAAGCAATATCGTTTATCCTTCGGAACTCAGCTTCTATGGTTCTTTCTCATTCTATAGCTATATCTTTCATCATGATTGGTTATCGCGGTATATTAACATCAGTCTATATTATAGATCAAAAAGCACGATCACCCCCTTGTCTGCTTATGCTTTGCTTACGAAATCCATTTTTTTTTGTTTTTTTTTTTTTTTTTTTTTTTATTTAGAAGAAATTGGTAATTATCGACAGTAAGCAAATATCAACTTCTGGATCCCTGTTCCCTAAAGCTAAATTAGCGCAACCTTTGCTGTAGTAATAATATAACATTGTGATAGCAATATATATAACCCTTCACCCATGATGCTGTGACCAAACAAACAAACAAACAAAAAAAAAAAATCACCCCATAAAAAAAAATGCATTGCTGTATTATTATTGTCTATTAACCGTATTGTAATATTTTCTCTTTTTTATTACATTATTATGATATTATGGATTTTGTACTTAGTATATATTGTGTTGGGGGAATTTGTTCGCAAAATAAAAGAAAAAAAAATTCTAGATGGTCCGGCCATCGTTTAATATGGAGTGAAAGGTTAAAAAAAAAAAATGAAATGATAAAGAGAGAAACGCACTAAAAAAAACCAGAGGTGTAAACAGAGGGGGTAAATAAATACATTATACTTGCTCTTCTTGAATTGATGGTTCATCATCCTCTTCTTTCGAAAGTGTTTCGACTTCATCGCTTTCGATATCAAACAAGTAATGGTAATTTAAGATGAGATATTTCACAATGTTTTGATGATGTCCCAAATTTGACATGGTGGTGGCAAACGATGCGGGACCAGGTGTTGGTTGTAGTAAAGTAGGTCCAAACACAATCGCTAGATTGGTGGCATACATATGATTCGTCGCTTCAAAATCGGTAACGCTATGATAAATCATGACACGGTCAGCTTCCTATTATTCTTTCTTTACAAAAAAGTACAACTTACATGACAAAATGTTCAATAATTCGTTTTAACAATATGTAATTCGATTCAGGTAATTTTTTGATGACTTTCTTGATCAGATACACACGCTCATCATGATCCTCTGAAGCTATATTTGTTTAAATATTAAAGAAGATCGGTCAATATGGTTTTATAAAAGAGCAGCGCGTTCTATTGTATTTACCTGAAGCATGAATGAATTCATCATAATAAGTGTACGTCAACAAAGGCTCTGGAAGCTCTCTCAAAAACTGCTTAAATGCATCTGCTACAACATTGATATCCGCCCATGCAGGACTATTCAGGTCCACTGATGCAACATCCTTATTAAATTCCGCCTTCAATGCACTCACAACGGATCCTGTACCAGCCACACGGTAAATACCCACTTCTTCAAGTCCTCGTAGTTCTATTTCTCGAATGCATTTTGTCACCACTTTGGGTATATTGCCATCACGCATCAAACTATCCAGGGGGACACCGTACACCGAGGACCTAGAAGCAGATTGGTTTCGACTACCAGAGCTCAAGAAGGCCGCGGTTTGACGATTTCCTTCATAATCCAAGGATTCGGCCGCAAGTACACTCTGACGTTTGACAGCTCCTTCTCTAGCAGAGTTATTGACATGTTGCATCCAATCATGCATATCTTCTCGATTCATGGCTTGAAATAGGTATTGCCCACCTTCCTCCGTCACGACACGGAACACAAAATCACGCTTCGTATAAGTGCTAGCTACCGATGTCGTAGAGTGGATCAAGTTAATCACGGTAGATGCTTTTGTTGTTGACATGTATTCTTGAGGCGGGTCAATTTGAATATGGGGTGGGAATGATTGCTGTGCTGGTGAAACAATCATGGATTGCGGCCTCAAATTTCGAAGAAAAGAATTGATACGAGGCATGACACTATGATGCTGTTGCTGATGTTGCTGGTGTTGATGCTGCTGTTGTTGTGTACAAGACTTATTCAACCCGGCCTTTCGGTCTTGTTTTTCTACCATACGCGCTTGTTCAATTTGTTTCTTTTGAAGCTTATGCTGAAGTGATAACCACTCTTTATCAATACGATCACGTTCTTTAAAATCGCGTTTTAATTTGTCCATTTGTTCCGTGACCAATTTACTGAAGACCGTGGTGCGAGAAATATGAGATTTACTGGTAGCCCCACGAAGCACCAAGCTACCAGAAGACGAGCCCAAGGATGCCTTCTTATTCTCTCGTGCGGCCACTTCTTTCAGTCCTTTCCATGTATCTTTTGAAAAACTCGGCGAGATTAAAAACGACATACTGATTCCTTTAGCTTCAGTTTGCTGCTCATCTAAATCCACCTGTACATTCATGATCAACTGCAGGAATTGATACACGCAACGCCGCTTATCGAAATTAATCATGCTATCTTTTTTATCAAAGGTATCAGGAATATGAAAACATAGTTCCATGATGCGTTCAAATATCCAGCCGAGACTCGGTACCACTAATTGCTGTTGGCTGGAAACGGTAGAAGAAGCAATCGATGAATTCGAAAAGGTGGAAGAAATGGTACGTGAAGTATTAGATGACACCATGGGTTGAATTTTCTGAATTTGATTCAACAAATTTTCCAGCGTATCGATATTCGCATGTCCATGTTGCATCGCTACATCGTTCCAGGCCTTGGTAAAAATACGTACTTCGGGACTCACCAGCGCACTCGCAATAGCATATTCCACAAATCCAGGTACTCGACTACCAGCACAGTTTTTGCCTCCCATGGTTGCCTCCTTGAGCTCGGGAAATAACGTCATTTTTTCACTCGAGATTTTGCTCAACGTTACAATCTGTAAAAATTTCTCGATCCGTAATACACGTGTCTTGGAATCGATTTCTATGGCAGCGATTTCATTAATGACCCAACTACGGATAATAAAATGCATGCAATATAGGTATTGAATTGAACCAGGAAAGGCCAACAAGAGATCATCATCTGAAAATGCAGAGGGAGAGACAACCGATCTTCTAGCACCTTCAATAGCCGTAAATATATCAGACACAATGACTTCGTCTGCCAAGACATGATAATTGGGTAAATGAGATGAAGGTGCGTCTAAAACGGGAGCAAGAGAAGCGGACATTCGAGACGTTCTGGACGGTTTACGGGCTGGAAGCCAGGCGTACAAGTCCCCCGATTGAGCTTCAAAAACATCAAATGTCTGGATCCAGTCTTGCATCGTGACAGCTCCAAATAACTGACGCACCGCCTTATCCACCTGTTCTAGAAGAGCCTCGGGTCCAAAATTATCGACCAAACTCTTGGCATCTGTATCACGCTGTTTGGTGGAGATGGACAATGGAACGAGTTTATTGGTTGCCAGCTGTAAAGTGGTATGATACCGCTGTGTACCACTGGTTAATTGTCTGTACAATTCCTCAGCTCCTCGTGTACTTTCTGGATCGAATTGAATTGCTTTCATATCATAGCAAGGAGATAGACTTTTTCGTACAAATTGCGTTCGCAAGTCCATGATGCGTTGTTCAATCGTATGTGCCATCGTCAAAGCCTCCATATGCTGTGTCTTCTTTTCTTCGTCGGTTTCATCTGTATGATTTAATAATGGACCACGCCATTCTTCCAAAGCAATTTTAGCATTTGTTAAAAACACGCCAATATATTTCGAGATTTCAATCTCATCAATGAAATCATACGGATGTTCTTCCAACCAATACAGGAACAAGTTCAGCACCCGAAGTTGAATATCAGCTACCTTTTTCCAATCGTAAAGGTCAATATTCGATGTCTCTTCCTTTTCCGCTGAACTACTGTCGGGTGAAAAATACGTTTCTAATAAGATCAAGGAATCCTTTCGTTTCTTTTTCAAATTGGCTCGACATTTGGATTTGGCGTCCATAAACTTCTTTCGAAGCATATCGAGTAAATGTGTGGCAGAACAATAGATTCGAAAAGTTGCGAAAAATACATTGATATACTCTTCTTCATCCATAGCCACTTTACCAGGTTGCACTTGATGTTGAAGTCCTTCCGCTAACGACATCATTTGCCATTGATCTTTAATCGCCTCTTCATGTGGTAAGATACCACGTACAAGACAGTCCACTAAATGTTCCAAGTGTCCTGCCTTTATCGTCACTAGCAAAGCGTCTTCATCATCTTCAAGTTCGTCTGGATGCAAGTTATGTTTTAAAAAAGAAAGCATTTAGTAAGATAATGTACGTTTTTTTCTTATAACACTATGCGTACCCTTCTTCAAGAAATCAATTGAATGAGAAGACTCTGTCTTTTTTAATGACTCATTATCACCTACAATAGCTTCTTTCTTGAGAAGAGCAGCTGCTTTAAACACCAACTCATTTTGTTGCACACTCAAGATAATTTCTCCATTATGACCGTACTGTGCCGCATGACTTCTTCTGTGTGCTTCAATTAAAGCCTTTGTAGAGTACGTGCGATGATGTCGATTTGATATCAATGAACCTAACCAAGTCCTACTATTTTCAGTTTCTAACAGGTCGAGTTTACTCGTACTGGATGAAGATGCATTGGGATTGCCACTGCCTGGTGGGAAACTATAAGTACGACGTCTAAATGCCTTTCGATTCGCCCCTTTACACGGAGATACAGAAGCATCATGACTTGTGTTGAAACTGGAGCTAGACGTACAAGAACTTGATTTCTTGCCATCCTCTAAAAATGATCGAATGGATCGAATGCTATTATTAGCTCCCGTCTTGCTCGACTTTTTATGCACCGAGGATGTGGTTGAAATAGCAGATGTGGATGCCGTCGAAGTCAGACTTGTTGAACCTGGTAATGTTGTCGAAGTAGTAGCTGTGGTCGTTACTAAATGCAAGGTAAAAATAGTTAGCTTCAAGGGCCAAAAAAAAAAAAAAAGATGTATATAAATTACACATGTACACTTACCATTATCAACATCCAATATGGTGCAGTTATCAAGGATGCTAGGGAATACCAAGGAAGAGGTGGAAGGGGGTGCGACATCCGTATTGGTTGATTGACCAGGACGACCAGTATACTTGCGACGATCGTAGCTTTGACCGAATATTCTTGGTTCACAAGAAAGAGAGCATTCTTGAAGGTATTTATAATCATGCGGTACAGACATCAGATCCGTGATAGAGTGCTCAAAGAACATCTGCAGAGGTCCGACTACTGGGAGCAACTTGACTTGTTCTGGATCATAATCTAACTTGGTTTCTTTCCACTGATTTAAGCTTTGCGTAATGGTATCATAGATGCATTGGCATTCCTCAAAATTGATTGTGTTTGGCGCTAATAACTTCTTCACATGTTTTCGAAGGCGATCTACTGATTGTCGAATTGTACCAAAGAAGGGCAACGTTGGTAATGAAAAAGGCGTCTGCACTGTTTCATTAAATGGAAGATGATCAAGCACACGAGAGAATTTACAGACATTTTTATCCCAGCCTTCGGCCCAGATGTCTTGAGTAAATAATCCATAATCAGACAATACAGTCACCCATTCTGTTTGTACACGATGGACCAATTCACGATCAACTGCTTTCCAAGTCTCTCTTAATCGAATAATGCCAACAGAACAAACCCCCATAGCAACCGCACACCAACCGGTCATATCACGCAATTCCAATAGATGAATACCAATGCGAATCCAATGCTCTAAAAGCTTTGAACGAATCAGCATGCATTCCTCTGGTTCCTGCTGTGTATCAATGAGGATTTGATTTCGAATGAGTTTTGTCAAGAAATGTGGAGCGACAGTCGTAAATAAGAGCGAGTTTAACATCTGAACGGAAAGCTGGGGTCTAGGTAAGTAAGATAATGGATTGATTAGGTCCTTTTCGTACTGCTTTTGTTTAGAATAATGAAATAAATAAATCTGTTGAGCGAAACCCAATGGATCAATCACGAGAAATACAGCAGGTGTGAGGCCTGTGATCAATAGGTTGGATAAATTGATTGAGTTTCTACGCTTTCCCTCGATGTCATACGCAGTGATATTCTCGACTTCCTCTTGACTGAGTATTTCTTCTTCTTCATCCTCTTCTCTCAATAAGAATAAATTGGGATTATCGGCGGACAAGATCAGATCACGATTAAAATCACAATTCTTGATTCCATTTTGGTTGACAGTATTGAGTACCAGCTCTTTTACTTGGTTTGCCTTCGTTTTGTTTATTATATGGTCACTATCCAATATGGTCATCATACCTGAAGCAACATCACCCATAACGTCTAATTGAAATTGCTTACACCAAATGGTGAATATATCAAATAAACGGTCTTGCAATTCCGAGTTCATAGAGATGACTAAATGGAACTGAGAGAGCAATTTTGAAGCGGTTGTGAAAGTGGTATAAGTAGTTATAAATGTATTTAGTAGACGCATATCATGATTAAACAACAATTCATGGATCAAAGCATTGATGGAACCACCTTTTATTGTTGATGCATCGGACCGATGATCCCGAATCAAATCCAAATGATATCTTTGTGTAGCGTCGTACAGTTCATCTTTTTGTTCGTATTCTGAAAAGGTGGAGATCCATAACTGACCGATTTCATGATTTTGGATCGAAAAAGAACCTAAAATGGATGATGGATTATTTATGCTAAACAGGAGTACACCGTCAGAATTTAAATGATTTGAATGGATGTTTAATATTGACAAGGAATTTTTCGATTCAATTTTCCATAGATTATCACTCTTTACGCAAATGTACAAATAGCCATCATTCGTTAAGACTAAATTCACTTTTCGAACAGGTAATTTCGTAATCTCGTTTAGTTCCATAAAGACCGTTCCCTTGGCAACGATGTCGGGTGCAAATAAGATGAGTTGTGATTCAGCATCGAATTCAGCTCTCTGTAAATTAATGTCCTTTATATTATTATTTGTACTGGAAATACTGGTATTGGATAATGAAAAAGTGAGCGATTGCTGTGACGGGAATAATGATTTGAGTGGTGATTCTGTTGTTAATTTATACAGGTATAATTTATGACCTCTGAGTATCACTCGATATAATTTCCATCCACTCGTTTGTTTATGAAATGGTTTGAAATCTGTCTTCTTGAACAAATATCCTTCCTTTATCACAATGAAACTAGTACGTTTCTCTGTATTGCTAGTTGAATTCCTACGCTTACGTGGTGTAACTAACGCGTCAAATTTGGAAATCGTATCTGCATCTGCTTGTTGCATCAAGGACTCCATCCCCATCATGGACATTGGTCGAGTTGCTCTCGTTTTCACTCTGGGTATCACCTTGGTTGTAAACTCGCTCGAATCCTCAAACGATTTCGACATTGTCGGTTCCTTGTTGTTGCTACTCTCAATCGCCCATGGTTTCGACGGCGTGGTTGTTATTGTTGGTGTAGTTGACCGACTAGAAGAAGTAGACGGTCTAGGACTGCTATCGACATTGTTGTCTGCCACCTGTTGTCCAAGAAAGAACCGGTTCTTTATGAAAGAAAACGCATTAGACCGATGGCCAGGTAAAGCGAGATCTTCTTCAGAAGAACGCGGTGTAGCAGGTGTTCCTTTAGCTTTTTTAGACTTCATTCGCCCCAAAAAAAGACGGCGATATATGTATGTAAAGGAAAAAGAAAATAATAATAATAATTGTAAAAACAAAAACAAAAAAAGGGAAAAAAAAAGAAAATTTCAGTTGGGGAAAAAACTCCCCTATGTTCCCTCCTTTTTTTTTTATATGTGTTTATTTATAATGTTATGAGTAATATACATGAAATATATATGTGTATGTCCGTTTAGCTTGGAGTTTTTTTTTTATTTGTATATTTTATTCGGCGTGATTAAAGAGATAACTTACACTCTCACCATTGTGCTAAGATAAAGAAATGAAATAAAGTCAGGTTAGATCGCATGCAGGAGATGATCTTCTTTTTTTGTGCTCAGAATACTTACGGTTCTTCTTATTGCCTCAGCAAGTGTGTTGGAGATATCAATCACGATCAACTTGGAGCACTGATCGCTCTTTTCCTTGGGAATAGGGAAAGTATTGGTAACAACCAACTAATAAATATAAAAAAAGGGTATAAATAAATAGGGTCAATTATTATCATTCAAGGAGGATTTTAATATTACCTTGTATACACTATCACAAGCTTCAATCTTTTTGATAGCATCTCCACTTAATACACCATGAGTGGCGATAATATAAACCTTATCTGCTCCACACTTCTTAACCAAATGGTCGGCTGCATCCACAAAGGTACCAACATTATCAATGATATCGTCCTATTCATTCTTTTTTAGCATCATTCTTTCTTGTCTGTCTACACACTACTACTATTACTTACGGTCAAGAAGGCAACCTTACCCTTGACATCACCAACCAAGGTGATTGTGCTCTCGCCATCCTTATCGGCAACAACAGTCACAGCAGCATTCAAAATATCACCATTGACACCAGCTTCGTTCAATGAAGAGATGGAAGCAATCAAATCTTCCTTATCCTCCTTTTGCTTGAGGACTTCTTCTTCGTAGACACGGACAGTGGAGTCACCTTCACCAGACTTGGGCATACCACTGTAAGGACGGTTTTGTCCTTGAGGTCCCATACGAGAACGATCCTTATGGATCAAGGCAAAATCGAGGCGGAGAGCATCAGCCAAAGAAGTGACACGCTTGGCTCCACCGGCATTCTTGGATACAATCACACCGTTTTGCCAGTTGGGAACAGTTTGAGTGATCCAACGAGCAATGACAGGTTCAGCATACAAGTTATCTACAGGACGTTGGAAGAAACCTTGCATTTGTGAAGCGTGAAGATCCATGGTCTAATAACATATGTCAATAATAAAATCTTATAAACTATTACATTCATATTTTACAATAATGTGATCAACACCAGCAACAGCCAACATGTTGGCCACAACTAATAAAGGACATGTCAGTATCATGACTCTCACGTTCAAAAAACCCAAAAAAAAACTTACGTTTAGCAGTAATACTAGTTCTACCCTTACGCTTACTTTGCTTGCAGTAAGGAAAGTAAGGAAGAACGGCAGTAATTCTCTTACCGGAACCAATACGAGCAGCTTGAATCATGATACAAAGTTCGATAATGTTATCATTCATGTTGTTAGAACCAGACTGAATAATAAAGACATCCTCATTACGAACAGAGACACCTATAAAGCGTTGTGTTTAATGTCATTGTTTCAACCTATACGAAATAACTTACGAATCTCTACATTGGTTTCCTTGTTACTAAACTTTTGCAAAGTACACTCAGAAAGAGGAGTACCAAGACGCTTGGTAACAAGTGCGGCAAGCTCAGGATGAGAGGAACCAGCTAAAATCTTGGTGTTACGCATTGGAGACAAAAAATGTTGATGTTAATACACTTCAAAAAAAACCACCTTGTTTCTTTTTTTTTTTTTTTTTTTTTTTTTCTCATCGAGAAAACCGAGTCACTATTTTGACCCAAATGAATGACATTGCCCGATCTTGGTTATGGTTACACACGCACTGCAATCCCTTCTCCCGGTTGCGATAGACATTAGAAATGTACAATGTTGATATGTTCACCCCTTCCCTTCCATTTCAAAACCTTCTGTCATCCATGCATTCATAACTGCTCCTTATCCCCATCAGTGGTACTCTAGTAAAAGAGGGCTGAGAAAGTCAATATATAAGCCCAAATCCTCGACAGACGCATTGTATCGAAATTAAATTGCATTACTTCTCAGTCCAGTAAATTACCTGGGTCACCAACCTACACTTAAGATATCTTTTACATATTAAATCAGAGCTGTCCGAGTCTGTTCCTGAATTAAAAGATGATCAACATTTTATCAATGTAATTGATTAAGTCAGACTTGGCTAGCCCCGAGTAATTTACTTTTCTCTCTCTTTCTCTCTAGCCATAAGTTAATTTCTGTAAAAAGCGTGAATCAGCGTTAGTTATTTATTGTTTATTTGTAGGTAGTGTAATTTCATTAATATTAATTTCAATAGAGTGTTTTGATTGAATGATACGATAAACATACATTTTGTGTGTGGTCTGTGATTGCGTCAATACGTAATTCCAATTAAGCTAGTAGCAACATACATTATGATATTACGTAGTTATATTTTCCTGTTTGTTCACCATTATAAGCGACAAAAGACATTATAGCTAATGTACCTTTGAAACATATTCTATCCCCCAAAGATGAGGGAAAAAGAAGAAAAGTTTCGGAAAATCATGATATCATAAAACAAACAATTCATCTTTGGGGGTAAATATCACGCATGATTATTTTCAAAACATTGTTCATTTAGATCTTTTAATATATTAAATATCAGACTGATGACGTTCAAGTTCTTGTTGCTAGCTAACTAGTTTAATACATGTGTCTTCTCTCCCCTCCCCCATCCCGGAAGGATAATCTGTTGCATCGATCATCACGCACACATGTTTTAGAAACCGGCACATTCGCTTATTTTTGGGAATTAATCAGACATGTGGGGTTTTCTCTCGCCAATCAGCGTGTATTTCTTTTGTTTCTTATTCGGACATAGCGTCCATCCCCCCCTCCCTTCTTTTGACTATAGATTACACTTTATTCAGAAATTATTCGTTCACTGTTGCAAAAAATCGTTCAAAAATGAAATAAAAAATCGTTCAAAAATAAAATATAATATCATTCAAGGATGGAAATAAAAATGGGTATAAAAAAGTTAGAGCTTTCTTTAGAAAGTTAAACAATGCAATGTACTTACATGGAAAGGGTTGAGAGGTAGAGAAATATAAACAGAAATAAAATATAAGAACAAGTACAGTTAGTTATCTAGCAAGCAATAATAAAAAGCCTTACCAAAAAGTGTATTACGGGTAACACCAGCGATAACTGGCATGGATTATTATTCACCCATTGAGGACGTTTTTTTGAGTGGACATGACGTGCAAATCGTTCTGGAATTTGACCAGTGTTTCTTAAATTTAGAATTATTGAAACCATGTTCAAACAGGCGGCTAAATCTCTGTTCCAAAGCTTATACTGGAATCCTTGGGTTTGCATCTTGGTCATACAAGTTTGATTGGTGCATCTACATCAAAAAGTTTAAAAGAAATATACACGTTTCAAGGAGATATATTTACCTTAAAAGACCATGGCAAAGGGTTAAAGGATAGTTGCTTCGTTGGTAGGGCCTAGGATTGTCGATTTGTTTAAATTTCTTTAGACTCAAATTATGACAAGACGGACAGCATCGGCTCGTGTTGAATTCGTCGATGAGTAATAGACTAAGATGATTTCGTAAAAGAAGTCGTCTCAATCCGATGCCTCGAATTGGTTCATGATAACGTGCGTTTGGGGCAGACCAGTTTCCCAAGACAAAGATCGCATCCTTACCGAACTTTTGCTTTAAAGAATTTATAAGCTTGCATGTCAGCACGTTGTTTGTTAAAATACGCAGCTAAACGCAACTTCCGGAGCATAAATTGTGGGTTTTGAGAAGACGTTGTTGTATACCCATAGAAATTGTCGAGGACGGCGTAATTCTGGCCTAGACGTTCGAGGAAACGACGGTAACCCTCCATTTCCAGTGAGCTGCTTTGGTTTTCTGCAAGAATATTCTCGGCTTGATAAACAGCAGGATTGTTCGACTTCATTGCTTGTAGAATATTACGATACTTTTTGGATTTTCTGGTTTTGTCCTGGTCCTGCTTAGTATATCGAAACTTAATAGGAGTTTCTACAGTAGATTTTTCATCGACACAAAACAAAAGGTCTCTTCTTCCGGGATCAATAGCAACACATCGACCATTCACAGCTTTATGTTCTTGAGTACTTAAATCGCTGATATACTTGAACTTCTCATCTGCCTCTTTTATGGTTGAGGTATAAGATGACTGCCTGTCTATTCTTTTCTTAAGAACTGTTACACCAACACCGTCTGTCTGAATGGTACCGCAAAACCGAAGGAGCTTGTTCTCTTCTTGGGCTTTAAAAGGTTTTGCATTTAGATCAACCACTTGCTTCCAGTAATCCAGCTTATCAATATTATTGGACCATCTGATATCTAGAATGTTTTGACAAAGAATCTCACTATCGATTTGTACATAACCAGGAGACCATGAACGACGGAGAGGAAAGCAACGAAAAGGAGATAAACCTAATGTTTCGAAGAGACGAGCTAGTTGAACAAATGCCATAAAGTGATTTTCAGGTTGCGCTTTTGCATCATAATAGATGCTGTGTTTTTTAAAAGAATACGATGTACCATACGAGTCCAAAACAGGTCTTAACGCGTTGTATGCATTTATTTCTACCTGTGAATTTTGTGGCAGTAAAGTCATGTTTGTGGGACGTGTGCTGATGGCCACTTTGAAATTTTTTGCGGTCTGAGTTACATCTTGGAAAATAAGATCTTCGATGATTTTGGGGTCGACGCCTTGTTCTAGAAGAGCTTGCTTCATTTCCGCCTTTCTCTGCTTGACGTTCAGTAAAACATTGATTGATTGTCTAAGATGTTGACCAAATCTCATGCTGATGTTATTGATATACGACTGATATATTTTTTTTCCTTCGATCAGAGAAAACTGCTGAGCATACTTTAGTCTGAACCTTTGATAGTTTGTGATATTCAGATAGCTTGGTAAATAGCGGCTAATATAATTGCGATACTTTATAACTTTTTCTGCGCGAGCATTTCCCTTTGTATAGTCTACCAAAGAAAGCCATACTTCAGCAAAAAATTCTTTGTTGATATATTCTTTGAGGTCACATTGAGGGTCTGCTTGCAATTCATTGAGGAATATATACTTGGAAAAATAATATGCATGCTTTGTAGTAGTATGAACAACTCTAACAAAATTGTTTAATGTTGTCAAAGACGACTGCTTCCAACCGATGCCAGTAATTGACGACTTTACTGCGATAATCCGGTCTTTTGTCGGGCGAGATGCCTCATCCATGATACACTATATAATGGCAGTATAAGAAAGGTTACTTCTAAAATAGCATATAAATATTACCTAAAAATTCGGAGAGGGTTAAAAGCTGAAAGAGAAAGAAGTTTAGTCAAAGGGAGAAGATCGTCTATATCTCTCTTTTTTTTTTTTTGAACATCCAATGATTTCCCTATGTAATATGGTACTTTTTTCCGGGCCGGAGTGTACATAAAACATTAAGAACGAATACCAGTAGTGTGTTCCCTTACACTGTTAGAGTAATTGAAGAGTACATGTGTTTGTAGGTGGTAACAGATACACTGTGTCTTACTCAAATACAATATAAATTAGATAAAAAGATAAAATTAATAAAACGAGCCTTTTACACCCTAATTTTGAAGAATGACAACTACCCTTTTGAATTTTGGGTTTTGTCATTATAGTGAAGAAGAGCGTTTATTAGTTTAGTTTATTAAGTCAAAAGGTAATTTGAATCCAGATACAGCATCTTAAATGCATATAATGACTGTTTGGATTATAAAATATTTTATTTTCGTTTATTTCGTTCAATTATTATCAAACTAATTTTTCTTTTATTCTTGATCGAATTTTTTTTCTGAACTTGAACGAATTTCCTCCTTGCTCTGCACGAATAATTTAAAAAAATAGATTATAGCACACCTTTTATAAAAATGATGTTGTAACCACATGTTTTTGTTAAGTCAAAAATTAAAGAATGAAAGCTGAGTAATCAACACCAATCATCTTTTTGACCACATTTTTAAAAAAAAAATTATCTTTTCTGTTAACTGTGCCATCAATTACGATTAAAGAAACGAACCCCCTCCCCTTTGCAAAGGAAGCCTCAAATTATTAAGCCACCTCCACCTCAGTTTGCTGTTGGAGTAGCTCTTTTTTTTTTCATACACAACTCTTCAACATTTCAAGTTACTCTAACTCAGACGTCCATTTGATCCTGTTACCGAGAAACAGGGCTCATTGCACCTTTATCGGACTGACATGAGATCAGTCCAACACGTTATTCTGTCTTTGAATTTTTGTGTTAATTATAGCTTATTGGCAGCAAAGGACGGTGAAATCCGGTTTGTAAAAGCACAGCAGTTCAATTCTACTATCCCCGCGCACTCACCTTAGCGCGCGGGTTAATACCTTTTCAATTTATCCTAAATATGTCACTAACGTGTGACGCTTGTTTCCTTCTCTGCCTCTAATTATATCAACGACATAAATACAAGATTAGATATACATTTAAATCAATACGACATTGCTGACTATGCTTTACATTTTGGTTGTGGTAGATGGTTCAGGTGCAGGCACGTGACTTAATTCAGACTCACATGCTGGCATGCTGCAGCTTGCTATAATGTCATCTTCTGCCTCCCCAAGACGCACTAAAGCATTAACAGCAGAAACACAGATGCTATATTCGGTCGATTGTCTTGCCAAATTTGCTTCCAGTGCTTGCCGATATGTTGCCTCTCGTTGACACAAGATTTGAAACGCTTAGTTCTTAAAACTTGGCTGTATCTCTGGTTCGCAGAGGATTTACCGCCGTAGTTAGGGACTTCAATAAAAGTCTAAATATTGAATGCTTGATGCACCAGTCTATCGATCTTTTTTTTTTCGGCGCCACTTTTGTTGTAAGGAAAAAATACAGCAATGTCTATATACGTGCTTTTTGTTAATATCCAGGATCAACATCATAATAGAAATTAAATACCACTTACAGCAATTCCAGCCTAAACCCACGAGCTCCACCTGGGGGGTTTTTCATTGTATAATGAAGATTATCCGTAGCCGTAATATCGAAACGATTTGAGTAAAACTTTGTTTTTTTAAAAAAAGGTAAAATTTTAGAGTTCCTTGAAAAACCAAAAGTCATCATTAACTAACCTTTTCAATGTACGTATTACTTTCTTTCGTATGAAAGTAATACTGTCTCGACAGTTTTATATTTTGGTAAAGAAAAAGGGAAGAGAGAAGTGTGTGGACGAGTTTTTATTTATAGACTAATAAACATGAGATAAATGATTCAATTAATTATCTAATCAACCATAATGTTTGAGCCTTTACTTTTAATGGAAACATCTGCAAACAACCCCAAGAATAGATATGTACAAGTAAATTTAGACTTGTTAATAATCTATCAATGTTTCAATAATAACATGTACCAATAGTCAGCCTATTTTATGATAAATCAAATTGATTACATCCCGTGAAATTCAGAAAAAGTTTAAATCGTATAGTACGTTGTTAGACATTAACTCTTCTTAGGCGTATATGTAGGCTTTAAGAGAGGTATGATATCGTGAGGATATCATAAAATGGGTTACAAATTAAATTAGAGTGGCGTAAAACCTGTTAAAAGTGTAATGCGTGTAACGAAATCTGAGTTTGAGCATTGATCTCACGTCACTCTACTTAAATTACCGAGCATTGTCCAGTATTCAATTGGATTGAGCATGATAGCCATTCGAAGGTTAGTAAAAGTATTATGTTAGAATGAAAGGTGACGAGCAAGTCAAGTGAACAACGGAACGACAAAATAGGCTGGCATTGCTAAAGCGATCACTATTCTTGGCCCAAAGAACTCCAAAGCGAAATCCGAAATGTTTTTTTTCTGATCTTATAGTTTACTCGCACGTAATCAAATATGTCAATTTTTTTACAACCAATGACCTAAAATGCATCCATTCTATAGAGCTGTAGGACAATTTAAATAAAGAAATACTTTTCATGTACCAGTATTATCACACAAATGGCTTTAAACGAAATAACTGTTAATGAACTCATATGTATAAACATATATTACGGGCAAAGTTGTAATGTTATATTGATGGTTAGAATGAATCAGCCACGTTTTTTTAAGATGCCTTTAAAGGTTTCCATATCTGACAAAATATTGCTTGGAAAACTATATAATTGATTGGGTCAATTTCAAAAATAGATTAGAATACAAATAAGAGATTTACCTGTACTCTCGAAAATGTGCTTCTCTAGATTATAAATGGGTACATATGTGTGTGTGTTTTGCTGCTTCGTATTTTATTGTTTGAGTTAAAGACTCGATTAAAATTAGCTTGAGAAAGCCTATGACTTCTTTAAAGAAAAGAAAGCTTGTCAGTGGTAGAAAGCAGTAACCAATCATTATGCTAGTTTAATTGAAGACGTTTTAGCTGAGATGGAAATGAAGGAATATTACCACCTAAGCGTGGACAATGCGCCCATACATACAGGTAAAATACTTGGCGAGATAATCTAATAGCGCAGCTACAAATACACCAACCTACCATCTTATTCTTCAGAACTCAACCCAATAGACCAACTTTAGTCCGCTTTTAAAAGTAGTGTGAAATGAAAGTTTACACTCAAAAAACATACTATTCCTCAAATAAGTGCAGATAGTAGTCATAAAGTTCCTGAGCCATCTTTTGAGGGGTTTGAGAGCTATTCTTTTAGATGGGTTAACAGCCGCCCCTATTTAATAAACATCTTGTTTTGTTTAAAAAAAAAAAGGCACGGCACTCTTAACTTGTGCGACTATCATTGCATCATTTTCCCAAAAATAATTTTAAAAACCGATTTTAAAAAAGCCTTGTTTTTATGGACGTGTGTAAAATGATTTTTCTGTAAATAAAGACATCATCGGCTTTGTTTGTATTCTTTGTGAGAATTTCCTCTGGTCTAATAAGAGTATAACCTAAGAAATACTCACACCGCTATATAGAGATTCCAAAAAAGTTGCATGACATTCTCGACTAGCTTGACAATGTTTACCCAGCGTAAATAAACTTACCAGGATAATCATTGTAGCCATATTTATTGTCACTATTATCGTCTGCAGCAAAACTACATCAGAATGAAATCACAATAAAAATCGAGTTTCTATTATCTGCACAATTTTTCTTTTTTTTTCTATAAACGCTAAGCCTAAAATGTTTATTTTACACAAAAACTAAATGCTTGCGTTTACAACTTGATTATTCAATTCCCGCCTTGACGTGCCTGATTTTAGTAGAAGGCATGCAAGCCAGGTTTATATTGCAGGCCCTTTTTTTGGTTGTTGTTGTTGTTGTTGTTGGGGGGGGGGGCACTACTGCTGCATGACATGCTATGATCATTTTTTGTAAGAAAAAAAAAAAGAAAAAAGCAAGACGTAAAATTACTTTTGCATATTCTAATGAAACTTTGCTTTTTGTTTGCCTCGTATTTTCTGTATTCTATTTTTGCAAAGCCAAACAAAAAAAAAAAGCGTGACATTTTCAGCCTTCATCATCATCCTGGATAATATAATATACAACAGGCGGTACTTCAAATTGGGAAAAATAAATAAATTTTTCTGGTATTTTCCTTTTTCTCTCCCTCTCCTTTTTTATTTATTTTTTATTGAAAATTTTACATACACTATTTTTAAATGACAGAAGCAGCGCAACAGCTAAACTTTGAAGGTCATAGCATGGCAGGGATAGATGCATTTCGAAGCCCATTTTTACTAGATAGTAAAAGAGATACCACTTCAATTGCTGATCATATTAATTTTCAACTTTCCCAATATAACAATACTATTCCAGTTACAGCAACAACAACAACAAATCCAGGTTTTGTCCCAGCACCGGATTCAGCCATCACCACATTTATTAATAATCATGCTGCAAATAATAGCGACTTAATCGATATATCCAATCAAAACCAAGTAGAGCATGTGTTGGAGTGGGCCCCCAACAAACGATATTGTAGATTGAATACGTTACTAGGAAAGGGCGCATTTAAGGTTGTACATAAAGCTATGGACCGTGAAGAAGGCTACGAAGTAGCATGGAACGTCCTACATGTGAGTAAAATTGTGATAAAAAAAAATACATACACATTACTCACACATACACAGATTGGACATGATAATAATAAAGACGTAGGGCATGAGATCGAAATTTTAAAATCAGTTCGTCATCCCAACATTATTGCGTTTCATGATGCCTGGTTAAGCGAGAACCGTACAGAGTTCATCTTTGTAACAGAGCTCATGACGTCTGGCACCCTAAGAGAATACATTCGTAAATTAAGCTTACCAAATCCTAAAATTGTCAAGCGATGGAGTCGACAAATCTTGAAAGGTTTAGCTTATTTGCATGGCCATAATCCTCCCATCATTCATCGAGATATCAAATGTGATAATATCTTTATTAATGGTGCTCACGGTGAGATCAAAATTGGTGATTTAGGAACCGCTGAAAACATGTGGTTGGGCGATAAAAAGTATACATTGATTGGTACACCCGAATTTATGGCACCCGAAATGTACGAAGAAGAAGGTTACAATGAGAAAGTCGATTTATACGCATTTGGTATGTGTCTCATGGAAATGACCACGGGTGAATATCCTTACGCCGAGTGCACAAACACTGCTCAAATCTACAAGAAAGTTTGTCAGGTACATGTCCCTTATCGTCATTGATTATTTTTTATACTTACCCTTTTCTTTTTTTTTAAAAAAAAGCATATCAAGCCAGATTCCCTAGCTAAAATTCAAAACCAGCAAGTACTGGAAGTCATCAATAGTTGCTTATCCACTAACGAGACAGAAAGGTAACTTTTTTTTTTCTTTGATGTAACAAACATAAATTGACGTATTTTTATTTATGCTCGTCAGGTTGTCGGCACAAGAGTTACTCGAATGCTCGTTTTTGGCTGTCGAACCCGACGTAGTCATACTGGAGAATGACCCATCCCATACCATAGTGACCTTACAAGTCGTATTCAAAGGTTCTGATAAATTATCAGTCAAATTTGAATTTAATACCGTAAGAACCTTCCCCTTTTGTTCATGAAAGAAATAATTACTAATTTGCTTTGTTGTCTTTAAAGCAAGAGGATACAGCAGAGGAAGTTGTAGCCGAAATGGTAAGTACAAGCAAATATAAACTAAAATCTAAATACCAACCAAAAAAAAAAAAGATTGAAGAACAGGTGTTACCTGAGAGATACCAACAATGGATTACGGGCGAAATCAACCGAATCTTACGAGACATTGAAAAGGAGGCAGAATCCGACCTAGAGAAATTTAAAAACGGCGATAATCAACAGGCTGTTTGGCGTAGAGAAAATGATATCCGATCCGAATTAGAGAAATCTAAATTAGAACTAGCAAAAATTATGGAAACTGTCGTTGAATATGAAAACAAGTGTGAGTACTTGAAAGGCATAGCTGTACTCGCAGAAGAGAAAGAATCTCAGGCCTTACTCGAATTGGAAAGGACTGCAGCTAAAATCTATAATGAAGACATGATGATGGTCTTATCTGACGAAGAAACTTCGTTGGAAGATCCACAACATGTCGTATTGCATTTAAACAAAGTAGTCTCAAAAGGTATGGACTCCCCCCTTATCAACCCTTTATATATGATGAATAGGTCTTTTGTAAACTTCAAAATCCATCTATATTTTAGAGTATTTCGATGATACCAGTATTGACGTGTTTGTCAAGGACACTGCAAAAGCAACAAATCGTAGTCTGTCTAAAGCTGCTGAATGGACTCAGAAATTAAAAGATCAGGATATCATGACAGTAGGCGATTTAAGGGAATTATTTGACGAGGATTGGTCCTGCATAGGTCTTACTGTATTTGCTATTCGTGCATTAAAGAATATGCTACGTAACATAGATAATCACTTGTAAATATATTTTTTTTTGCCAAGATTTTTTTTTATCGTCAGATGATAGTGTATAAAAAGAGCTTTTTTTCCTTCTCTGTATTATTTCTTTTTTCTTTTCAATTCATTTATTTTTTTCAGAAAACATGTCTAAATTGCACAATAACCCTCATCTTGAGTTGCCTCCTGCTTCAACTTCCCAACAGCAACAGCAGCAGGAACAACAACAACAACAACAGCAACACATTGCTTCGGTGTATCCAAGGTTACCTTCTCAAGACGAATTGCCAAGCTATACACCTTATCCTTCTCAGCAGCCACAAAAGCTCTTGTACAACCAACAACCTCAATACCAAGGATCTCAGTATCCACAACAGTACCCACAACAATACCAACAATACCAACAAACACCACAACAATACAATCCACCATCGCCACAACAATACAACCAACTACCGCAAACACCACCCCCTCCTCCATTCTGCAACCATGCGCCACAGCCAATGTATTATGGCAGCGTCGCAGCTCCGAATGTGAGTATGCCCAGCCCGATGCCAGGCCAAAATAGTAATGAGCAACCATTTCACGTTGAACCTATCAACGGGCTGCGAACCGAATCTGAACTAGTGGAATGTCCTCATTGCCGACAATTGGTGTATACGGTAATAGACTATGACGCTGGTGTTTGTACCGGACTCTCCATCGCAGGTTTATTTTTAGCGGGATGCGGTAACGGTCTTTGTTTACTGCCTTATTTATTTCCTTGGACCAAGGATGTTACACATCAATGCCCATCCTGTAAAGAAAAAATTGCTACGTTTACAAGACTTGAAAGAGATACAAGAGTTCATGCTCCACCTCAATAATATCTATTTATCTATCTATTTATTCCCATCATCATAATAAAATTCTTTTAATTACAAAATTACATTTTTTCTTTCTTTCTTAAGCCGTTAAAACTTGATCAAATTCACCACTCTCAATCATTTCCTTGACAATATCCAAACCACCTAATAACTCACCCTTGTAGAATAACATGGGGAATGTAGGCCAGTCAACATGAGCCTTCATACCTTGTCTGACCTCATCATCCGACAGGATATCAAAATGACCGTACTTCACATGACGATCGTTTAATAAGGCCACTAATTGCTTGGAGAATCCACAACGAGGTTCCTCTGGTGTGCCCTTGATAAACACCATCACGGGTTGTTTCTCAATAAGCTCCTGAAGACGTGTGGATAAATCTTTATCTTTGGGTAACATTTCCTTGAACTCACCAGACGCAATCATTTCCTTAATAATATCTAAACCTCCCATTAACTCTCCATTCACATAGACTTGAGGGTAGGTGGGCCAATCGGAATAAGCCTTTAATCCTACATAAATCATGGTTTCAGTTATACTTTACTCTATACCTCCCCTTCTTTTTTTTTTTTTTTTTTACCTTGACGAACATCCTCATCAGCAAGAATATTGAATGAACTGTATTTAACCTTCTCCTCGCCTAAAAGCTCCACAAGTTGGCGAGAGAAACCACAACGAGGCTAAAAGATGTATCGAATGAGTCTCTCGTTTTATTGATCCCATGATAATAACAATCCGTCTTACCTGTTGAGGGGTTCCCTTGATAAAGATCATGACGGGAGCACTGTTGACAAGTGCCTTGAGACGAGCGTTGAGATCTCTGACGGGTTTGACATTACCTGAGTCCGTACCTGCTGCGGTGGCTGTAGTGGTATTTGCAAACTTGTTCAAGACACCCTTGGCATGTTTAGACACAGCATTGGTTAATTCCGCAGCCTTAGCACCTTCGATTTGATCTGCAATCTTACCGCCCTTTACAATGATAAAGGTAGGGACGGCAGAGATCTCGAAAGTCTCAGAGATATCAGGGTATTCTTCAGCTTCAATCTAATGGGGGGAATAAGTCAATCCATATATCTACTATGGGGTATGTTGAGCGTTCTTACCTTTAAGAATTGAAGAGCAGGGAATTTGCCAGAAAGTTCAGCAAAAACTTCATTCATTTGTTGACAAGGTTCTGCCCAAGAGGCCCAAAAGTTTAATACAAACACGGAATCCTTCTTACTGACAAGGTCGTTGAATTGTGCGTCAGAAGTGATCTCTGTCAAATTGCTCATTATGATATATAATATGTAAAAAAAGGGTGGGGGGTTAAACGAAAAGAAAGAAAAAACAAAGTGAGAACAAATATTTTTTTTTTGATTGGTAAGAAAAAAAAAACTAGATGAAAACGTGCTTTTGATTGGGTTAGCTTACAAAGATTCATCTTGCTTTTTTTTTTCAATAGCCGAGTCTGACAGCTGAGAGATCTTTTTGTTGTCACAACTGATCTCTCTTCATAACGGTTTATGAGAATGCTTCTTCATCCATTGTAAAGAGACGTTGTGATGGAAGGTTTAAGATTAACCTTTCAGAGAAATGAATTCAAAAGGGGGTTATGATAAGGGCATGGTGAGTTTAATCAAAAATTAATTTATGCAAAGCCAGGTTACATAAAAGCACGCACTCTCTTTCTTTCCTCATATTATATCAGTCGGAAATGCATTGAATCACACATACACACTCACATTTTGTAATTGATGGAAGATGGCGTCAGACAACCTTTCTGGCTGTGGGAAACCTGTTTTGAAAACATGAAAATTGTTTATATTGTGAAACAATTATTAAAAATAGATGGGCGTAATAAACCTTGTCCATTTTATCACTCACTCTCTTTCTTTTCTTCTTTATTTTTACCTCATGTCCTTTGCCTGCCCCATTTGCTTGGACCATATAAAAGAAGCACCGTCTGCCAACAATGTAGACAACCATGTTATGGCAACTCCATGTGGTCATGTGTTTCACCGTTCATGGTAAGCTGCACGGTCCTTATCCCCCCCTTTTTTTTTATGAGCACAGCCATTAAATAAACACACACGCTTTTAGTATCTTTAATTGTCTCGACCGTAACCAACGCTGTCCTTCTTGTACAAAGACATGCTATCATCAAAGCATCATCCGTCTTTATCCTACGGGAGATGAAGAGAACGAACAAGCTATTCGTAAACTTGAAATACAACTTGAAAATCGAATAATCGAAACCCAACATAAGGATGATGAAATACATGAGATGCTTGAGAGTATACACGAACAATATCAATTGAATGCAAGTCTGAAGGATATGCTGGATAATAGGGAAAAGGAATATTTAAAGTTGCATAATGATGTCAAGATTATGAATATTGATGCCAGAGCCAAAGAAGCCACCGTCATCTCGCTTCGGCAGGGTCATGAAAAACTGACGGCTGAACGCGATGAAAAGATAAAGAGTCTGGCAAAGTTACAGACTGAATTGGAAACGCTAAAAAGGACATGCTGCACTTCTGAACAGTTTAAGCAATCCAAGGAGAAATACAGATCATTGGTAACACGGTTTGAAACACTGATGGATGAAAAGTTGGAAGTAGTGGATAAATTAGAACAAATTAAGAAAGATCATGATACATTGATCATTGCTAACACAAACCTAAAATCACAATATGAAACACTTTCTTCGGAAAATCAGCCTGAAGCATCCAAAGGAGAGAAAGAGAAATACAATAAATTATTGGACAGATTTGAAAAGGTTGCAGACAAGAAAAATGCTATTGTACAGGAATTCGAGCTTTACAAGAAGAACCATCAGAGTACGGAAGATTACCTTGAATTACAGCAAAAATATAGGGATCTGCAGTCCCAATTAAAAGATCAAGCAGCCAATTATAATCAGCTAAAGGAGGAAAACTTGGAGATCAAGAAAAAGGCTAAAGAACTCGATCGTGCTTATGCGGCTCTAGAGAAAGTAAGTACAGAGTTGAAAGAGGTCAAGAAGGAGCATGCCAAGGTGATTGAAACCATGAAAATCAACAATTCAAAGCTTTATACGCAAAAAGAAAAGATCGTGAGCGAATTAAAGAGTTTGAAAAAAACGCGTTTAGAGAACGCGAACGCCATTATCAATCTAGGCGTAGGCGCTGCTATTGATGACAGTATGGACTATAATGAATTAGAAAAGAAGTATTTGGAAGTCAAGACTGCAAGAAATAGATTAATTCGCGAGTCCAATCGAAACAAGCAAAGGGCAGATAATGTTATCAATGATAATACCAAATTACAAGAAAAGATTAAACGCCTAGAGACAATTATTGCTGAAGCAAGTAGCAACTCTGTTATAGATAAAGCCAAACAAAAAGAAATAACGAACCAGTAAGTTCCCTTTTATATACGTATTTATGTTTGCATTCTATTAAAACAATCTTGTATAGTTGTGATCAACTTGTTGCTCTTATAAAATCTTTATAACTCTAAATAAATAAAAAGATGGATCTTCGGTCCATATTTAACCGGGCCTGAAATCGACGATCGTGGTGAAAAAACGATGACAAGCCAACCCCGACTTACATTGAAATAAACACGAATTAAAGGCGACTGAATAAATACCGCCCTCTTCCTTTTTTTTCCTTCTTCTTCATATTGTTTTTGTTTAGTCCATTCATCCCCAACTCTCTAATGTTTACCTTAATCAAACACTCTGGTAAGAACATGGCTCACACAAGACAGAAAGACACACGTAGAATACTGACTCCTCCTTTATAGCTAGAGCAGTGCCTCATACTACCTTCACAAGACCTTTAGCATGTTCATCCATCTCGCGTCGTTCATTAGCCTCCGAAACGCCTTCCAAAAGACCGTAAGTTTTTCTTTTTTTCTAATAAAACGAGCTCTTTGGTGTGTGGAGGTGTTGACCGATTTCTTTCCAAATAGACCAACGGCTGTATTGTTGACCAATATGGGTGGACCAAAAACTTTGGACGACGTTTACAACTTTCTTCACAATCTATTCTCGGACAGAGATCTAATGCAATTACCTTTTCAAACTTGGGCTGCTAAATACATTGCCAATAGACGTACACCTCAAATCAAGGAACAGTATCAAGCGATTGGTGGCGGATCGCCCATTCTGTCCTGGACACGTAAACAAGGTGAAGCCATGGAGAAGCTTCTTGACGAAATCTCTCCCGAAACAGGTAGGCATGATATAGATGAAAGAGGGTTTCCATGATAACAGGCAACTCATTTTTTTTAAAGCCCCCCATAAACACTATATTGCCTTCCGTTATGTTGAACCGTACACCAACACAGCTTTAAAAGCCATGAAGGAAGATCGCGTGAAACGTGCTATTGTGTTTACCCAATACCCTCAATACTCTTGCTCTACCACCGGAAGCAGTTTAAATGAACTTCATCGCGGTATCAAGGAATTGGATATGGAAAATGATATCCATTGGAGTATCATTGATCGCTGGAATACACATCCTGGCTTTATTGAAGCCACCGCCAGAAAGATCGAAGCTAAATTAGCAGAATACTCTCCTGAGGAACGTAAGGACGCCGTCATCATGTTTTCCGCTCATTCTTTACCCATGAGTGTTGTGAATCGTGGCGATCGTTACCCAGCCGAGGTTGCCGCTACCGTCGACCACGTGATGAAACGATTAAACAGCGCTTATCCTTACCGTCTCTGTTGGCAATCTCAAGTAGGTCCCAGTGCTTGGCTAGGTCCACAAACGGGTGATGCTGTCAAGGGATTTGCAAAGGCAGGTAAAAAAAATGTAGTGGTGGTGCCTATTGCGTTTACGAGTGATCATATCGAAACCTTGTTTGAATTGGATCAAGAGTATGCCGAGGAGGCCAAAGAGGTTGGTTTAACTGGTTGGAAACGTGTGGATGCCTTGAACGATGATAAGACCTTTACAGATGCCATGGCTCATATCGTTAAAGAGCATATAGAAAAGAATGAAACCGTTAGCAAGCAATGGTTACTTAGATGTCCTAGCTGTACTTTTGAGACCTGTGGTCATTCTCGTGAATTCTTTACCCATCAAAAAATATAAAAGAAAAGGAAATAAAGAATTTATTGTATATATTAATAATAATAAAAAAAAAAAGATCTGTTTATTATATACTTTTTATGTATTTATTTATTTAGAAACCTTCAACCTTAAAATGCCAGGCACCTGTTTGATCATCATAACTGACAAAGGTGACTTGACCACGCTTACGAAGTCTTTCCTTAAAGAGCTTGAAACGAGGGTGCTCAGGATCTTTGATAGCAGCACCTGTGTTTTTATCAATGGAGAAACAATTATCGATTCGAACAAGCGCTGGCATATTCAACTTGGTGCCTTGAGGAGGTTTCGTCTCTTCTTGAGGATACACTACAATCTTTTTATCCTCGATCACGACAATATTACCCATGATATCATCAAGTACAACCTCAGATAAATCAACAGGTACTTCGAATTTCACTTCACCATATCCTTTACGACCCACAGTCAAGTTCTGAACATGCTTCAAATTCTCTTTGCTCATGCCAGTCAAGGTCTCGATCGTAGGTGAGATATAATAACCATTCTTCATGGCAACAGATGAAGCTGAGGCAGAGTTTAATGTGGGTGCAACGCTAGCTGCTGATGTTGTCGTCTTGCTAGCAGTGGTAATGGTGGTAGTGGTAGTAGTGGTGGTGCTACCGGAAGAAGGGGTAGCCTTACTAGAGCTACTCGACTCTGTAAAGCTGTTGTTTTTCACATCGTTCTTCTCGTTCACGTTGTCGTTGTTGTTGTTACTGCTGCTTTGGTGAGCATTTAATTCAAGGTTAGGGTTAAATACGACTCGTCTCTTTTCAGCCTTCTTGCTATCATTTACAAGTGCAACGATGTTGGCCGTATCCAGATTTTGATCGAAAATCAAATTCTTGTTGCTGGCACGAGGAGCATATGCACCAGCACCGAGAACAGCATCATCACTAATACCATCCAAAGAACTTGTTGAAACGTTCTTCTTGGTACCTTGAGTAGGCTTACCAGGAGTATGAGAGAATCCACGAAGCTTGATCTTGGAGACCACACGAGGAGCAATAGGGTAAACATGAGGCGATGCTTTACGGTTACCACTATCAAGAGCAACAGCAGATGGACCTGTCTTGGCCGCATTGTTGGGTGCTTTACTCATATCGAACAAGGGATTGTTACCATAAGGGTTTTTATCCACAGTGGCTACTAAAGAAGGTTGTTGCTGAAGAGGGTTTGTACCAAATGAGGTTAATCCACCTGTAGCAGGTAATTGGTATTGACCAGTTCCTCCTGCTGCTTGTCCAAATCCTCCAAATCCACCGGTCGTATTACCACCCATTGTATTATTGCCACCAAATAATCCACCACCTAATCCAGTAGCAGGCTTTTGGCCAAATAAACTAGTACCTGCACCGCCTTGTGCTTGTCCAGTACCAAAACTACCAAATCCACCGGTAGCTCCACCCAAGGTAGCACCTGTAGTATTACCAAAGAGAGAGGTGGTGGGTGCAGCGGGTTTAGCAGCACCAAAAAGACCTCCTCCTCCAGCAGCGGGTTGACCAAATCCACCAGTGGCGGGGGCAGCAGAGGTACCGAAACCTCCACCAAATCCTCCAGCAGCAGGAGCAGGGGCTGTAGCACCGAATGAGAATGAATTTGCAGGTTTACTAGCGGCTGTTTGTCCAAATCCACCAGCGGCCTGTCCAAACCCACCAGTGGCGGCAGCAGGTTGACCAAATCCTCCAGTAGTAGCACCAAATCCACCAGTAGCGGCAGGCTTTTGTCCAAATCCGCCAAATCCACCGGTAGTCGCAGCAGCAGGTTGTCCAAATCCACCAGTGGCCGCTGCAGGTTGACCGAATCCGCCTGTGGTTGCACCGAATCCGCCTGTAGCAGGAGCAGGTGTACTACCTTCATATATATAGAAAAACAGAAGATGTTGTCAGTTTTTTTCCCATCTATTTTATCAAAAAAAAAAAGAAAAAAAATTATATTTACCGAATGAGAAGGGTTTAGAAGCAGCAGCGCCAAAGGCACCTGTGGAAGCCCCGGCACCGAAACCTGTATTTGCAGCAGGTTGACCAAAAGCTGAGGTATTAGCACCGAAACCACCAGTAGTAGCAGCAGGTTGACCAAAGGCCGAAGTGGCAGCTGGCTGTTGTTGTTGACCAAAAAGACCACCTGTGTTACCAAAGGCACCACCTGTAGCCGCAGGTTGACCAAAAGCTGATTGTTGTTGAGGTTGACCAAAGCCACCGGTAGCCGCAGCAGGCTGACCAAAGGCAGAGGTAGTAGGAGCAGCAGCACCAAAAGCGGATGTGGCAGGAGCAGCTGCACCAAAGGCACCACCAGCTGTAGCAGCACCAGCTGTTTTTCTACCTTGGGCATAATCTTGTAAACGGAGTTCTTCTAACGAATAGTTTTTATATTGTGGCATGGCTGTAATGGTCTGGAAAAAATTATTGACACCTGTGGTGATATCACGATCTTGTGTTGGTGCGAAATCAGGTACAGCTGTGCCTTGATTAATACCACCCGCAGCTTGGGGTTGTCCAAATGCAGATCCTGTGGCACCTAATCCTCCACCAAAAGCAGAGGTTTGTTGAGGTTGACCAAATGTGTTAGTGGCAGGTGCAACGCTACCAAATGCATTAGTGGCAGGTCGTTGACCGAATAGTCCTCCACCGGGTTGGGCAGCGGTAGATCCAAATGCTGAAGTAGAAGGAGCTATCATGATAATCGATTAAAGGAAAAAAGAAAAAAGGAAAAAGAGAGAGAGACAGAAATTAACAATCTTTTTTTATCTTTTATATCATTAAAGTGGGTCTATATACACTTACTTGATCCAAAACCACCGAATCCAGTTGAAGCGGCAGGTTGAGCTAAAATGTAAAAAATGAAAGGTCAATTCTATTTTTTTTTTTTTTTTTTTTTTTTCCGTTTCCTTTCGTCGTGTCATTCTACTTACCAGCGCCAAATGCTGAAGGTGTAGGGTTTCCAAAAGCTGAGGGTCTGGCCTGACCAAATGCAGAACCAGTAGCACCGAAACCTCCTATTAACAATGAAAAAGTCAATACGATGAATGCTTTAGAAAAAAAACTTTGTTGTTCTTTTCAATACCTGCGGCAGGAGCAGCTCCAAAAGCGGATTGTTGTGCTGGCTGTCCGAATGCTCCACCTGTTGCTGCGGGTGCAGCCCCAAACGCACCAGGTGTTGAAGTAGCTCCAAAACCTAAATCAAGTTAATGTCTGAAAGCTCTCTTTTATAAAAAAAAGTTTTTCTGTTTAAAAATCTCTCTTACCACCAAATGCACTAGGTTGTTGTTGTTGAGGTTGTTGTCCAAAAACTGAATTTGGTTGTTGTTGCTGTTGACCAAAGCCTCCAGTATTACCAAATGCACTTTTTCCAAACATTAGAATTTATGTAAAAGGGGGTTGAAAAAGAAGAAAAAAAATAAAATAAAAAAAAATGGGGCTCCCCTTCGGGTCGCTGATCCCATTTTTTAAAAGGCGTATTAGGCCAGTCCTCCGACCACATATTTTTTGACCTGCGCTTCGCTCCGGTAAAAATACGCGGTTCCCGGAGGACCCATCAGCAAACCCAAAGTTGATTTTATAATTATTGAAATATTCATATTTGTTTATTTATTTTTGCTTTTAAGTCAACATCCACAGAGGTTCATGGTAACTTGTGAATGAGATGTATCGTCCAGAAGAAATTACGTCTTGATTAGTGAAAATGTTGTCGATGAAAGTTTTTAACTTTGTAGTTGATTTTACGAAATCAGGAAGCGAGCTTTGGATACCATGTTGGCCCAGGAAAGAAACTATTGCCGTTCTTTCTGTGGAATCTTGATTGAAGTCGATGTTGAAGTCACCAGCAATTACGATGTTAATATATGGGTGTCTAATTATAAATTCCAAAGCTTCGAGCAAAAGATCAGTGTTTTGTGTTGGACTAGGTGAAGCATAAACGCTACAATATATTGTGGAATCAATTGTTACTGTGGACACGCTTACCGACGACGAGTTGACATTGCTACGAAAAATTTCGGAGGAAGAAGTCATACTCTCACAAGTTACATTATCAGAGACGTAACAGCAACATCCTACAGGTTTACGTGTAGAGCTTGTACAATCTAAGGACGACACCAACTTAAATCCTGGTATGACGAAGTTATCGGTCGGTAATGTCCAAGTTTCGTTAAGAAGAATGATATCTGATGAAAGATATACTGGATCATTTGTAATTTGATTTAAATGAGCCTGGAGACTCTGGACGTTGTGCGAGATAATTTGAAAGTGCTCTTTTTTCGTCAACTTTAAGAAAGTGGGGTTAAGCATGATTGTTGGTTGACGTTGCATTTCTAAGTATAAATCACTGCTTTTTTCAGATGATAAGGGTTTTGGCGGAACAAAAGTGTTGTTTTTGCACACAAGGGTCAAGCCATTAGCAGTTGTGGCTCTGGAACAAGCAACGTAAATTAAAGATCTTTGCATTTTATGCTTTCCTACATCATACACAACAACATTTTCGTAAGTACCGCCTTGAGATTTGTGGATTGTTAAGGCTTCTGCGGGAACAATTGGAAACTGTTTTCTGTTAACCCTCAAATTTGTTTTGCGGTTACTGGTTATTTGCAATGAAACCGGCTCAATCATAGTCCAGTTGTCCAAGACCGAACGAGTTCTTGATCTTAAAGCTGTTTGTTTTTTTCTCAAAATAGCCCCGCTTGTCTCATCGTCAAACTTGATCCATATTCTTAATGGCTTCTTTTCGCCACCAGATGATCCTTTAAGCGTGCCATAGTCAATCTGCTGTAAATAACCGGTGGTGCCATTTACAAGCCCGTCCGATGTATCCAAGTTTGAAGTGATCATATACCTTGCTTCAATTTGTAATCTAAGGTGCTTCATCAATCCCAGATTTTTGACAGTGTGAACTGAATCAGTAGCCACAGAAGCAAGTATGTGCTTGACAGCAGTATCATTCGTACAATCTCCGAGAACCCTGTCAAAACCGACAGATACGGCACCTTCAGTTGCCATGTTCGCAAGGATAGCGCTATTCATATTACGAACCATATTGTTGGTGTGGAATAATCGAATAGGCCTTTCTTCAGAATTAGAGAGAGCAATGTTTCCTGAATGAGGAAACACGGCCTCATCATTTTTTAATCCATTTAATTCTTCTTCAGTGAGCCGTAAAACCCTGCTTTGAAACAATGCGACATCATTTTGAGTCATTTCTCCAACAGCCATGTTGTTGAGTGCAACAGCAAAATGAAAGTCATCTCTTTGTCTCATGATCTGTACCAGCCTATGAACTGCAAACTCCTTCCACAATCGTGTACCAAATGTTGCAAGATAAGGGTCTGACGGAGGTTTGGTAGAGTACAAAGGTGATGAAGCTACTGGGGATAGCTGGTAAAAATCACCAAGGACTATAACTGATATACCTCCAAAAGGCAGCAAAGAATCGAAAATATCTCGTAGTCTTTTGTCGATCCAAGAAAAAATAACATCTCCAACCATGCTTATTTCATCGATAATAAGAACTTTTAAATCCTTCAATGCAATGCACATAGAATGGCTTACATCGGCTGATAGTCTATTCACCTCGCCCTTTCCATACTGGCTTATTGGCAATTGAAAAGCACCATGGAGGGTTTGACCGCGAATGTTAAAAGCAGCTTTTCCGGTAGGAGCTGTGAGTAGCACTGATGGGGTGTTGGTTTCAAGATCTCGGTCATCATCAAATTCAATGCTTATTGCTTCATACAATGCTTTTATCAACATACTTTTGCCGACACCTGCACCGCCAGTTACAAAATGATAAAATGGGGCAAATGTTTTAACGGATTCATTGCTACTACTAAACATGCGCACAGTAGTTCTGTCACGATTATACCTAATGTGGTTCACAGAATGCATGAGATACTCACGTTGTTTTTGGTTCAACTTTGATACTAGTTCATAGAAATTGGACTTGGTGAGTCTATCAGGTCTAGAAAGCTTTTCAAGATACGTCTTTTGACCATCGTTGTTTCTAGCTGTCCCTTCACGCAAATCATCCGAGAGGTCGTTACTACGATGGTAGTCTCCCTCACTTGAATCATCAATATCAACTGTATACCTTCCAAAATCATTTTTTTGATCATAGTACTGAGTCGAACCACCAGTAGACTGACCCTCGTCATTTTCGTTTTCACCATTTTCATTTTCTTCACTTTCATTTGAATGCTCTTCGTGAAGTTGATCCATATAAGAGTCGAGGGTTGAATCTTCAATCGCACAAAATTCCTGTTTATTTTCCAAGACCTCTTCAATATTACTATTGAACAGGTCCTCACAGTCAACGTTCAGTAAATCCTCTTCTTCATTTTTCCAAGGACGGTAGAGCATTAACAAAGTTCGAAAATACTCAGAACGATCATTATCAATATTGAATTTGAAATATCTAATAACCTTCGATTTTGCACGACGACGAAGAAACCCAGAGTCGTTTTTCAATTGGAAAACTTTACCAACGGGACCAGCAGGCAGGATATACCCTGACAATTCGTTTTCTTCTTCTAAACCCAAATTTTCGTCATTTTCATCACCAGTGCCATTGGTTTCATCAACTTCGTTAATTTCGTCAGTTCTTGATTTCTTACCAGGTTCTTTCCTACTGATTTCAAAGTAAGCACAAAATTGTGCCAAATTGAGAAAATTCAATGTATCTGGTCTATTGATATAGTGCTCAATCAATCCAGGAACAAAGCAGTCGGTTGAATTAGGTGGTAACTTGATTAACTCATCTTTTCCTTTCAAAATATGTGTCCGTTTCTCAGGTCTAGAAGTAGGAATGAATACTGTTACTGTGCTTGCTTCAACCATTCTGATGGCCAGAAGATTATATGCAGCTTCTTGAGCGGACACCTCACTGGAATTATAGTATGTCGATGCCAAAGACCTTAACATATTAAACGAGGTTGAATTGGGATTTTCCTTCTCTTTGACATATATCTTCCATGGTTTTACTTAATCCACGGTCAGTCTTATTTATATAATCTAAAACATAGGCACAACAGGCGTAAGGATCGATAATAAACTGTATGTCCATGTTTGATCTGAAGAGACTGATAATTTTTCTGTTGTAGTTATTAATCATAATAGCATTGGGTGCTCTTTTGATATAAATTTTGTTGAGTTTCAAGGTGGATCGTAACGCAAGAACATATGTTTGATATGATGATATCTCAACTACATCCAAAAATTGTTCAAACGACATCTCAGATTCTGCCAAAGTCTTATAATTATTGTTGATGTAATCCATGATACGGGCATTTATGCCGCGTAATTGCTTAATTTCATCTGCTGAATGTTCTTCTGGGTTCAATGGTTCCATGATTTCGGTCTGTTCCATTGGAGGAAATGGAATATTAAATCTGCATTTGATTTCGTTACCCCCTCTTTTTCTTCTACATGTACTGGTATGTTTATGCGTTTGTCTGGTTTTGATGAGGTTATTCCAGGTAGTTTCTGTGCTTTTAGACTCCACATCATGATGAGGGGTACCATCCCAAATTTTGCTGCAAGTAATTACTTTGTCAACGAATTCACAAATTGCGCTCTTCATACTGTCGGCTTCGTCTCGAGTTGCACATTGTTTATCTTCGAATTTGGGTGCATCCTTCAACCAAATAAGCATATGCACGTGAGGAGATCCTGTATTTGATTACATTTTAATTACGCAGCAAAAAATCTATTATAATTCCAAATTTACCTCTGTGTTGAAATTCAACTCTGAAGAAGTACTCGTTGATGCTAAATCCAGCAAAAGGCCCTTCTTTGTCAAGCCAAGTCTTTTTCAGTTCTCGGAATCTGTGATCAAAATATCTGGCTGTGGTGATGGGATCAGCTTGTAACAATCTGGCTTTTTCATCGTATGATAACTCTTCAGCTTCATCTTCTGTCATAACATCGTCATCTATAACTTTCTTTAATATGCATAAAAGTTCGTTCCATTTGGTCTCAGCAGCAGAAACAGTTACAAACAAAGTCGGAACCCCCAATTGTCTGATCATGGCCATAGAATTTTTCTTTTGGTTCTTCCAATATTCTGATGATGAACGGATACCTGAAAATGTTTTAAAAGCTTGATCCTTGTTTAAAAGATTGGAGACATAATCTTCATTTGACACGTCTTTTGCTGTAAAAGGAATGCCATCAGCTCCATTGCTGCTTCTTTTTCTTAAAATAGTGCTGATATTCGAACTCATCTTAGTTAACAAGCATTTGCGATCCATATACAAAAGTAGATCAGGACGCATTGCAGCTCTTCTATCAAACCTTCGTACAACGGATTTTGCCAAATTGCCGTAAGAAACTGACCCTGACCCTTCCAGCTTATGACCGTAATAAACCTTTGGGAAAGATAAGAAATCACTATCTTTGTCAGTCAAAACTGATATAGGTGTCAT